CGCCAGCAGCGACTCGGACATACGCTGGCTACCCCGGGTCCACAAGTTTGCGGAAGAACATAGCTTGCGAGTAGAAATAAATAGCCAGGCGTCTTACGTCCGAGCTCACGGAGCTTGGAGTCTATTCTATCCATTATCGTGACATGTAGTATACGAGAAAAGAGCAGCGCGTAGGAGACGAGACGCAAAGCGAGACTTAAACGCGTCGCGCTCGCATTCGTGCAAGTTTGTAGTGTCACTGCGACGTTTCTTACTTGACTACAAAGTTTGGTTACTCCACTTCAATTTCGCGACAGGACTACAAGCGGCAGGGCTCGGCAGCCTCGGCAGCCTCGGCAACGGCTCGGCAGGGCTCGGCAAATGACTTAGTTTCTGTGAACCGGGTTCCCACGGCAAATCCACCAGCCTCTCTAGCATGATTCTGCCCTCAATCACGCTACGAGAGGCGGTCACGAGCCTAGGCCGAGCCTGATTCTGCAAAGCCTGCAGCTTTCCAGCACACTTCTCCCGTGATGTCGCGCTGGCATAACGTCAAAACGCCAAAATGGAGTCAAAACTCAACTGACGTAAAAGGAGGCCCGGTTTGGCAGCCTGCAAATTCGCAGGCAAGACAACTTGAAGTCTTTCCTTCATCGGCCCACCACCGCTACCGCTTTGGCTGGAGAGTCAGTACTGCGATGGGTGGATGGAATCCTCAGAGAGGATCGAGTTGCCTGCCTCGTTTGAAGATGTTAGCATAGACCACTTGGTACTTCTCATAGGTATGTTATCCACATGATCATTGGTACATTCAATCGCTGACCTTGCGATCAAGCCGACATGCTCGAACGGTTAATAGCGCATAATGATCAAATACCACTAGTTCCGTTCGTATATCGTGTATATCGCTGTGCTGCATGTACTTACCGCTATTGAAGCAGTGAAGGTCTCACCCGATTTCATTCTCGAGCCGCGCCAAACATATCGGTGCTGGATTATTTACGCCGGATTGTCAGATTCACGAACGTGGAGGTGCGTTCATACTTCAAGACTAGTTGAGGGAACTGACACCCTTCTCAGAAAGCATGCCTTCTACTCACTCTACACTATATTGACCAAATCTGCGCACGGATGCCCCTGTTTACGCTCTCCTCATTGACTGCACATCGTTTCATCGTCGCCTCGGTGGCGATATCCAGCAAGGCTTTCTGCGATGCGTTTTGCACCAACTCACACTACGCCAAGGTCGGTGGAATATCCATCGTGGAACTGAACGTCCTGGAGAGGGAATTCCTTCGGATAATCGACTGGGATCTCACGGTTAGCACCTTTTCCTTCCATCTTCCCATCCTTCGCCATCTCTTCAGCCGCCCACCAAATACCTCGCATATAGGGCTGAAATATAATGTCTTGTGTCGGTCATTCTGGTCGTCCTCTCTTCCCCCTCTCAGTGCACTCGCGAGTTATTGCAGGAATATTACGTCAACCTCGTACGGACGCATAGCTCTGGCAAATTTGTAATCCCGACGACGCAGCAGTCGTCCAGCGGCTCTTCCGACAGCGAGATAGAAGTCGATAGTGGCCGCTCTCGGCCAATGTCTCCAGTCGAGGGCAATTCACATGCGGGTCACCCTCCGGTACCCCACGGAGCGTCCACTATCCTTATCGATACGGCAACCTTATCACCGCAGCCTTCGCAAGGACCCACCATCGAACAGAATATGGCCTTCGCTGCGCTCAGGGAGTCGATGGATCAATCATGACGAAGTTTTTGGGACTATGGCGCGACAACGCTTAGAGTAGGACGCTCAGGAATCGCATGTTGCTTCTATGCACGCATGATTTCCGATAGCGGGAAACGAGACTGGGCCAGGATTACAGGTAGTACAATGCACCCAAGATGTATCTGTATCGATAACTAAAGCACATGGTTGAGAGCAAATGCAATGGGTGCGAGTGAGCAATGCATAAATGATGTACGCTACGTTTGAGGAGGGCTGTCTAGGTTGCAAAGGAGAGACAATTAAATAGTCCGAGGAATGGAACAAGACAAGGAAGGATCGTTTGGGTGCACCAGGGAGACCAGAAGGACGCCTGACGTGCGATTTCATGATTGAGTATGAAAGAGAAAAAGGCAGTTGAGAGATTGGACGTCCAGGACGGGTGACAGACTTGAGTGCAGAAGCTCCGCCGCAAACATAACACCAACGTTGATCTCTTGGGACCGTAGAGTTACCAATACAACGCGATACGCGAATGCCAGAACCCGTATCGCGCACATACAGCCCTCCAAAAAACACAACGCGACACACTTCAACTATCGCTCACTTCACTACACAGCTCGACGTAACGGATTGAGGGGGGGTGTGGATCGGAGTAAGGGGAGGGGGGAGACGGCGGAAGTGAGGAGGGGTCGGGGACAATGGACGAGAGCGAGGAACCTAGCGCCGAAGAGCGGAAAGCATCTTGGCCAGGGCATTGATCTGCCCCTTCTGAACTTTCTTAGGGCTGCCTTCGGGGAACTCCTCGTCTCCAGGAGAAGCATCACCGTTGAGGTCCGTGGTACTAGTGGATGCATCGCGCCTCTGGTTAACCGTCAATGGCTTGATATTATGCCCAGCGCGCTCGGTGATGGTGTCCAAGTTCGGATTCGGTTTGCGCGTACGCGCCTTGCGAACAGGGGGCTGCCCGAAGATATCACCCACGGGCTTAGGGTGCAACTGGCGAGGAAGCTCATGCAGCTCCCATGGCACACCGGTCATGACTGTAAAACTGGTCAGGCCCGCAAACCACGCAACATATGCAGAGAAGTGTACTCACACTTGACGTTCGCGGGAATATCCCGAGGACGGTCTTGTCCATACGGTGATCTGCCTACGGGGACCTGAGGCTTAGGGGCGGGATTCCTCCAGCTACTAGACGAGACACTAGTCGCCACAGTAGAGACGCTCGCCTTGCTACCGTTGCTGTACTTGGTGAACGCCGATGTCGACGTGCCAGCGCTGCTGGCAGTCGATAACATGGAGCTGCGCCAGTTGCTCGAGGCCATCGAGCTAGAGCTTGAAGCTACCTGACGGCCGCTGCGCATGCTTGTGGGTGAGGTCCCGCGCTTCTCGACGTTGTTGGCCCAGCGTTCGATGTTAGCCGACGACGAAGGGCCCCAGGTGCCCGAGCCGCCTTCGTAGCGGGAAGGAGGCTGGGGGGTACCAAGAGCGAAGCCGGATTCCTGAGTCTGGTAGCGACGACCGCGGGACCAAGGCTCTTGACGGTCCGCCGGGGCAGAATGGTGGTGAACCTGAGGAGCCTCCAAACCCATAATGAGACTCGTGACGTTGCTTGCAGTAGCGGACATTACTTTGCCGGTTCCGAAGCTCGCGGTGCTCTCCATGTCCACAGCGCGATCCACGGACGACGTGCGTGCAGCGGACGACGCGGACGAGCTGGTCCGCCCAAAGCCCAGCTTCCACTTGGACGCCTTCTTCGAAACCGCGGGCTGGACAGACGGCGTGACAGACGGGATGCTCGCGAACGAATCCGTCGGCGAGTTGAAACCAGAAACGAACGACGATGACCGAGACGTGCGGCTGAGCTCCCTCGCCAGGGCCTGCGAAGCGCTGGCCAACGTCTCCAAGGTCCCATTCTCCTCCTCGGGCCCACTAGCGCCGCCGACAACGCTAGGAGCATTGGTAGCAAGAGGTGACATAGCAGCGCCCTTGCCCTTCCTCGCGCCTCTCTTTCGCCTCTTCGTGGTAGACGTAGACCTCGAAGCAGTCTCCACCTCCGCCTCGCGCTCCTCCGCTTCATTCTCTTCGACTTCCTGCAACACGGTCGTCTCCAAGCGCAACTCTTCCGGTCTTTCCTCCTCCAATGCGGGGCCCAGACTGGGCTGCCTCGATCCCAACGCGCCAGTCGCCCGTGAGAGACTTGCCTGCCGGCTCGTCTGCCTCGATTGCCTTGAGCTCGGCCTGCGCGAGCACGGCGTCGAGCTGATCGGGTGGCCCTGCACGCTGCTGACACTCACGACACGCCTGTGTCCGCCGCTCGCCTCGCCGTCCACGCCGAACAGCGCGGGCAGGTCCCGCGCCCACTTCCCAAACGCCCGCGCGGACACCCGCTTCGAGTCGTCCTGCGGGTCGTCGAGGATGCAGAAGACGTTCTCGGCAAGATACTTCGCGACAGGCTCGGTCATGCCCGGGAAGCGGTGCACGAGGAACGGGACGGGGTGCTGGCGGAACAGGGTGAAGGACGGGCAGGCGCCTTCGGTCGTGTCTGTCCATGGATTAAAGTGATACAGCCTGAATTATTTTGAATGGCAGGTATCACCGATATTGCAAGGTTCCAGGGACATATCGAGGCGTGAACGTGGAAGTATCGGCGGATGGGAAAGGAAGTAGAGAAGATAAGACAGAGGTAAAGTTAGCTCATATCTTCACAGTCAACTGACGCGATACGCACATGTTAATCAGGACGATACCGAGTGACCAGACGTCAGCACCGCGGGGCAAGTAAGTAGGGGCTACATTATTTCTGCATTCTAAAAACAAGACAAGCCAAAACCGCCGAGTGAGTATCTTCCGCCGACGCGTAACGACGCCTTGAACCACTCACCGTAACTCATGTAGGGCGCACTCCCACAGTCCATATCAGAACTCTCCCAATCTCTGGTGCTCAGCCCAAAATCGGACAACTTCACCACGACCTTCCTCTCGCGCTCCTTCCCGGGCTCCTTCTCGGACCAACCGTCGGTGACAATGAAGTTCTCCGGCTTGATGTCCCGGTGGAAGACACCCACGTCGTGGATGGCTGCGACGGCCTCGCACATCTGCGCGAACATACTGGCTACCAGCTTCAGCCGCGTGCGGGAGAGGAGGGTCGTGGGGTTGTGGGAGCCCAAAAGACCAGGGGTTGGCGGAGTCGGGGGAGAGCTCGTCGACGACGGGCTGGACTCGGAGGACGGAGTGAGAGGAGGGGTGCAGGGGTTGGAAGGAGGTTGAGGAGAGTAGTGATCGCGGGACTGCTCCAAGAAATAGAAAAGATCTTCACCAGGGACAAACTCGAGAAGAAGAAGCAAGTACGAATCGGTCTCCATCGTCCGGTGCAGCGTCACAATGTTGGGGTGAGGCGGGAGAGACTGATGGATCGTCACCTGTAGACGTATATTAGATTAGATGCTATTTTCATGACGCATATACTCACCTCGGTCATCTGCGCTTCCAAAGCCTCCTCGTCGAGGTTCGCTTTGGAGAGACACTTCATCGCGTACTCCTTTCCATACTCAATGTGGACCCCGCCCATCGACTTTGAGCTGAAACTATCATCGAGGTCGATGGCGCCGACAGCGGAGACATGTCCGTGCCCGCTATCGCTGGGAACGCTGCGGCTGAGCACCTCTCTGACCAGGTACACTACGGCGTAGCTCCCGGTGCCGAGCCGGCGGACGACTTCGAACTCGCGTGCGGGCTCCTGGACGTCCATGGGAGCCGAGGTGGAGAGCACGTTGGTGCTCGCGTCGATGGGCACGCGGCGGACGATCTCGTCATCGAGTTCGAGTCCTTCGCCGACAATGTCGCCTGGGAAGAGGACGTCTTGCACGCCGGACGAGGAAGAGGTCGAGAAGCGACGAGCCGGGGGCCGGGGGCTGTCGATGTCGCGGGGCACGGGGGAGGACGTAGGGCGGGGCGAAGAGAGGTACGGGGATCGTGGGACATGCTTGGCGACCTGAGCAGATGGTGTCGGGACAACAGGAGAGGGAGGCAGGGAAGACTTGGGGGAAGGAGGGATACAAGAAGGCTTGGAAGACGTATTTGAAGCAGTAGAAATGGAAAGCGGGATTGCGTGGGGATGAGGGATACATGCAAAGGCAGACGGAGTCGGAATCGAGCTGTAGTTGTTGTTGTTGTTGTCATGGCCAGAAGACGGAAGACGCTTGATAGCACTACGCTGGAAGACGCCCATGGGCCCGCGCCGCTCGCGGGGAGCGGTCACGGCGGGGTGCGAAGAGTCATTATGCGCTGTAGTAGTAGAACGGAGCGAAGAAGTAGAGTCATTGCTGATATTATCCTTGTCCTTTGGTTTGGGAAGAGAGGGCTGAGACGGGATGGGGAACGGCTGGACGGTGTACTGCAACATTAGCGGGAGCGATTAGAGCGTCGAAGCCTTGGAGCGCTCAGTTCTCAGCAAAGAGGACGGCGGTTCTTCAGACAAGACCTGCTGATTGTCTGGCGTAGAATACAAGGGACATGCAGGGGAAGGGGCCGGCACTCGGGGAGGGCAGTGACGAGAGCCCCGTCGACGTCGCGGGCGATAGCAAGAAGAAAGCTATGGCGGCGGGGTTTGAAAGCTGCGCAGGCTGATATAGGGCTCGGTGACTCACAGACTCTTTCCAAATGCACAACCGGCCGGGCAGGACAGCGACGGACGACAAACGACAAACGACGAGAGCGGGAAAGGAGGGAGAGAGAAGGGAAGAGGAGGTAAATCAGTTGGCGGTTATGTTGGGACCATGTGCTTCAGCGGCTTCTAGTCCACGCGTGCTCGCCCATCCGTATCACGTTAAGTCCCCGTCCCACACTCGCATGCTGCACTGCCTTTTCGCTCTTCTGTAAATGCATCGTGGCACGCTGCGGTTCTGTTCTCAATGATTCGAATACCGGCTGCCATGGTTCTGACGCTGCCCTTTACAGTGTTCTCGCACAGGGCAGTCTTATCGCCCGACGCACGAGCGGGGGCACCACTCCGCAGTCGCCAGCCGCAGCGTGCTTCGGTCTATTTCGGCGCCAGCATAGCGTCTGCATAGTCTAGGCATCTATTGAGCGCTATACTTGGCCCTTGATGCTGCCCTTGTTGCGTACGGACTACAATGGGACCGCCGGCGTCGCATTCCCAGCCACACCGCGCTGCAAGGCACCGTCCACACACGCATTATCCACTGCCCGAATAGTCCGGCCATGTTGCCATCCGATTCTCTTCCGACCCGCCCGCGACCGACGACCTGTGCCTACTTGGCAGCCTCGTTTGCTTCCATCACCAAATCTCCCCGACCTAATCTCGCGGCACCAGTCCCCTGCCCGCCTCCCGACGCCCGACTCAACTGCCGCTGCTGACTGCCCAGGTACCCCCGTGAAATCTAAGCGATCACCTCCTATTGTTATCTCATCTATACATGTACGCTCCTAACATGACGAACGATCATTAATTTACATACGACGCCGGCCCCGTGCTTGGTGGCGGGCCCCAACCAACGTGATCTCAGTGATCCTCCAGGCATGATACGTGATCAGGCAAACCCGACAAACCCAGGATTTGTTGCATCGCATTGGGTGACAGGACTGCTCCCGCTACCCGACGGCCCACGGTTGCTTGAACGGAACTGTCAGCCCTTTGAACTTTGTGGCAACATGTACTGCCGTTTGATTTGTCCCCGTCGGAGCACCCTACAGAAAGGCAAATTTACGTATCAAATCTTTGAAGGGCCACGCTCTCGATGTGTCCCCAAAGCAGCTCCTCACACGTTTGTTCTTCACGGAGCATATGGTCCAGTGAACAGCTTGTGAAGTTCGGTACCTCGTCTTGTGAAGAGCTCTCAGCCGGCGTAATACAATACCTCTTCACTACAAATGCAGTTACCGCATGGGCTGCAGCTTCACAAACACCTTCCACGTCTATTGTATCAGCCTCAATCCAAGCTCTTGCGCGATCACCTCCGGAATTGACGCACCGATGCGTCGACCTCTGAATCACCCGACGGATCGCGCAACCTGTCTCCAAGCTGAAGTACGTATGTAGAAGCGACGGAAGTCTAAGGCTAAGATACGACCGTGCACATGCTCACCCGACTCGGTATTACTCTGGGTAAGTCCGTGCGCGGAGAGTCCAGACGTCGTTCCTGCATCCTCCTGTGTATTGCGGAAGTAGGTCTGGCCCAGGAAGATGTGGCAGAAGAACCGGAGGCGCTATTTGCGCCAGCATCCAGGTCCACCCTATCACCCCATGGCACAGGCTTTGCACTTCTCTGCTCATGAGTAGAGCAATGTCTCCGTAGGCCTCAATCCGCCCCATCGAAAGCTCAAGCAGATACACATATCATCTCACTCCCGCCCCATGCTGATCTCCCCATGCAATTTCCATGCGCATCAGTCCCTCTATCAGCGTCACGAGTCGCTCTAAGTTACGACAGATGTCGTGAACCCGGCCGCAGCGCTCTATATTTGCTCTGTACACTATATGACCAGGTTCCATTACACCCAACCCTGGATACACTATCAAAGCCCCAAGACCTTACCCAGGCTAGTCTCGCCCGACGCTGATAAGTGGTCTCACTAGTCTGATAATGAATAGATCCGTCTCCAGCTGAGCTGTCCGGGGCCTTTATTGAAGCATAGTAGCAAGCTTGGCTGGGTGCACCCCTTTCTCCGGCTCGAGTGAAGGCAAACATACTCGCTACCCGCTATCCAGGATCTTCCCTTGCTAGAATTTCCACCAGTGTTACGGTTCGCCGTCCTCCACTGTGCTCAATGGCAGGCACCCCACACCTTCCATCCTCGCGTCCTCAAACTCGGGTCCGATACTAATACCTGCATCGGCTCCGCAAACGGAATCGAAATTCTTCGCCGACGATACTCCCCTGGTCTGCACGATCGTCGACGCTCGGGTGCGCGAAACGGCATTGACGCGCAGGTAGATCCTGTCCGCAATCGGTACGGCCCGTACCGATGTATTCCTTGCGCCCCCACAAGCATCGCGGCATCCACAACACACTCGAATAAATGGAATGCTTCTCGGATCCGTGCGCTTCAATATCGGACCTTACCCTTCTTCCATAAACTTCTGACGTTATCTGGGCACGCGCTAGGATCGTCGCTACGGAGCATGAACGTTTGGACAGACGTGTCTATTGGAATCGCCGACCTCGCAGGGACGCTGTCGGTGAACTGGAATTGGGCATTCGCTCGTACTTCTTACTCCAGGAGATCATTGCAATGTCAGGGCGCTGTCGTGCTGGACGGCGTCCCCGCAGATATGCCGTCGCCCTGAAGGCCGTTCATGGATGCATCTTCTGTTCCCTTTTCTTGCCCTTGTCACGGGTGGAGGGAAAGGGACAGAGTGGACAGAACGGACAGAGGTCGCTACCCCGTGTTCGCCAGTAGAGTACGGTAAGGGAACTTCCATTCACGAAGTCGCGCGTGGTCGAGCGCAAACCTCTCACCATCGGGTGTCTTGCCAGGGAGTTGAAGCGCACTCGTGCCTAGTTGGCAGAGCGCAGTACTATGGGAGCACATATGCAACACGTACAACAGCTAGTGTGCAGTGTATGTACATAAGGAAACATTGACGAGCCTGAAGAACTGAGCTCAGAATAGCTCTACTCTGCGCTCTCCTCTTCTCCCCGAATCTGAGGGCCTTCCAGAACTTCCCGCCATCTCTCCTCCAGCACAACACGCTGGGACGCATCCGCCATAGTCCTCGTTCTCGCGATCAACTCGCTGGCTTTATCCCCCTTCCCTTTCGCGATCAGCCACCGCGCATACTCAATGCACGCGGCAACGAGGTCCACCCGCCTCCACTCCTCATGAACGGCTTCCAGCACCTTTCCATCCGCGTCCTCGCCCTCGGCTAACAGCCGAAATACTTCGCCCCACACGCGGCACGACACGAAGTACTCCCTCGACACGCGCCGGACAAACTGCACGTCGACGCCCGAGCGCTTCTGATGCAGGCCGACGTACCGCAGCAGCAGCTCCTCGTGCACGCCGCGCAGGCCCGTACTCCGCATGCTCTCTCTTAACAACGTCTGGAATAAGGAATGTGCGCATCAGAACGAAGTCCTGGCTATACCGCGCGGCGGGCTGCGGCGCGAACGCACCTCGAGCAGTTGACTCTTCTCTGCGTCTGCTACGGCCTCGCCTTTGGCCGGTTGCTCGAGACCCCACATCCACACTTGCTGAGCGGCCTCCGGGTCCTCTTCTGCATCGACTTTCCTCCTCGCTTCATCCCATGCCTTTCGTACTTCTTGGCTATCGCTGGCTTCGCTCTCGATTTGCAAGCGTGCGAGCCATAAAAATGCCCAACCGCCTTTGGTTTCGTTTTGTTGGGAAGTGTACTTCCTTGCTAGCTTTAGTAGCTTTTTGTCCGGATATGTAGAGGGTCGGAGCTGCGTCAGCAATCTAAGGTGGGCGCCGAGAAGTAATGGTGACGGCGATGGCGACTGGGAGATCAGCGAGTGTAACGACGAGAGCAGATACAGTTTCTGCATACAAAAATTATATCAGGCTGCACATTAGATCCAATATATCTTGATGGACTACAAGCACGCACCAAGTGGTCGTCTAAGTCTGGTTTATTGCACCAGCTTGCGACAAACTCCGCATATTCTCTCTCCATTCCCTGTCTTCTGCTCTCTCCCTTCTTGGGTTTTGACATCTCTTCAGAGCCCCATACTTCTCTCACGCCCCTCATCATCTCTTCGTTCGCGTTCCTGAGCGCCTCGACTAAGTCATGGCTCCCCTCGCCCTGCTCATAGAAGAACCTCTGGGATAGTAGGTGAACGGCGCCGGGCTCCGCGGGTAGTGTCTGTCGGAGGAGGGTATAGAGATGCTCGAGCAGGGATGCGCGTAATGATGGGGGTGATGGGTAAGTAGTTAAAGCAGTATGCAGAGACGTGAAGAGAGGTAGAGTAGGGATAGCTAGGATAATCACCTTCGGTCATGTACCCAGATGAGACTGTAAGCTGATCGCGCACCTTTTACAGCACTCGATATGACAGCTTTGACGATAGCCCCTTCCAAGATTTCCTTCCTCGCAGCTTCGCTCTCGTCTCCCCTTTCTCCCTCAACACGCACCTGTGCATCTCCGTCGACGTCCATCCCTTCTCCGTCCGCCTCAGGCTCCTCACCTTCGCCACCCAGTACTCGACTGATGCCCTTCTTCCCCGTCTCTTTCCCCTTACCCTTATCATCCGTCAGGCCGAGCACACTCCATCGTCTCCTCACGCTTTCCAACCATCCCATTTCCATTTTCACGTATTCCCTCCACATATCCACACTTTCTGGGTTCAGGCGGATGCCGCGCTGGAGAAGGGTGCGTGCTGCTGATGGTGAAAGACGGGAAAGTTCATGTTGGGCAGCAAGGACGTAGAGAGGTGGGTGAGTGGGGTGCAGTTGTAGAGCACTGGGAATTTAGCCAATACCATGAATCTCTATGCAGGGCTATGTGTGCCTCGATGACGGATACTCACCGAGCTGTGATCCTCCCAACCAACGCCCGTGCCCCCTCCTTCTTTGCCAGTTCAATATACTGGATCCAGAGCGCTACATCCCCTTTGAATTTCTGAAGCGCCCGCTCAAATATGTGGAATTGCCGGCGGACAAGGGCGAAGTCCGATATCGACGGTTCCGATTTCTTTATATCTGGTGCCATGTGTCAGAGCTGTCCCGTGGACCTCAGTTCACTTCTACGAGTCAGAGTGCGGGGATGGGAGGGTTATGTGACCTATGTGCGACATTAAGAACGTACTGAATCAGCTCCTGACCACTCGGACGCGCAAAATGTCCCACATAGGGCACCCCCCCATGAACCGCACCCGCTGCAAAGTAAGACACTCACTCAACCTCTCTATTCTCTTTTTCCGCAACGCCTCCAGTCCCATTTCATATGCCGCATATCTTAGGAAGTCGGCCTTCTTTGGTATTCGCCTCACGAGGGCTGTCTCAAAGGCAGTCCGCTTCTTCATTATCTGCTTCGTTTCATTCTGACATGCAGAGAGGCATGTAGTGTAGGAAAGGTTGTAATGGAGAACATCATGAGTATTCAAAGCTCGTCATCGCAGACGTAAAAGCTCAATTCACTCACTTGCGTGAAGAGACCCTTTTGGACTAGGTCCTTCAGCTCGGCGAGCATCTATTGGGATCATAGGACCATCTTTCTCTCCGCAGTAAGCGCCGGCGACAGCGTACCTGCTCCTGTTGAAATTGTACCCTCTCCATGTCGTCCCTAGTGCTGCGTCAAGACCGTGACCGTATGGTAGAAGTTTTGTATGCGCCTGAAATGGTTTGTGGCACCCAGACTATACCCAGAGCGGAATTAGAGTACTTTTAGAGTTTGGCAAAACGGACAAGCCAGTGATGGTTCGCTGATAGCTAAGTGTGGCTCGGGAGCAGAAGGGGCTCAGAGACGGCTGAGAAAATACATAAAGGCAGAGACCGGCGATTACGCTTTGGAAGGGCGCCTTGACGGTTGATGGAAACCTGAAACCGCCGTCCAGCGGAGTGCAAATTGCTTACGGCTCGATTACCTGCCCCTTGCACTCACCCCCGTTGAACGTCGTCAACGTCTGCAGCGTCTTTCTTGCTTGTTGATTATAACTCATTATGCCGCAGAAAATGCAAAGACCCGGCATGACTCGCACGCATTCGCGATCGTCGTCCGGCGGCTCGTCTAAACTTGCGCTGAACCTGCAGTTCACGCAGAAAGACCAGCTGCCGCCAAAGTTCACCGATAAGACCAAGAAAAACGGTCTAGTGCACCATGAGGCAAGTACATCCCGCTCCTGCGCTCATCGATCGCAAATATATCGGTGGTGGGGACTGGTCATCTAATCTCACTGGTTTGTTTTAGCCGCAGCAACGGACCACGTCTCCTTTTCCTCGGACAAACAGCAAGCAACGTGTCAGGTCGAGGGAACATATACAGCCTCTAGCACTCAAGAAACACGCGCCCTTGCCGCACGATCTCAAACCTCGTGGTGGCAAGCACAAAGTCGATTTCTCTATCGCTAGTCCCAGCAGCGATGATGATGAAGACGAGTGGGTCTCCAGCGGGCAAGTGAGTCGTGAGGACTCGGACGCGGAATCGGATAAGGCCTCGCAGGTGGTCAAGACACCCATCGCGGCAGAGCCTCCCCAACGCCTCCCCTCCCCTCCCCCACAGCCTCGCATCGAATCCCCTCGCCCGCAGCCTCCACCGCAACTTCCGAAGGTCGATACGCCGGGATTAGCTACGCCACGTGCAGAATCGTCCCTATCGCGAGTTCCGACCGCCCAACCCAATGACTCCCTAGCGAAGGCTCCTCCCGCGCGCGTGCCTTCAGCGCCTCCCAGATACGAGCAATCAGAGGGGCAGCTCGTGGACGAGCGATCCAAGACCCCCACATCCCCGCACCGCCCGAGACCGCAATCGACATCCAAACGCCAGAGTATGTCCCGCCCGCCATCCATGTACTCGGTCGGAAGCAGAGACGGCTCGCTCCGGCCACATCCACTCATCAGAGGTCACTCGTATGGCCAGGGCAAGCCTGCGCCCCTTGCGCCGCTCACGACAGTCACGGCGGACACCGCTTCCGCGAAGCTGTCGTCATCCGTTTCCCCGCCTTCCTCTGCGGTGGGAAAGTTCACATCCTCGCCCTCCTCCCCCGAGTCCCTGCGTTCCCCTTCCCAGGCATCCCTGCGGCGCACGTCCATCTCGTCCGCTCGCTCTGTCAACACCCTGCCTGGCACCGCTGCGCCCTCACATACCGCAGGCCGCTCCGGCCACGATCGTAACCGCACGCTCTCCACCATATCTTCCTCTTCTACCGGGTCGATGGCCGCTTTGTCTTCGCTCGCACACAACCACCTCCCTCCCGCCTCTCGGCCCGCCACCCCTTCGTACATCTCACACTTCCCCCCACCCCCGCCGAATATCGAGTCGATCCACCCGCTGCTCCCTCCGCCGTACCTCAGCACCCACCTCACAGTGGTTGCATACCGCAATCCGATCCAGGAGTCATTCGACCGGGTCGTTAGGGCGAAGCAGCAGATGGCGCGATGAGAACGCGTTCCGAATATCATTATTGCAGTACCTGTTATATGGTAATGTGCAGTTCGAGATCTCAATGTTGCCGGTCTCTAACGGCGTTCTGCAGACAATCTGACATTGCTTTCCAGCTGTCTGACAACAACATGCATGCCTTTGGACGTTACATAATGAAGACTATAGGACTCCCTTTCATGACGCTGGTGTTTGTACTCGTAGATTCATGCATTATTTATGGCGACCGGTGAACTTCCAATCCCAATAGAGCTTTCTTTCATCTGTATTTGCTAACTGCCATAGCCGATGACCGCTTATATGAACAGCGGGTCGCATTGCGTCGATGCCGGACGCTGGCGGCATTTCTTATAGGTGCGTGTGGTGTTACTGTACCCTGGGATCGACCATCGTGCAAGAACTCTTGATGTCAACTTCTCAACTTCGATATCATATCGCACCGTCCCACCTACGGGCTTGTAGCTCAACGTGTCAAGAACTTCGAAAAACGGATTCAGGGCGCCAAACTCGAGTATGCCCAGCACGGTAGGTCTCCCTTTCTGGTTCGCCCGACGTCGCGCAGCGGTGAGATAGTGGTGAGACAATATCGCGCAGCTTTGCTGTAGCTGGTATTGGCAAGGGCAGACACCTTTTTTCACTGCATGGGTAGCGTAGCTTCCTGTAAATTCCGCTGGCGCTCATTATGATCCCACCTATCCATGCCCCCGAAATCAATCTTAATCGCGCCCGATGCGATATTCGCCTGCAACTCCGGCAAGTGCGTCGCCTTTGCGCGCCAGCTGTCCCCGCTGTGGTCTGCGTCAGTCGCTGCGCTTGCACATCCGTCCGGGCATTCAGCACTCACGTAGCAGTCCCGTATGGCGCCTCTGCGCTCTTCTGGCTCACGAGCCGCGCGCATCCGTCCTGGTTGCTCGTCGCGTCGTACACCCAGATAGTCTTGCCTGTGTAGATCTCCTGCCAGCCATCGTGGTCGATCAGGCGGTTGGGCGGCTTGATGCGCTTGATCCCGGACCCGAACGGGGGGAGGGGCGCTTTGCGGATGGAGACGTCGTTCAGAAGGCGGAGGGCGGCGAGGTTGGAGATGTGGGAGAAGTGGGAGAGCTGGAGGCGGTCGGAGGGGTCGGAGGGGTTGATGATGTGGAAGAGTACTGGAGGGCCCTCTTCTTCCTCGTCGTCTTCGTCTTGGTCTTCGTCCATTGCTTCGTCAGCGTCGCTTTCGTCGGCATCGGCGTCGGCGGCCATGTCGGCTTCCTCAGGCGTCTCCGGGGAGTCGGAGAAGAGCTCCTCCTGGGCTTCCCGGACCTTGTCGCAGAATGTAGTCCATGCCGTTTCGTTCGAGTAGTCGGTCCGGACTATAAGGCCCTCGCCCGGTACTTTGTCGGTGACTTCATCGGCAGGATCGCCATCCGTCAAGAAATCGTACGGAGCATTGGGATCAAAGGCCTACTGACAACGTCAAGGATTGACCAGACCACCAATACAGGTAACGCTCACTGGTAGATCCTGCACGAGCTTTTTCTTGTCGTCCGCGGAGAGACTCCAGAACTCTTCGGAGACGCGCAGCTTGCGCTTCCGTCTGCCTTCCCCGGGATGATTGGCCTTGATGAGGGCATACCTACTCTAGTATGCCGGCATAAGCAGGCTGGAGGGATCGTAGTTCCGTGTACTGACCGCACAGAGTCTGGCGAAGAGCGTGTCCGAGTCTGCCATTGCGTTGGGGCTGAAGTGCTGATCTTACTGACGTAGGATTTGAAGTGTGTCGGGGAAACCAAGGATGTTTGAGAGGGGATCGACGGAATGGCCGCGGCAGGATTCGAAACGGAGAGCAGCAAGGATGCCGGCCCGGCAATCCGCGGACGTCGGACCGGGAAGAAAGATGAAGCTGGCTCGCGGTCATGTCTGCTTCGAGGGTTGTTCACGGAGGTTGTGTATCCTTGATGGCTCCCCACTTGCAATGTCAGTTGACCAGGCCGCTGGTGGTTTTGGGAAGTGTTACCCCGCACTGGTCCCATGGGGTAGTTCTAGCCGCTCGCTTGGTATGCAGCGTATCTGAAATACTTACGCGCGGGGAGGCCGTCGGGTCCGTTCTTATATTCCTGCCTTTCGTGGGACGTGGTCCACGACTGCCCCCGTTCTAACCATGGCGCCCCCTGCTGGAACGACAGGTCCCCCACCTCATTTATTTCGCAAGCACCCAAGCTGATTTTTTTCTCGCAGGAACGCAGTTGTCCCGCGGGCGATGGGCCTTTGCCTTTGCCCTCGTCACCTCCCTCTTCTTCACATGTTCGTCCATGAAATCATCTCGAGATATTGTCTCTTACAGTTTGATTGACAGGGGGATTTGCGTACGGTCTTCTTGATGTCCTCAACTCCCACTTCCAGACCGTCTTCGGTATCACCAAGCTCCAGAGTACAATGCTGCAGCTGGCGTACTTTGTGAGCGCTACCGCGCCGTTATCTGCGGCGCATAAACTAATGCTTTCGCTCTACAGGGTGCTTACCTCGTCTGGGCACCGTTTGCCGGTATCTTCGTGAGTATCGGAGTCGCTTCAATGTACCGCTCGATATATTGACATGCCCCCGTCAGATGCGGCGCAACGGCTACAAGGTACTTCCTTACTCACTCATTCCCGTCACTACCTCACTTGGCCTCTAGAAAGGAATTCACTTGGGCTTAGGACTCTATTCCCTCGGTATGCACCACGCACCTGCGTCCCCAGTACATCTCGTAACCCCATCCTATAGGCGCCATCTTCTTCTGGCCCTCTGCCAAGTTCGAAAAGTACGGCGGCTTCGTCGGGTGCACCTTCGTCATCGGCTGTGGACTCGCGACGCTCGAGGTCGCCGCCAACTCGTACATCGCCGTGCTCGGCACGCCCAAGTACGCCGCCGCGCGCCTCAACTTCAGCCAGGGCTTCCAGGGCGTCGCGTCCTTCGCAGGCCCGCTCATCGCCAGCAGGTGGTTCTTCCAGGGCAAAAACGCCACGACCTTAGATACCGTGCAATGGTGCGCCCTCCTCGGTCTTCGTGTGTACGTGGTCGAGACTAAAGCGGACTTGCTTGCAGGGTTTATCTCGCCGTCGCTGGTCTCGGAGTGGTGCTCAACATCCTCTTCTACTTCTGCGACCTGCCGGAGATCACAGAGGACGCGCTCGAGGAGGAAATGCACACAGTGGGCATTGAGAAAGCGCAGGAGCCGTTCTTGAAGCAGTACCGCTGCATCTTCGGCTGGGTCGCGCAGACCTGCTATGTGTGCGTCGACTTCCTTCCCTCGCCTCTCACATCTCACTCTAAATGTCCACAGCGGGGCACAAGTCGGCGTCGCCTCCTTCGTGGTCAACTTCCTCGTCGACCAGGGCGTCGGCATCTCGCAGTCGCGCGCCTCGACGCTCTTCTCGCTCTGCCAGATCACGTTCACGATCGGACGCTTCGTCGGCGTCGCGATCCTCAACTTCATCGACCCTGCACTGCTGCTCAGCTTCTACGGCCTGTGCTGCGCGGCGTTCTCCATCGGCGTGTCGCAGGCGCACGGGTACGGCGGCGTCGCGTGCCTGTTCTGCCTGTTCTTCTTCGAGAGCATATGCTACCCGGTACGGGCAAGAGTCTCTGCTCGATCCTGTCTTGGCTTACTGACGAGCCCGGCCAGTGTATATTCACCATCGGCACGAAGAACCTCGGCGTCCACACAAAACGCGGGTCCGGCCTGATCGTCATGGTGCGTCTTCCCTTCTTGCAAATCGGATCGGATCTGTCCCACCTATCTGACACGCAACCCCTTCCATGAACGCAGGGCGTCGGAGGCGGTGCATGGTGAGTCCCTTGCCTCTTCCCTTCCTTCGGGCACCCCGGCCGGGAAGTCGTCGCTGAATATGTACTTACCTCCGTGCGTGCGTTCTCAGGTACCCCTCGGCGCAGGGCGGGCTCGCCGACGCGGTCAACACGCGCACGTCGTACCTCGTTCCCATGACCGGTTACATCGTCATGACCATCTACGCGCTGTGAGTCCCCTGTCCCCCATCTCGCACATACCTTCCCGGATGTCTGACCGCGAATATCGCTGCAGAGGCATCGTCGCCGATCAGGCGGTCAAGGGCGGGTTTCGCATCCGCAACGTCGACGAGTTCTCCGCGCAGCGCGCCGCGGTGTCCGAGGCGTTCCCGCCGACGTTCGAGAAGGGTACGGCGTACGACGTGCACGAGGACGGGAAGAGCACGCCCGTGTCGGAGGCGGATAAGAAAGCTGAGGAGGTATATGTGGAGAATGCCAGAGCGTGAAGTGCTGCTGTGTGTTCTAGATACGAGTGCGTTCTTGTGTTAGTTCATGTACGGAGACTGCTTGTTCCGTTGTAACAATATCATATCACGCTTGCCATGATTCCAGGGTGTCTTGAGTCATCGCGCGCGGCAGAGGGATAAGGTATTTTTGGGGGAAGCGTGCAATGTAATAAATATAAACATCATACTACCGACGTATTTGACCCTGCTATGCGGTCAACAACCTATACATACACGTTCAGACAGGCTTATGCGGCAAGCATGAATACCAGGTGTCTCACCACTCGAATGTAAGGCAGCGATAATAGCTGGCCAACGAAGGGCAGCTGTCTTAGGAAAGTGATGATAACGGGGAAGAAATCCCTGGTAATTGCAAGTACCAATCCTTCAGTTCCCGAGACGATCTTTTGGGCAGATGGATAGCAGACTCACCCGAACAAGTTCAAGAACCCAAAAGTCTCCACGATCACCCCGACGAATGGCCACTTGAGGAACACGAGGAGGATCCCGCCAATGAAGCATACCGTCCCCCGTATCTTGTTTTTCCGAGCGAAGAAGTAAAACGTGCGTTGTGGACCAATGATGAGCGTGATTCCAATGAGGAACGCAACCTAGTCGACGAAATAAATGGGACCGCGTGAAGGAGGGGAGGGAAGGACCGGGCGTACGTTTCCTAGCGCGAGTAAAGCACCGTCAAAGAACATGATCACCCCCAGCATCATGAACAGCGCTCCAAACGAGGTGGCGGCGACGCCAATTTCTGTCGGACAGACAGCATGTTAGAGTACAGGACATTCTTCGTGAGTACGCGTTTGCTAACTCTGAAGATCCGTCAACCACATCATAACCTCGAATTAAACGGCGTAAGGCGTCGTTTGTGGTCGTTAAGACTTATGAGTATAACAGCAGGCCGAGGCTGGCGCAACAATAGCTGAAGCAGCGGTTGACGTGGCCGCTGCTGCGAACGGAGACGAAGCTGAGGCCGGGAGACGTGTCTCGCGAAGTGAGCTCCCGCTCGCGTCGAAACTGGAAGCGATGCAGGCCACGTGGCTATGGAGATCAATGGCGTCGCAAGTTGGGCTCAACGCGTCCCAGCCGTACCCTATATCACACGGTTCAGACAAATACACCTGGTGCATGAGCGTCATAAATTTCGAGGCTACATAACATAGAAAACAACAAAAGCATCCGAGAAGCACCACCCCGAAATACTTTACGAAGAGACTGCCCATACCCGGACGACGTCGTCCGTGAAACCACCGAAGAGAGTCTGACCATCCGCCGACCATGCGAGGGAAACACACTCAGGCTCCCGCGACTTGGCACCGACATCAACAAAGTCGGGCTTGAGCTCGTCAACAATCGACCTAGAAGCAGCGATTTGAGTCTCCGTATCGGAGATCAGGGTATAAGCACACTCACTTGCTCTCCAAGTCGAAGATTTTGATGCAGCTGGCAGTAGCAGCACATAACCAGTAACGGTTGGGAGAGAAAACGAGGGCGTTGACAATGTCACCGGCCTCGAGGGAGTAGAGGTGCTTGCCCTCGTTCAAGTCCCAGAGCATGGTGATACCGTCCTTGCCGCCGGAAGCAGCAAGCGAGCCGTCTGGTGAGACGGAGATGGTGTTGATGTAACCGGTGTGGCCGTAGTGGTTGGTCTTCAGCTTGAACTTCGAGAGTTCCCAAACCTACGAAAAGATGATGTGTCAGTTTCTCGCACATATTCCATAGTAGACAAGTGCAAAGTCAGAGATCTTGGTGGAAAATGTAGTCTCATTGGGCTGAGCCCTCTGAAGTAGCAAATATTTTAAAGTAACATCATACCGCACAAAAGACGTTTCATAACTCGAACTCAGGCAACTCACCTTGACAACCTTGTCCCATCCGCAAGACACAATGACAGGGTTCATGACGTTGGGGCTGAATCGCACGCAAGATACCCTTCGCGACGACTCCGTATAAACAAGATTGCATTGCTCTTTCAGATTATGACACATACCACTCTGTGTGCCCGTCGTCCTTAATGTCATACTTGCACTCTCCGAGGGTATTCCACAGCTTGATGGTGCGGTCGCGCGAACCAGAGACAATTTGTCGGTTGTCAGCGCTGAAGCTGACGGAAAGGACGTCGGAAGTATGGCCAACGAAACGGCGCGTGGTGGCACCAGTGTTCAAGTCCCACAGGCGGAGAGTGTGATCCCAAGAGGAGGAGAGGGCGAACTGGCCGTCAGACGAAATCACAACATCGGACACGAAGTGGTTGTGCCCGTGCAGAATGCGCTTGGGGTAGCCGTACGTATCCTCGTCACGCGTCAACTGCCATACAATAATCGTCTTGTCTGTCAATAACTGGAATTAGGTTTCAGGATAATGCGTACGAGGCGGAAGGACGGGTAGTACCTCGGGACGCGGTCAGGATCATGTCAGGGTTCTCGGAGGACGTGGCGATGGCAGTGACCCAGCCCTTGTGGCCGGTCAGCGAACCGAGGAAACGCAGCGACTCCATTTTGTGGTGGATTGAGGACCTGTTGGACAACGAGCTGAACGGCGTTCAAGCTGTAGAATGCGAGAAGGAAGCCACTGTGACATCAGCTAGCTAGTACAACGGGGAATGCCGGTCACAGGTATCAGTCACGTTCGCGCCTCTTTCAATCGCTGTGGCCAGCTGTGGCCTGTATAGGCGTCTCTCGTCCAAGGCCTTCGCCATCATTCGTCGCGGAGAATTTAGAAAATGAGGTGGACGCGATTCCGCGGCTAGTTTGACAGGGTTTAAGTCTACCGAGTCTGCTTTGTGGTGCTCCCAAGAGTCCTTGCATTTCAAGTCTGTTAAGCTCGGTCATCACCTCCTCGGCGTTATGAACTCTTCCTGCTCTGCATGACCGTGACCGGCTACTATTTCTTCAACGGCCATCATGAGAATCATTGGGATTTGCAGCCCAACTGCTGCGTTTAGACCGCAATTCCCTGTCTATCTGCACGCACGTCGCCACGCGTGACGGAACGCGTCTCGTTACAATATCTCCGGCGGACTACCGTCATAGATAGATACCTGTCAGTAAGGGTAGATCATGGACAGGATAAGGTTGCTCAGAGCTTACGGGTGTACGCTCACAGTCACCCCCGGATGAGCATGGCACCATCTCAGAAGATTCCGGTCATCAGTGAGTCGGATACTTACCGACGCTAGACGATGAGCGTCGAACTGAACTGAGTTCCGTAGTCGATACCGATCCTGGCGTGGACGATGCTGCAGCGATGTAACTTCCCTTAACCTGCCTTTCACGCTGGTCGTGCTGACCCTCGTTCGTATCTCAGACTGCTTGCTCTGGCATCTCCAGAGATCCAAATCTTGGGCTATGTCGTGACTTTCGGTGCCTATTGCTCGATCTTTGAATTTCATATCATCGCGAGTGCTCATCTCTTCGACAGGGAACACAGACCAGGAGGCCTGCTAGTACGTGCACTGTCTGCCATCGACAGTCCGCATCCATCCTGATCTTCCGACTCACTTAGCAGGAACATCTTTAAGTTGTACCAAGCCGTCGGTCGGCACATCGAACAGTACCCTGAGGACAAGCACCGATTCCCCAACTTCGATGCGTCTGCGAAGCCTTTCGTCGTGAAGGGAGCTTCGCGTCCATGGTCCGCGGAAACGCACACGGCAGAGTACTTTCATGGACGGTATGTAACATCGACAGTGTCTTCTGGGTCTCGCTTATACGGCCTGACATACAGGGATGGCTTGGGTGATATCACGCAACGGCACCCCGACCTGAATGTAGATGGACTTGAGACATTGTCCGAGCACCCATACTTGCGAGTATCAAGAGAAAGACACGTCGCGGAGGTGATGGGAGCCCTGCGAGCCTTTCCACCGAGAAGTATAACCTACATCGGCTTGGGACCCTTGACCAGCTTGCGACATGTCCATCACAGTCACGCCACAGAGTTCCAGGACCTCATTGGACGTGTCATCTGTATGGGCGGTGCACTAGATGTCCCAGGTAATACCAGTGCTGTCGCGGAATGTAAGTTGCTCAACGGTACTATGCAAACGATAGTACTTGACCGCTCTGATTCTAGTCAACACCTTCGGTGATCCCGAGGCACTTCGCGATTTGATAGAGCCACGGGGAAACGAACCTCGCCTACCAATAGAGCGGTTCCTCCTGCTTCCTCTTGACATCACCACTCCCCACGAACTCCCATTCCCGCTGTACAAGAAGCTCGTCGATCCCACGTTCCACTCGACTGAGTTCCCATCAAAGCCGGAAGAAAAGCCCCCGGTCCACCATTTCACCAGCTCGTTCATGGAACGGTCAAGAGAGTTGATGCTCCAATTCGGGAAGGATGCCATGGAGCTTCACGATCCCGTTACCGTGTGGTGTGCAATGCAGAATCCGCCAGTGGTAGACGAAGTCAAAGGTGGTATTCCCCAGCTTAGGCCTGGATGGGTTGCAATGCGAAGGAAGTTCCAGGTAGAATGGTAAGGTAGAACTAATAGGAGACCATCGGGTGCTAATTGTGGTTATCCCGTAGTAAAGGGGAATATACCCGTGGTATGCTTGTGGTCGATCGAAGAGACGACCAAGGAGCCTATGCACCGGGAGAGAACCGGGCTCACGTCCAAGCAGAGCTCGAACGGCTCAAAATAGCCCACGGTGCGTTTGAGTCCTCTGCACTCCCAGCCAGAGTGGAGGTGGAGGATGAGGCTCAGACGGAGAGCATCGGCGATGGCGACGGCGTAGCAGTACTGACCGAGACACCTGGTGCCGTTGCTCTGGTGAACCTGCTGTTCCAGAGGATCTGGGGGGTTGAGATACCATGAATAGAGATGACATCCCTGCCGTACAAGGGTCTTTAAGCGCAGATACCTCTGTCGTTGTTCTCTGAATGAGATAGGTTCCGAGGGGCCTTGATTAATTTCTCTGACTTTGAGAGAATTTTGCCCTATCATCCGAGCGAATAGAATAGACTAGCCAGTGACAAGGTAACTCGTTATTATGAGCAGCAGATCATATGTTTCATTTATACATTGATCGAATAGGCCGCGCCGACGAAGATTGCGCCACACCAGTGCAGTGGCACTTACACGGAGCTTGCGCGCTGTTTTGCCGCTGTGTCGACGTCGTCCGCTACTGCGTCCGCTCTGCGCACGGGAACATGCACCGACTGAAGGGCTCCAGCAATTAGCATATATCTATAGCCTCGCGCTCTCCGCCATCCTCGGACCCAGTTGAAACGGTCGCCTTGAATATTGTGCGGCAACGCTGCGTGGTACTATCCATTGTTCGCAATGACTAGGGGTCGCAAGAAGGACCTTACTATTCCTCCCACACGGGCCCTTACCCAGCAACGAGATTACCGGGCGCGGAAGGCGCAGTACCTTGCGGACTTGGAGGAGCGATGCCGTAAAGCTGAGCAGGAGAATGCAGAGTTGAAGAAAGAGATAGAGGCGTTGAAGATACAGACAGGCATATCGACTATCGGCTTGCAGCTTACTCCAGAGATGGTATGTATTTGTGTAACAATTCGTAAGGCGGGATGTCCGTCGGCCTCGAGATGCTGAAGCGCGCTATTCGTGGCTACCAGGTGCAGGCTACGAGACAACTCATGGAGCATGTGGCGGCCACTCAAGCATCTCTGGGTCATTTCCAGCGGCTTCTCATGGGACAGCCCGATGCACTCCATAGTCAAATGGCAAGCACTTCCACTTCCCCTCCGCCGAACGCGGTCCCGTCGGCGAGCGCCGTCGCATTGCCCTCCGCGGCCTTCCAGCTTCCGCTGACCCCGCCGGCCGTCTCTCCCCAGACCCTAGCGAGGGAGGTCTTATCATCGCTACCTCACCTAGACATTCCACCAGCAGCCATGTCCGCGAACGGCCTCCCGGAACACAGTGGACGTGGCGTCGAAGACTGCGGCAATAGCGTCACGGCCAGCAGTAGGAGCGAGAGTCCGATGTCAGAATGCTGTGGAGGCTTGATGGATTGTACGGGACTGGTTGAAAGTGAAGACGAAGCCGCAGCGCCTCGAGGCGGCTGTAAGCAGAAGACCTCCGAACTCCGCTCTACGTCCGGAGGGTCAGACAGATATGGGGAGGGTAGTTCGGGGATTCCGCGACTTGGATAATTTTCACCTTGCATGCGTCACTGCTTTCGATGTTTCTCATGTTGTTTTGGTGAGTGCTAATATTATATGTCGATCCTCGCTGACCGATTTAGAACGGCTGTTTTGTATACTAAGGGAGTCACATATCTGTATCATAAGGCTCGTTGCTTTGTTAAGCATGCATAGAATCCATTAGTTCTTCTGACTTTCCAATTCCGCCTCCTTGTCTGCACTGTCCCAGTTCAACCATCGCCCTAATAGCAAGGCTAGCCATGTGAGGGCAAGCAGTACAGGGACTTCAACCAGTGGTCCTATTGTCGCGGCCAGAGCTTGGTCAGATCCGACGCCGTATACTGCGATAGCTACCGCTATGGCTAGTTCCTAAGGTATTTCGATACATCAGCGTTCCAGGCGACTGTGACGGAAGTTGTCTACTTACGAAGTTATTACTTCCAGCTGTGAAGCTTTGTACCACCGCCATCTCATAGCCCCAGAGCCGTTCTTCCCGCTTTTCATGCTTCGTCAGATAGTACACCAGTGCGAAGGCGCTTGACCACATGATCACAAAGTACAGGATCATCGGCACAAACACTCGAAAGACAGGGCCAAGGTTGTGTACGATGTGGTGGCCTTGGTAAGCAAACATGACTATTATCGTGTAGAGGAGGCCTAACAGTGCCAGGGGCGAGAAGGCGGGCAAGAAGCGATCGTTGAAGAATTTCCTGTCAACCAGGTAGATCACGGTGTACCGAGTAACAACGCCAGCTACTAGTGGAATGCCGAGGTACTGGGACGCGCATGAAGCTCAGGATCGCAGCCGATGAAGGACACGAGCGACTCACTATTAGTACCGATATAGCCACGTCGCCGTATGCGACATGGATTGTTCCAGCTTGACTCTGTCCTCCGAGGATATTGATGAATAGCACTGCGTAGGGCGAGTACAAGATGATCTGCAGGACAGAGTTGATGATCACCAGGATTGCGCAATAATCCGCGTCGCCTCTGGCAAGTTGATTCCATATCATGACCATGGCAATGCACCTTGCTAATCCGACCATGATTACTCCAGCCCTGTAGGTGGGCAGGTCTGGCAAGGTCGCCCAAGCAACACCTAGCATGACGAGTGGACCGATGATCCAGTTGAGAACGAACGACATCGCGATCTGGATCCAAATTCTAGACGAGGAGAAGACCGTCGGAAGTGCCTCGTATTGGACCTTCGTGAGGATGGGCCACATCATTATGATTAGCCCGATGGCAATGGCTGAAGAGAGTAAGTACGTCATCAGCGACACTGCAAGTCAGGGATGAGCCGTGACATACGAGCAGAGACACCATTGAAGGTTGCCGTGTCGAATGCGTCCTGGACGCCTGACACGAACTCCCCTATAAGAACGCCAATAACCATGGAGATTAATATGGCTGGGGTGAGCAGCCGATCCAGCAAGCTGAGTTGCGCGAGGAGGGCTACCGACCGGTCCATCAGTGTGGGGGTAAAGGTTATGATGCCGCGTTGACTGACCTTTCGGATGGCTTCTTGACGGTGCTGAGGAGTCCCGAGATCCATTAGACGGTGGTGCTGCAGGCAAGTCCATCGCTTGAGTTGTGGGCGAAGAAGTCAGAGTTATACGATATCGACATGACAGTATGTTTAAAAGTACGAAGAGACTGGCTTATCCAAGCCAACATATCAATTTGGAGATCGTCAAATTCGAAATCACATCAAATTCAAAAAGGATTGAAGCGAACCCCAATCTGGGGTTACAACCATGATCGCGGCGTTCGTCATTGCTCTGGATGACTGAGTTTCAGTCTAACCAGCGGCTTGCCTCTACCAACTTACCCGCGGTCGAGAGAGGGATTTCGGTTCAAATTGCTATGATGCTTTATATGCTTCGTCTGCAGTGGTTGACGGTCATTCTTCGTACCGTTTGCTCTCACTGTCTTAACCCATAACATATCTTACTGGGAGACCTCATGCTCTATTGAACTATCGCAATGTGAGCGCCATTTGTATTCGCTGCAACGGAGCTTCATCACGCTCACACCACCCATTACAGGTCAAACAATGATTCAAATAGCGCCAAGACTGACTCGACATCGGCTTTCGTCACAGCCCTGGTGTTCAATGCGGCGGTTTTCAGCGCCGAAATCCTTGCGTTCTCCCTGCTCAGGCCTCGGTTCAAACAAATATATGAGTCCAGAAGCCAGGATGCGCTGCCCAGGTAAGTTCTCTCTCTCGGGCTCCGGGATTGCGGCTGCTCCGCCTTCCTGAATCCCGGTATAATAGTGGCTAACGCCTAACTCTTGAAGCTCTAGTAAACGTGCTGCTGCGTTATCTCGCACTTTCTACTCCTGGCCACTTGCTCTCTACAAGGCCGACTATCGGGACATCTTACGCGTCAATGGCCTGGATGCCTACTTCTTTGTTCACTACCTGCGTATGATGGTCCGCATTCTGCTGCCTATTTGGTTCTTTTCCTGGGTTATACTCCTTCCCGTAACGTCGGTGAATTCCCAAGTTGCGAAGCACAGCGGACTGGACCGATTCGTCTTTGGCAATGTAGCTCCCGACAGACAATCGCGTTACTGGGCACATCTCGTATTAGCTTGGCTGTTCACGGGTTCGTGTATCTTAAATTTTGACCGTAGGCGACAGCTAATCCTGACAAGGGTGGGTTTTGTACAACATCCGCAAGGAGTTGCGGTACTATGTCAAAATGCGGCACTGCCACCTAGCGGATAAAGCATATGCGTCTTCTGCTCAGGCCAAGACTCTGCTGATTACTGGTGTCCCCGAAGACCATCTATCTGAAAAGTGTCTAACTGATCTTCTCTCGCACTTCCCGGGCGGTGTACGCAAGGTCTGGCTTAACCGTGACCTCAAGGACCTTCCGGATAAATTCGATAGTCTTCTCAAGGCGTATGCCACACTCGAATCAGCTGAGACCAGCCTCATCCGGACTGCGATGAAGTTGCGCATCAAAGCACTCAAAATCGAGGGCAAGCAGTCGAAAGGACGGTCGCGGTCTATGAGTGAGGATACGGCAGTCGACCCCATTCGCGCTAATGCGGACGCCGAGGCCGGCTTGGATCTGGCGGAAAAGCTCGTTCCGAAGAACAAAAGACCCACACACCGGCTAGGACCCAATTTCCTCCCCTTCTCCGTGCCCTTTGTGGGGAAGACGGTTGATTCTATAGACTGGGCCAGGGATGAGATCGTGCAGCTTACCGCTGATATAGAGAAGGGCAGAAGTATGGTATTGCACGATCATTCCGATTCGCATATCGACAAGACTTCTGCCATGGCGTACCCGCCACTCAACTCGGTGTTCGTCTTGTTCGAGACTCAGGTCGCAGCGCATCTAGCCAAGGCAGCATTGCTCCATCATCAGCCCTATGCGATGGCGGAAAGGCATCTGGATATTTGCAAAGAGGACGTAATCTGGAACAATCTTGGGATGAATCCGTACAGCAAAAGCGTTCGGACGGCAGTTAGCTGGGCAGCTACCGCCGGCCTCATTTTATTCTGGGCGATCCCAGGTGCGTTCTTGCGTATCGATGACGTTGCAACACTACTTATTGGCATGCCCCTCCGCAGTGGCGTTCGTGGGTGCGGTCTCTAACATCCACTCACTCTGCGCTACAGCCAGCTGGCTCGCTTGGATCTGCCGTCTTCCGTCCGTTGTGGTCGGAATCATCCAGGGTATCTTACCTCCTGCATTGCTAGCTGTTCTGTCGTTGCTACTGCCCGTCGTCTTGAGGCTTCTTGCGCGCTTCGAAGGCATTCCGACCTATACAGGCGTGGAGCTAAGTCTAATGACGAGATACTTCTGGTATCAAGTCGTGGTACGTCCTATAGATTGGGTGAACGGAGACATGGGACGTAGTAACCTTATTTTTACAGAACTCCTTCTTGATCGTTACCCTTTCGTCTGGTATCATCGCTGCCTTGCCTGGGCTCATAAACAACCCTGGGTCCATACCGAGTGTGTTGGCTGAGAACCTGCCATCGGCCTCGAACTTCTTCATAACGTGCGTGGCTGTCATATGTGAGACTCACCGCGAAGATATACTCAACCATCTCTAGGTACATCCTCTTGCAGGGACTCTCCGGAACCGCATCTGGATTCCTGCAAGCTTCCACCTTGGTGTTATACTACGTGAAGCTCTTCGTTCTAGGTTCCACCCCTCGTTCTATCTACAACATCAAATACGGTAGAGGCTCGCTGTCTTGGGGGACCACCTTCCCCGGCATGACGCTGTTCGTGGTCGTCGGTGTGTAATACTACCTCCACCTCGTTGCGCTCCGCTGATCTCTGCCACTGAAGCTATGGCGTACATGATCATATCACCCATCATCAACGGCTTCGCTTGCGCTGCGTTCTGCCTGTTCTACTTCCTGTACAAATATCTCCTCTTGTGGGTATTCGAACAGCCTCGAGAAGGCGAAACAGGCGGTCTTTTCTTCCCCAAGGCCCTTCAGCATATCCTGGTCGGGTTGTACATACAACAGGTTGCTTTGGCAGCGCTTTTCTTCCTGGCGCAGAACGCGCAACACAAGCAGAGTTCCATTGGCGAAGGGGTGCTCATGATCATCCTGATTGTTGTAACTGTAAGTGAGAACTCCGGTAGCCCCATTTCGGCATTAACTTCCGCTTCGACATACAGGCGTTCTTTCACTACACCTTGAACAGGTCGCACGCGCCTTTGTTAGAGGCATTGCCGTTGACTCTCGCTCAGCCGGCATCGCATCCGAGACAACAGACCGGTGGTACCGGTACGGCCAACCAAGACGACAACGCAACCCTGCGGGTGGACGAGGTGGGAAGCACCTCGGAGACGATGGCCGAAGGCGAATCCCCGGGACGCGTCTCCGAGAAGGACAACGATCTTCACGCGTTTGACCATCCTGCACTTGTGGATGCGCCCAGGGTCGTATGGATGCCGAAGGATCCTCTGGGTCTAGGAGACGCAGAGGTGGAAGCCAACAATAAGCGAGGGATCCAGGCAAGCGTTGCAGGGACGGAAGTCGATGAGAAGGGCGGCGTGGATGTCAGCTCGCCGCCGCCTGATTGTGAAGACTGTCATGTATAATATTAAAAAATCATCGTAGGGCTTTAGTAGTAGGACCTTCCCAATTGTAGACCCTGGGTTTGCGATACGTATACAAATCAGTTCGAAATCGGAATATGCCGAGACCCTAACCTGAGGAACTTCGAAGGAATCGGAAGGATGCGGGGCATCATAAGCTTGTATCCACTCGCCACCACGCGACTTCCAACCCTTGCTTGTACCGTCTTACCTTGGCTACGCCCGTGGATATGTCGCAACACCGAGTAAAACAGTCACCGATGACGTCTGCTGTGGATCCCCTTCAGATATGAAGGCATAAAGAGCGGACGGAACTCTGGTTCCGGCCAGAATACTGTTTGACACTTGACAACTCCCGATCATCATGAGTACCATGCAGAAGATTAAAGCTACCCTCAAGGGGGACCACGTTTTTGACCAGACGGATGTCTCTGACCTCCAGGGGAGGGTACGTGCTCGCAACTCGTCACAACGTACGAATAGCGAACCTAACCGCTCTGCAGACTGCTCTGGTGACTGGAGGTACCAATGGCATTGGATTCGAGGTAGCCAGAGGGTTGGCGTTGTCCAAAGCTCGCGTCCTGCTCTTGTCAAGAAAGGCTGACAAGGGGGAGGAGGCGATCGAGAAGATCAGGAAGGAGAGCAACCCGACCGCGGATATCGAATTCATCGAGTGCGACTTGGGTAACCTGAAGCAAGTGAAAGAAGTGGCGGATAGGATCAGGGAGAAGGAGCCCCGACTTGATCTGGTAAGCAATTATTCTATTATTGCAATGAACAAATTGGCCTGATAGATACCGCTGCATAGCTCATTGCGGACGCTGGGATCGGCGTCAACAAATTTGACGTCACAGTCGACGGCTACGACCGCCACTTCGCCGTCAACCACCTGGGGCACTACCTCCTCATCAACCGCCTCTTACCGCTCGTGCGCAAGACCGCTGCTATCCCCGACGCGCCTACGCCTCGCATCATCTTGGTAGCATCCGAGCGGCACCACTCCGCCCCCAGCGACGTCAAGTTCGCGTCGGAAGAGGAGATAACGGAGAAAGGCGCGAGCCTTGGGCCGAACAACCTCTACGCGCGGTCGAAGCTCGCCACGATCCTGTTCACCAAGTTCGGTCTCGTCCAGCGCGTCCTGGTGCCCAACGGCGACCGCATCATCGCCTTCGCCACGCACCCCGGTCCCGTCGCCACGGACCAGCCGAAGCAGCTGGAGGAGGCGTACGGCAAGGTGCTGGGCGGGATTATGAAGAACCTGGTTGTGCCGTTCATGCGGGACCCCGAGCAGGGGAGCCTGAGCACGCTCTGGGCGGCGACGAGCCCTGGGATTGAGCAGAAGGAGTGGAGCGGGCTGTACTTTACCAACCCTGGGGAGGTCGGGAAGGAGTCGAAGCTGGCGGACGATGGCGAGGTCGGGAAGAATTTGTGGGAGCTCAGTGAGCGGATGGTGACCAAGGCGGTCGGTCCGGACGCTCTGCTGCCCTGGAACGAGGGCGTGGTGACGAAGTTCTAGGAGGTGAAGGTATTTAGGCGTGATAAGTCAATAATGGAATGTACATTAGTATCTTAAAGCTTGTAGTAGTTTTAGCAAGGGATATGACCACCTGCGTTCATGGGCATGCTTATGGTGATATAGGCCTGCCTGCCAAGTCAATTGGTGTATGACTTGTGGCACTCAAGTCTAAAGTCACAACCCATTCGCTCAGGGAGTGCATTTCCCGAGTATGCTCATGCAGGCATTCCATCCGCTGAGAGGTGGCTGAGAGTGCAGCCCTTCCACAGCGTGTGGCGTCGGCGACCCGAAATGGCAGCATGTGGCCCAGAAAGGCAATTCGAGCTTGTCTCCTGCTGTCGATCTCTGTCAGTACTTGTCAACGCCGGGATCGTCATGCCCGCGCTCATGACGCGCCCCGCCCGATCCGCACGAGCTCTTTCACGCCCAGCAACATATAATGCGCGCGCATCGAAGCGAGCAAAGCTAGCTCCTCGCTGTCATGACGTTGGTCCGGCTGCGCCTGGGGGTTATAAGCGCGTCCTCTCGGACGATACTCTACCACAACCACAACCCCCCCTTGGGACTAGTACGATATAGACGGCACTTCGCTATGCAGAGCGTGATGGACACTGTTTTCGGGACCGGGTTCGATAAGACGGACGTTCCCGACCTCGCGGGGAGGGTGAGTGTCGCCGAGTAACGCGTCCCATGATGTCCATCGTTGACCATACACGTCGTAGACGGCCTTGGTTACTGGCGGCAACGACGGGATAGGCTTCGAAGTCGCCCGCGCGCTGGCGCTGTCCAAAGCTCGCGTCCTGCTGCTCGCAAGGGACGAGGATAAGGGCAAGGAGGCGATTGTCAAGATCAGGGCGACGGAGAATCCCGACGCGGACGTGGAGTTTATGCAGATTGACCTTGGGAATCTGAAGAGCGTCAAGGAAGTCGCGGACAAGATCGCGAAGCAGGAAGAGCGACTGGATCTGGTGGGTCGACCGCTAGTTGTTCGACGAACGCTGTATTTGACGGAACTCCTGTTAGTTGATTGCAGACGCTGGTGTCGGTGTGAACAAGTTCGACGTCTCTGCCGACGGTATCGACCGACACTTTTCGGTCAATCACCTTGGCCACTTCCTCTTGATCAATCGTCTTCTTCCCCTCATTCGGCACACTTCGACCATCCCCGGCGCGCCCACTCCGCGTATTGTCTCTGTTTCTTCCGAGTTGCACCGCGCCGCCCCGTCCTCGATCAAGTTTGCATCCGAGGAAGAACTGGGCGAGTCGGCTTCGAACGACATGCCCATGACTGCGGTAGCACTATATGCGCGTACGAAGCTAGCCTTGATTCTGTTCACGAAGTACGGCCTCGTGGAACGGGTCATCGTTCCGAACAACGACAAGATCCTCGCTGTTACGACTCATCCCGGCGCCGTTCACACCGGCCAGCAAGACCAGTTCAAGGAGGCGTACGGGCAAGTATTTGGTACGATGCTCAAGCACGTCGTGGTCCCCTTCATGCGGAACCCTGAGCAAGGGAGTCTGAGCACGCTGTGGGCTGCGACCAGTGACGAAGTGGAGAAGAACGGCTGGCAGGGGAAGTACTTTACTGACCCCGGACAGTTGGGCGGCGAGTCCAATATGGCTTGCGACAGAGAGCTGGGCAAGAATCTGTGGGAGCTCAGCGAACGGCTGGTGAAGGAGAGGCTGGGGCCGGAGGGGCTTCTGCCTTGGGCCAAGGACGCGCAGGCGCAGGAGCCTGGGAAGGAGGCGGAGATGTCGCAGTCGGTCAACCAGCCCGAAGTCAGCCTCGCGTAGTTTCTCTCAAGTCTGTACCACCACGTTTATTGTATTACGAAACGCTAGCGCTCGTCAGATTGCTGACGTAGCCACGGGAGCAAATGAGCGTCGAGCGAACCAAAACGGTAAGAGTGATCGATCGGGGGCTCGCGTGCGTCACCGTGTAATGACGTCGCGTCCTGCTTCCCTTCAAATGTGCCGCCGGGACGCGTCTGCTTGAGCGCATCCACCTGTCCCGAGCGTGTATACCACCCAACCTCAACCAGCATGCTCTCTACGTCGCAGAGGATCTTGGTCCGCCAGAACGCGCGCGGCCTGCGCAAGAATGCCCAGTTGTACCGCCAAACACCCAGGAGGTTCCAGTCTACGACGTCGGCGAGCCAGAATGGAGTGGGAGCGTATGTAGCAGCAGGCGTCGCAGGGGGTGCCCTTGTCGCAGCATCAGGTGCGTTCCTCATCAACGCCTAGGTTCCATGGGTGTAACACGAGTAACACAGGTTATGCATGGTACCATTTCTCCGGCCTGAAGACAATCGTGGACACTTCCAAGTCTGCAAAGGCATACTTGCAACAAGCTCACGCAACAGTACAAGAAAAGGCCAAGAACCCCAACGAAGCCCTCGCCTACCTCCGCCAAACCGCCAAGACCTACGTCGGCCTCATCCCGGGGCTCTCGTCCTACGTCGACAGCACGTTCGACGCCTTCGACGCGCTCGCGGAGAAGCACGGCGATGAGGTGAACGCGATCGCACGCAAGGGGTACGACGAGATCCAGGCGATCGTCGGCGAGAGCGGCGGCAAGGCCGATCTGCAAACGGCGACGAAAATCATGAATGTGCTGCAGGCGCGCGCGGGGGAGCTCCAGGAGTTGGCGCGCCGTGTGGGCGGCGACGCGGGCGAGCAGCTGTTTGAGCGGTACCCCCAGTTGAGGGAGAAGCTTGGTGGCGGGTATGAGCAGTTGCGGGAGTTGGTGGAGAAGCAGGGGCCGGAGGCGAAGAGGATATTTGACGATACGAAGAAGCAGGTAGGATGCGCTCGAGATGCTCCAAAGTGGGTTGTGCTGACCTATGGACGTTCTCTAGGTGATGCAGATCCTGTCAAAGGGCATGAGCCCGGAAGCGATGAGCCAAGCGCAAGAGCTCGTGCAGTCCAAAGTCGCGGAGGTCCGCAAGCTCGCAGAGTCCTCGGCCAAGCAAGCATGGGACAGCGGGCTGAACCAGGCGCAGCCCTACCTCGACCAGCTGCCGGAGATCCGGCAGATGCTCGAGGAGAACGCGGGCAAGTTCATCGCGGCGGGGGCGGCGGCGCTGCCGAGTGGCGGGGGCGTCGCGAAGGAGGTGTTTGACCGCATACGCGAGGTCGCGGAGAGTAAGGGCGGGAAGCAGAAGGAGAAGGTGGAGGAGCTGAAGAGGTTTGTGCAGGAGAAGGCGAGGGAGGCGGAGGAACGGGGGAAGGGGGGGATGAGCAATGGGTGGGAGAGTCTGGTTGCGTTTATCAGGACGGTCCCTGGCGGACAGGAGGTGAGTAGAACTGCGGTCGTTGTCGTGACTAGTCCTGATTGATTTGCGATTGCAGGCCTTGGAGAAGACGCCGAATGCAAAGGAGTTCTTGAAGCTGTCGCAGGAACGCGGGGATGACGCTAAGCAGTTGGCGAAGGAGACGTACGAGGAGATATTGCGGGTGCTGGAGGAGAAGGGGAAGGAAGCCAAAAAGCTGGCGGAGGAGACCAAGGACGAAGCTAAAAAGAGGAGTTAAGGGAGATGATCCCGAGATTATCGAGTATTCAAAGCAGCTTGTGTCGATATTATGATCACCTCTCTCATCTCAGTTCTTCACGGAGGGCACGGACAGATCGGCCGAAACCGGTCCGCTCTTCCGGGGAGTCCCACGATGGTCCGGCAAGGGACTGCTGGGACCAGTGCCCGAGTATGCCACCGTCGACACGCCATCCAATCTCCCCAGGACCCAGGTTGATGCGGTACCAATCGCATGTTTAATCAAGTTCGACATTAATTATGTCCTTCTGCTCTAACCGATCCTGCTGGGAACCCGAAGTTCCATCTGCAATAGACTGCAGTCTGTATGAGGTTCTTGCGGACCCACATACACCTACATTGACAATGCGTCGCAGCACGGGCAGCGGCCTCGTGTTTGCAGCGCTTTTACATCCGATTCTTGTCCGATTCGACCAGAAGTGCACCCATCCCCTTTCTGCTATAGGACATGGAGCTCGTAGAGAGCAAACCCCTTCATTCCATTGAGCACAGGTTCAGAGTAAACCTCGAAGAAAGAGCTGATTCACCTTCGACTTGGTCCACACCTGTCAGCGGCCAAGGCTGGCGTTGTCGCTTAGAAGTGGAGCGACGACCCAAGGCGTATACACTCCTGGTGAGTTTGGATCTCACGGGGGTGGATACCTCGTTAGGACCCATTACATTCTCCGTGTATGGAGAGGCTGTCACTGCTGGAGAAGGCAATGTCCCAAATGTGACGTCTTTTAGCGTCGTCTCTGCCCGGACGGCAAGTCTTCCCAGTGGCATACTCGGGCCTATCGTTCGGGACGGGGTGAAAGGTGGAAATGGGAGTGTGGACGTCATCTTCGTAGTGTCCTACCCGACCAAGCCCTCGCGCAAAGATCCTCATTCACTCGAACTGTCCGCAACCCTGCGAAAGACCTTGCATGCCACTATACATTCTGGCAGTTCTTTCGTCGATACAAGGTTCTTTGCATTTTCGCGACGACAGCGGCAGTCCGGCCGTATAGGCACCCCCGTGGCTTTGTTCGCGAACAGTTCAATCTTAAAGACCTCGTCGGATTACTACGAGACGCGTAAGTGGTCTGCGTTATGTGGAAAAATGTTTGGCTGATTGTTCTTCTCGATATCTTATAGTCCTCTCAGGCACATTTGCCGAGTCGTCCGTGTCGGCCTTGAACGATGACTTCCCAGCCCATGAGAACGTTTTCGTGGATGGGGACGACTACGGTTATGAGTCGGACAGCGACCTCTCTGACTGTGAAACGCTCGCTGCGCCTGTGGATGCGGCAGGCACACAGTCGGAGCAGAATGGAATACGGACGAAAGTCTCATCTGGTCGAAGCCACAAGCAAAAGCATGTAGACGCAGTCGAAGCAGAAAAGACGCGGGTGGGGCAGAACAGGTTGGCAACAGGTGAAAATCGAATTATCGACCAGCGGTTTATTCCCCTCGATAATAGATCTTCAACTCGAGTCGAGAGTCTTACCAACGCCGACAGGTTAGGGCGAACGGTAATAGTGAAAGATGCTGCAGCTCGAACGTAAGCTATTCCGTCGTGGTCGACGTATCTGTTTGAACTTAACGTGCCTTCTACAGCTACAATGCGCTCCTTTTCTATCTCTACACTGGGGAAGTAACATTTTCCCACCTGACCTCTTCAGGAAAGGGGAAGGATAAGTCGAGCCAACCGGAGGAATATAAAGCTCCAGCTTGCTCTCCCAAGTCAATGTATCGCTTAGCTGATAAGGTGAGCCGTTGTACTGAAAGACGCCGAATGGCAATCCGTCAGACTGAAGGTTTTGACGTGTCAGTTGGGGATGGAGGAGCTACGGCAGCGTGCATTGGATGCTATCAAATTAGATCTCAGCCTGAGAAACATCGTGGTTGAAGCATTCTCTAAGTTCACAGCTACGTGAGTAATATGATCGCAGTCATTTCAAGAGTCTGACCGTGTTCACCAGCCCTGGCTTCCACGAAATCAGGAAGATGGAGATAGCGCTGCTGAAGATACTCCGCAGCACATTGTACGTCAGGGCGCAGCTTCTGAAAACGATGAAGAGAGTCACGGCAGGGGAGCTCCCGCATGCAGAGGAAGTGGTCCTTTCAGTTACCTATGGATTTTGCTCCGGCGTTTGAGATCTACTATTCGACATGTATACGCACTTTATGAAGGAATATTGGACATGTCTGAAAGGATAACGCGATGTGCGAGCATCGCTTCGTATACCTTGTCGCGCTTTCCAACACCGGTTCTACGGACTATTTTGATTGGCCGGTACGGTAGCCGACGTTTCGAAGCTCCTCGCTTACACGGTCCTTGAGCTCGCACTCCAGGCCGCCTCTGAGAACATCTATTGTGTCTCTGAACGTTCGTGGGGCCCCACAGGTTTAACCATACCAACTTGAGATTCCGGGCTATCCTTTTAATGGCCCTCACGGTTGGCGCTAGCTGTCGACCCTACTAGTTATAGGCTCCATCATGCCTGGCGTAACGCGACGATTTACCGAATATGCAGCATCCGACACCGGCAACGTCAGTATGGTGGAAGGGTTCCCTCATAGTCGGCATGTACCTTATGATCTATGTTGCTGGTGGGTGTCTGATGTGGGTCGTAGCGTGTCATCGAGGATCGATATAAATGAACCGAGCGGTAAGTTCGTTTGACCAAAGCCGGTTGGAGTTGTCGCAGAAATGAATCGTCGAGCGTGTGCCAAGGACTGTCGGAGCTCCCCCTCTTACATCGTCCTAAACGTCGTAGAACATTGGGAATGAACGCTCGCTTTGACAATATGGTCCAGCAAGTCTGCCTGATGCGTCCTTCATCTCCACCCTCGTCGACGTCGGGGAGTCGCCGGAGGAAGCGAGCGTCTTCCGGCTCATCATCTCTGCTGGGATCAACCTCCGATATCCCTACTACACCCATGGACGCATATAGCGACTTGCATGACAATCGCCTTGGACGCGGTTTCTCGGTTATCAAAATGAAGCAGTCTGATGGTGGACATGGTGGTGGAAGATTAGATTCTGAAGATGACCCTCCAAATGATGTGGTACGGTGTCTGGAGCCCGGCTTCAGGCCCACAGAGCTCTTAATGATCACTGTATGCAGGTATTGAAGACCGACACACACACAGAACCCCCGCCGTTGTGGTTATGCAGCACAATCGCCACGCTAGACCCGGCCCATCCACTCCGCCTGATTCTGCCTAAACGAGATCCGCCTGCGTCTGCTGACCCTCTACCTCCTGAGGTGTCATACGCAGAAGAGTCTTTACCTTCTACACCCTCCAACGGGGAACACGATGCAGTATTTGCTTTTGCCCCACCGGATGACCGTGAAATGCCTCTCGCCCAATCTGCAATCCCTGCTACTCTGGATCAGGCTGCCGGGATATCTTACTCAAACCCTATGAAGGTGAAGAACAGGCGATCCAGGCCTGAATTCTTGTCAGATATCGCTAGCGGCGGACCCGACCTGGATGTCATTTCTGATCCGTCGCCCGCACTGCAGAGACCCTCGCCTCACGAATCCTTCCCGATGCCCACTCTCCGCTTCTCTGACATAATTACGTCGCCTTCTGCACAACTGCCTCCTGTTGTCGATTCTCGATTGCCTGTTCTTGGTGACCCTGATAGGACTTATGACCTCGGCGACGGCCCCTACGAGCTACCCGGACCTGCCTTTACTCAATCATCTCGGCGCATGGAGCGACCGGGGTATCCCTTGTCATGCCGCTCTAGCTCGTTTATCTCCAACTATTCCAACGCCGCTAACACTCTGCTATCTGACGACTCCCGACGTGGCAATACGCTTGGTACTAAGCTGGCATACGCAACTAAAGGAGATCTATTAGCTAGCTTACCTAGTCACTATCTGGAGCCTCCAGATATGCCTGAGACTTTTGCTGCTCCGTCAATCTCTGCTGGTGCCGGTAACTTACCTTACATGCTTGACCTCGACAACGACCGATTCTCCGGACTTACCCGCCTGAACATTACAAATGATTTACTTCCTACCGAAAACATTAAGACTGACGCCTTCTCGACACCAGGACCAGCCTACCTCGCGCCTCCTGGTGTTTACTTTGACTCACCTGTTGAAGACCCTCTATATTCTGACCCCATTGAGCCGGACAATTATCAGCTAGACCTGGACATAGACTACGAAAATGTTGACTTTCAGTGGGCTCCCTTCTTCCGGAAGGGTTCTCCCTCCCTCGAGGGCGTATACCATCAGGACCATGGACCAAATCTCATCGCAGTCTCGGTCGGGTCCTCTAATCCAAGACGACGCGCGTCTTCTAGCAAGGCCTCTGAGATAGTGCAGGCGAGCGCCGTGCAAGAAGAGTCACGGAATGACCAAGGGGACTCTCCTTTTGTAGATCTTGGCGAACAATCTGACATACCTATGTCCTTTGGCGGCACTCCCGAGAAACAAAAGAAAGCATTCGCCCCCGCTCCAGACATCTTCATATCCCCTCTGCGGACCACTGACCAAGATGAACCCCCTCAGACCACTGAACTCGCCCATGAGTCCGCTGGGCAGCAGCGTCATGGAGGGATCCGTGATGGAAAAGATACCAGTAAGGTGTGTACAGGGGGTGGCCAGAGACAACTTGAATCCGATACCGTGGGTTCATAATTCGTCTATCTTCAGCTTGACGGCTAGTTGACTAGACACCCGGGACCACGTCACGTTCAGGCCTTCCATCCCTTCGGTTTCGAAGGAGACTTCTCTCCGGTTTCGACGTCAACCCCGCCCCCGTCACGACCCGTCATGTTCTCGCTAGCCGCTGGGAAAGCAGCAAATGGTCCACTAGCCATTGGCACAACTATTGCAGGCGCGGTCGCTGATGAGCAGGACGTGGGATTGGTCTCTTCCCAAGCTTCCAACGATAGCATCGAGTCTTGGACCAGTGCAACAAAGTAGAATGGATATCGTATGACTTTACGCGATGCTTTACTCTATCTGATATTCTACCACAATCACTCAGACACTAAAGTTACTACACGGAGAAGATATACTAGAGGTAGACGGGCATGCTGGTCCCGCATAAATAATGAATATTCTACAGAGAACAACGCAAAACAATGCACAGCAAAGCGAAGAGACGAATAGACAGCGGGGTATTGCGAGGATGACTGGACAGATCACCAGCCCACATCTTGCCCGGAGAAGGGCTCGACCGTGACGCCGGTCTGCCCCGCGACTTTGCGGAGCGTGTACCGTTCGAGGTCGTAGACTTCATACGATGCTGCGGCGAGCTTCATCGCGCGTAAGTGGTGGGGGCGCGAGTTTGCTGCGATGGCGTGTTTGCGCGACTGCCAGATGCAGGTGGCGAGGTTCATGCCGGTTTTTGCGTCGGGAATGCCGTACCAGTACATGATCAGCTAATGCAGGCAACAGTCAAGGTCAATGTCAGCGTGAGGAATAGGATGGGGACAAGCGAAGGACTGACTCCGCCATTCTGGATAGCCTCCTCGTGCGCCTTCTGGTCGGCGTCGTAAAGCGCTGTCATGAGAATTGAGCACGACAGACTTGTCACCTCGTACAGAATGCCACACTCACGTCCGCTGTCGCTGCCATCTTTGCGCTTGCTCCGGAACACGACACAGTACCACTCGCGCTCTTCCTCAGCGGGCAGACGGAGTTCACCCCAATTGAAGGCAGCGGCGTAGGGCGCGCTGGCATAGTTGGGCGTTATAGGGTGGAAGTTGTGGAGGGCTTTGTGTAGGGAGAGCGAGGCAGGGTCGATGTCCGGCAAATGGGTCTTTGGCGCTGACGACGACTGAGGGCCGACATTGTGCACCGAGAGGTGAGGGGGGAGGCAAGAGAGGAGCGGCGGGAGGAAGAGTATTGGGTCGGAGCTGCTGGTGCGGTCAAACTTGGGTACAAGATGGGGGTCCCGAGGGGACGCGGGAGGCGTGTCAACCCCGGTGAGACGGATTTGACCATGCAGCACGGGTCGCTTGGGGAAGGTCGGGGAGGTGGGAGACTCTACCAACGTTGCGCCCGACATTGCATGAAGGCAGAGCACTACAGATATTTTGAGAGGGCCAGGAAGATGTGTTGTTCAGCACACAACAAGCGATTTAAGTACCAGGAAGTGCGGGGTCAGAGAAAGTTGCGCGAGAGCCCCGAGACGTGTCAGCAGAGGTTTCGATATAGCGGCCCATAGAAGCACCAGGTTTTGAGTCGAACATACCGCATTAGATGGCGCCATGAAAAGCGAGTGAACGGGACAGATGGTGCAATTTGACGTACTTGCTTAGGAGGTGGGCGCGTTTCGCGATGGTGTCGCAATCGCTGTCATAGGCAACACCCGTCGCTACAAAAAGCACGCAGCAATGTTTCCTCCGTTCGTCGAGAGGTCTGGGATTAGCACTCAGAGCACCATACGCGCCAGTGTTTCAGTAGGCGTGTGGGGAAGGCCAACTATCCCCCGCACGCGACGCGGACATTATGCTGATGTCGCCTCTCTGTAACCGACAATTCCGAATTGACCGTGTGCACCCCTCGAAATCCATGGGCAGCCATAGGTAGTGCTGCCAGCTGCATTATAATGAAGCATCGAGAAGGATAACAGGTGCTTGACAGATCTCGCAGAGCTGCGACGGACAGGAGAAACATCTGCTCGGGCAGAAGTCGGGAAATGCCTCGTTACGTAATGGCCTCCGACCCTCTGTCGAATTCGAATCCGAGTTGCAGCGTTACACCACACAAATGGCCACCAAGAAGGCGGCAGACTCGACTTTGTACCATCTCAGCCCGAAGGGCTTTTGGAAGAAATTCCGTGCGTACTGCTTTGAGCTAGCAATGGTTACAACAGCTCACCCGGAGCAGGGGATGCGGTGGTCGTGAACCCGGAGATCTCGAGTGGTATCCCACTCCCTCATCTTAACCGCTATCCCCAGCCTGCTTCACGGCCAGAGAAGTATGCTACGCCAGCGACGAAAGGTGTGTAACGTCCTGCACGAGTCTGTTTAAAGATATTGATGTACTTCAAGCCTCCGACCCCGCACAGAATCCGTATTGGAAGCGTGACGTCCGACGCGCATACCCCCAGCTCTCGGTCATCACTCAGACGGAGCTGTCCTCCCTCCTCCTTCAGCAGCCCGAGAATCAAGCGTATGTCCTGCTCCATCAGTGTCTTACTATTCAACGATAACATCACCGTTTACAGCCTTCTCGGCGCGCCGTCAGAGGCGAAGGAGGGCGAGCAATCATCCGTCCCTGCTACTTCCAAAGCTCCCGTTGATCTAACATCTGCCATCGCTACCATCACCTCTGCTCGCAAGGCTTACTCTGAGTCGAAGCTCCCACCTCAGCTCCCGATCCCTTACAGGAAATGGGTGCCCCAGAGAGCTGAGGACGCGCCTCACGACCCGAATGCGTATTTCCCTATGATCCTTGTCAAATAGATGGCTATTGTCGTCCGTTGTCCCATATCATTGCAGCACCTCCCAAGCTGTGTGACGTCTGCTCAGTACGCCAATATGAGACGTGAGCCTAGCACTCGAAACGAAGGTGACGCTCCGTGATGGCCAGCTATGCTCAGAATTATAGAACGCGAGCATGGTAGATCATTCGTAGCTTGTTCACTTCAACATCTCACTGCGCTCTATAGCAGTCCGCTCCGGTCGGATTTGTTTGCACGAGTTGCCCGTCGGCTTCAGTTTCAAACATACCCAAACAACGCCTTCACGCTCAGCTATGTCCGCGCCCCATAATGCTGAAGCCTCATCCTCGAGTGGGGCAACCCGCGCACCACCCACACTACTAGCTTCCAGTACCGCGGAGCAGCAAGCCGCAGCGTTCGATGCGGATCCCAACACCTACTTCGACAAGGAGAGCGGGACTTGGCGGTACGAGAATGAGGATGGCACGGAGCTGGAATGGGATACTAAGAAGAATGCTTGGGTACCCGTGGTGAGTTCCAAGTTGGTGAACGCGTCTCCAATGAAGTCTCACCGACGTAGGTAGATGAGGACCTGCTAAAGAGCCAGCAAGCCGCGTACTCGGTGGCAGGCGTAGACGAATCGGTACGACGCGCTCCCTGCCTTCGATTGTCCATGTCACTCATGCTCATGACCTACGAGTAGACCCCCGCAGCGCCCGTCCTCGCTCGCGACAAGAAGAAGCGGAAGCAGCGCGACAATAACAATGACGAGCCCTACCTCGGGCCCGCCGCGAAGCGCAACAAGAAAAAGGAGCCCGCGCCGGGCGAGCGAAAGTCGAAGAACACCGCGGTGTACGTGACGGGCCTGCCCGCGGACACGGAGTTCGACGAGCTGCACGAGCGATTCTCCAAGTGCGGGCTCATCGAGGAGGACGACCAGGGCGAGCCGAAGATCAAGATGTACGCGCGCGACGACGGGAGCTTCAGCGGGGAGGCGCTGGTCGTGTATTTCAAGGAGGACTCCGTCACGCTCGCGCTGAATATATTGGATGACGCGGAGCTCAGGCTGGGTGATGCGAGCACGCGGATGAGGGTGCAGAAGGCAGATTTTGCGCATAAGGCAGGCGGTGGCGGTGGGAACGGGAGTGGGGGAGGAGAGGGTAATACGGAGAGGAAGACGGTGGACAGGAAGAGGGCTACGAGGCGGATAACGAAGATGCAAAAGTGAGCGTTGTGATGCCTTTACTATGGAGTGGCTAGCTTGCTCATGATTCGCAGAAAGCTGGAGGAGTGGGATGATGAGGAAGAAGGCTTCGGACCCTTACTCGACAAGAACGACAAGAGCCAGTCCATAAACAAGAATAGCCGAGTGGTCGTGTTGAAGCACATGTTCACACTACAAGAGCTGGAGGAGGATGCCTCATTACTGTTGGACCTGAAGGAGGACGTGCGAGAAGAGTGCTCTACGCTTGGTGAAGTCACCAATGTCGTATTATATGATGTGAGTAGACCCTTTCGTATTTGATTCCAGCGACTAACGCCTCTACAGGCGGAACCAGAGGGCATCATGACCGTAAAGTTCAGGGACCCCTTGAGTGCCCAAGCATGTGTACTGGTGAGTTTCCAAACTATAGCATCTGATGCGGCCATGTTAACCCTTGGTCCTTCGCAGAAAATGAATGGGCGGTTTTTCGCTGGCCGTCGGATTGAAGCCTCTCTTTATTCCGGAAGGCAAAGATTTAAGAAGAGTGGTGGAGAGATTGATCTTGAGGGCGGGGAGGAGGCAGAGAAGAAGCGTCTCGCCGAGTTTGAGCAGTGGTTGTTAACGGAAGGCGACTAGTCTGTGGCACGTACAACGCTATGGGGCTAACGGATGGATATCTTATTATTCCTACATTGTCCTCATCCAAGCGGGGTGTAAGTACAAATATTATGGGGCAAATCCGCGTCAGTGAAGTGTCGTCTACCAGAAGGAAAAGAACGGCTTGGTGTCTACGGTCTCGAGACGCTATGAAAAGAGCGATCAATCCGGGTCCGCGCGACTATGATGCACGCGGCGTACCTCTACTATGGCAGTGCGTTTCTTGGTACTGTCCAATTGTTCAGGACGCATCCAGTCGAAACTGCGTCGGTCTTGTCGGGGCCCACCGTGCGTCGTCCAACGCGGGTTACGTATAGGAGTGTCCAGTTGTGGCACGGACATCGACAAAGCCACCAGACCGTTTTCATGCTCAGCACTGTCGTCGTCTTCAGGGACCGGTGGCAGATTCTCAGCCCGTGTCGGAGGTGAGAAGAGGGAACTTGACGACGGCTGCTCGGGCCGTCTGGGCGCCTCTGCCGGTTGTGCCTGCGACGTTGACTTGGATGCAGAGGAAGATGATTCCCCAACGTCCATCTCCTCCTCGTCATCCGGTATTCCCGGGTCTTCAGAACCTAGCTTCTGGAGACTCGCTTCTACAGCGTCGAGGCGCTCCATATGTTCCAGGACAGTAACCCCCGTTGTCCCAGGATGCACGCGCTGGTACTTCGCCGAGAAAGGGACAGGCCGTGGTATGGCGTCGGTCGATGTCCGCCGCATTGCTGGCGGTGAATCTACCTCGCCGTGACTCTGCGCCCTGCGATGCTTGGACATCGAGGGCATAGATGTGATTGATGATGCAGAGAGTGGGCCGGTGAAGTCGAAAGGATCCTCGGCAGTCTCGTCGACGACCTCAACCTCGTCGTCCCAGACTAGCACCTTTTGCCGACGGGTCAGTTCAAGGGGCCCTGCATGTATTCAGCGATGCTTCCAGAGAGCATAAAAGGCGATCCTCCTACCTTCGTCCTATGATAAGACGGATGGGCATCAGTGGGCATTCACATTGCTTCGTCGGGACCTACCTCGTGTTTCAGGGATTGAACAATGTTCCAAGCCTGGCCCTTGATGACAGCAAGCTGTCTCTGTAACCACGGCACGTGTAAGCGTACAGAACTTGACATTTGGGAGAGGCACAGACCGAGAACATCTTGGGATGGAAATCTGGATCGATCGCAAACAATTTCCGGAGTTGGAACGTCGTCTCCTCCCACCACTCTTTCGATGTCAACAGGGGGAGGAAATGATCTCTAGTCTTCTGTCCGAAAGGTCTACCGATAATGCTGACAGGTAAATACAACCATCCGTACGTGTACGACCGCCAGCCGTGCGGGTGCTCCCATGGGAAGCTCAGCGAGTTGTCGATGGCGGCGATGTGGATGTGCGGCTGTTTCGTGTACGGCTTGTTCAGATCGGGCACCGACTCCGATTTGGAAATAGACGGCATGGATGGGCTGGACGACATGACGGGGGAAGGGGCGGCGGACTCGGTCCTACGCAGCTCGCTCATTTGTGGCATCTCCAGACGGTTTGAGCGCGACGGCGCTACGTCTACGAGGGACCTCTCGAGAGGAGCTTCGCAGTATTTGATCATGTAGTTGTCCGCCCCCCGGTCGGTGTTGAGCATTAAATAGTCTTTGATCGTCAACATCTGGGACACCAATATGGGCATGCATGTTGGACATACCTAGAATTACAAGCCTAGAAGCAGATAAGTGTTAGTGGCCCTGCCTGAAACATACGCTAACATACGTACTTTTCCAGCTCTTCTCGGAAGCTCTGCTGTAATGCTTGAGACCAATAGAACGGCCTCCCGGGCTCATTAGTTTCACTCGGATCAAACAATTCGTCACCCTCGACATCCTCATATTGGTCGTCATCGTCACCGGTCCTGCCACAAATAATCTTGACGGTGCTTAAGCAGCGTTTCGTGAAATTGCCCTTCCTGTGGGTATCGTCGTCGAATGTGTCTGCTATAGCCCGACCAGGCCAAGGATGTTTGCGTAAAAATTCAGAAGCGTCTGCATAAATGGTGAGCTTAGGTGGAATACGAGTGATGACGAGAATCAGTTGAGGACAAACCTGTATATCCATGCAGGAAATACTGCATGCTACCGATCTTCTCGGGCAGAGGCTTCCCTTTCTTTGCTGCTGTGCGGTCTATCCAGTCATAAAAGAAAGCCTAAAAGAGAGAGGTCCATGACTTCAGCCCATGCGAGAGGTAGTGCCACTAACCGGACTAGAGAGTGACACTAGTTCAGTTCGGGGAACGATGTACAACTCCAGTCTACGGTCAAGCAAAGATGCCGCAGCTTCTGATATATAGCTAAATGACGCAATAAGGAAGGGCTCCGTCCAGAGACGTTTAGCACCTCACCTCAGATTCGGGATTAGGCACGCCCTGCCGAAAGGAATGATCCATCGGAATTGGCGATGGAGCCATTTGGTCGTCTATTGAAAGTTGGATGCAGCAGACCAGACGGTTAGAATAGCTCGCACCTTCGGATTAAGTCTGCCGTAAGGTTCTTCGTCCTTGGGCTTGAAGACTCTGGCAGCGGCGGTGAATAATCGACCGGCAGCACTTCACTCGAGATACTCACGCCACTGTCTGCACTCGCCCGTCCACCTTGGCGCGAGCAAAGTAGGACCCTGACGAACCCTTCGTGATCATCTTAGGATGGATACCTTCCGAAATAGCCCTCTTGACAGCCTGTACAATGCTTGCATCCGTACACATTAAAGGCATGCGCATTTCATTCGCATTGACAGTACGCACGCCTCAAAGTCAGCCTGAGTCATGGGGGGCTTGTGGTCCAGAGTCTTGATCTGAGTTGCAATACAGCATGGTCAAACCCTGCACCAAGTGAGGGAGGACATAGAAGACTAACGAGTCCTGAAGCTGAGGGTTGAGGGACGACTGGCGGACCAAAGATAGACTGTATAATCTCTTTCTTCGAGTTGTCTTCCACTTTCTTCTTCCTCTTCACTCTCTGAGCAATGGACTCCGTCCATCTGACCAGGACCACATTCGTTCATTCGTACGGAGCATCCGCAGTAGGTATACGGGTACAGACCTCTTGAACGCATTATCCAGCTTACTCAGATCAATTTTGGCTGGCCTATGCGAACGTTGAAGAGTCCGCGTCGAAGTGGTATGCAGACTCTCGGCGACATCCTCCTCTTCATCAATCGACTGTGCCAGGGGCTGGTATTCTGAGCGGCTAGGAGGCATCCAGTCCTTCTGACGGGTTGCTTAATGTCGTGACGACGCCCGGAAGGTCCTCTACCGTGCCAGCTGAGAGAGAACGAAACGTGTAAGACGTGGCTTGTGCTCCGTTACTCAAGCTGGTGTGCCTTCACTGGCTTCAGTCGGAGGAGGTAAGGACGCGACTGGACACGTGGCTTGTGCCACAACCCTTCACACTTCACGTCCGGCTATCAACCTGTTTATTACTCCTCGACTTTGCCTCGACTTGTCCTCGACCACACACGTCCTTCAAACACGTCCAAGTCAACATTTTCTAGTGCTTGCTCGTGAATATCAGCGCCTCGTAGAACCTAGCTGCGTGGCTTTTGCGACTCCGTGGTCTGGCAAATTACTACAATCAGAATCGATTGACTTGCGTGGAACGTCTAATATACAGGAATCCCGGCTCTTGTACTCTGCATGCGACATGAGAACTCAAGGAATATGTCTTCTGTCTACGGCGGCGTACTCTTCTCATCGCCTGGTAAGAGCTCATAACCTTTGCCTCTGAACCTTTTCGGCCAGATACCCGCCCTCCCTGGCGCCAGGATACCGTTCGGATCGAGAGCGTCCTTGATAGTCTCGTTGAACCGCATAAGTGCTTGGTCTCCCCAGCCATATGTCCGCGCGACCTGATCCATGAAGATCAAGTGCGTCCTGTATTCGCCGTACCCTTCGTCCGCCGCTTCTTTCACCATCTCCCGCATAAGAGCGATCGCTCTGCGCTTCTCGTCGTCGTCTGCGCGATCATATACGATGTTCGCGATGTAATGCATCTCTCGCCCGGCGACACACCAGGTCGGGAACGAATCGAAGCCCCATTTCTTGTGGAGACGCGTGACGATCTCGTGGACCACCCTCGCGTCTGCTCCTTTGGTGGGCGTGATAGGAGCGAAGAACAAGTGGGCGCCATTTGGCTTCCAGTTGAGCCAGTCAAGCTCTCGCAGTTCTGGCGTCCCGGAGCATACTCTGACACGCGAATGGATATAATGGTCTGCAGGCAGCTCGTCTGGCAACATAAACTTGGAGCCTGGAACCTTGGCAAACTCCCGACGAATGATGTCTAGCTGCATATTGCGAGTCTCCTCTGGCCCATATACGGTTCCGTAGAAACACCAGGCGACGTCTCCGCACGGCATGTTCTTAGCATGCGACCGAATTACCTCCCTCGGCATCGGATCGTTTCCTGGGTAAAAGAACGACTTTGGCTTGCCAGTGACAGCCAGTTCTTGGATAACGTTGCGCAGTTGTGGGATATTGCCCAATATGCGGTTCAACGCGAGAGGCCGGATGATCTCGATGATCTGCTCAAAATCTTCGTCTCTGGGGAACGTGATCATGTAGCTCTGGTGCCCTGTCTCGGGCATAAGCCACATACCCATCTTCGTCACGATGCCGAAGTTCGATTGACTGAAGATTCCGTCGACTGACGGTCCGTAGGCGTGTTGGAAGGCTTGCCAGGATGGATTATCCGCGCCGTTCTTTCCAGGGAGCGCTCCCATGCCTGTCCGGAGCACCTCTCCTGACGGCAGCACGACTTCCATACCGCAGTGGTTTGCAAAATGATCACCGTAAGGGGTGTATCTATAGTGTTGAGCTTGATCAGACGCTGTCGTAGAGGCCGCTCTAATGCACTCACCCAACACCGCGATCAATGCAGTTACCCAGGACGCTTCCGCCCCCAACATCCGGCGGGTCAATCCACAATGGTAATCCGGTCTTCTGGACTTCCTCGTACAGCTTGAAGTAGCTCACTCCGGGCTCGACAATGCAGGACGCGCTGTTACCGTCGATCTTCAGGACCTTGTTCATCCGCCTCCCGAGGTCTATGATGACAGAACCCCGAACTCGAGGTGCCGCACCGCCGTACCCGAGGTTGCGGCCCATGGAGATGGGGAACACTGGGATCAGGTACTTGTTTGCCCAGCGTACGATCTTCTGGACGTCCTCGGTGGAACCCGGGTAAACGGTGGCCGAGGAGACAAGCTCCGACTGTTGTACGATGTGGAAGGCGTCGTGAGTGTTCCTGCGTGCACTGTCAAGGGCCGTCCATCGCAAGACAATGACTACTTACGGGTGTTCCATATACCATCCGTCGACGAGTGGTTTGTCATTCAGCTCGATGTTCTCCGCGCCTAACAGTTCCGTCAGCTCAGCGACGGCTTTGTTGAAGGTATCCCGGTCGACGTCTGGGGGAAGCACGGGAAGCTCTCCATCACGAGGGACTGACGGCGGGAGAGTCTTGTTGGAATAGAGCCGTGCCTTCGACTGCTTGCATTGCTCCGCATAACGTTCCGGTATGCCAGAGTGTTTCTCGGTGATGAGGGGCGTTATAGGCAATTCCGATAGAACGTCAGCCGTCGCCATCGCTTTGTAGTCGCCTCTAACCCGATGGTGCGACGCAGGTCAGATACTGCGGGGATGTAGGGATTCTCAGGCGGTCGATACCGTCTATTTAGACCGTTCATCGGCTTCCTGAGCTGAACCCTTCTACCGAAGCACCGATTAGACAACAGCAGCTGTTCGTCGAGATGCGCGGCATGTCCTCAGCTGACCAAAGTCAGGACAAATCTCAGGCCGTGTGGGGACCTCAGAGTTGTCGTTGGCTCTACGCCTAAAAGTTTAAGCAGAGTGTGGGGTATAGGAGAGGTGAAGAGACCATCGCCATTGGCGGACGGAATAGACGGGATTAGACAGAGATTCGCCTTAGGCAACCGATGCTCGGGCGGTGAAGTACTCACGGACAATGCTACTCATCTATTGTGATAAGGCGTCAACACATGACAGTTCCGCTAAAAAACACCTGATATGCATGGTACAATCGACTAGGCAGATACAACTAACTATTGACAACAACCTGAGGCGCAGGAGGGTCAATGGCAATGTTACGCTGGGAGGATTTGGGCCGTCCGAAAGCATCATACTCTACTAGATTCCTGACCGGACCTGTCTTCGGGTCGAAAAGCGGTCGAATATTACCTGACGCTAGTTCCTCCCGGACTATCTTCGACATCTCGTCCCACCTCGCGTAAGTGTCTGCCTCTGCATCGTACGGATACAGCCATCTGTTCTTGATCTTAACGTCATCAGGGTCGATTTCCTGGTCAGCATTGACTTTCTTGAGAATGTTGTGCCACCTATCCCGCACGTCTTCACCGTTTAGCTGAGATTGGCGGACACGGTCGAAGCGAAGCTTCTCATACACTCTGGTCTGCAGGTTCGGAAAGAGTCAAATCGATACCGCCATATTGAAGCGAAGACTTACGGCAAGCGGGATGTTGTCTTTCCCCGCGAGTTTCAGACATACAGCTAGGACAGCAGCGCTCTCCGTAGCTTGACTAGCACCTTGTGCGCTCGTAGGTAGATGCGCGTGACAGCTGTCGCCCAGCAGTGCGATCTTGTGGCTGCGAGAAACCCACGTTGGCAACGGGTCCCTGTAGCAGATCTTCCAGTCCAAGCACGACTCCGTCACCTCGACCGCCGAGGCGATGGTCCGATCCAAGTCGGCAACCAGACGTCGCACCTCGTCCATGTCCCCAGGCTGAAACCATGACTCCTTGATGTCGGCCGTGTCCTTGTGGGTGATGATCCAGTTGAACTCTTCTCCGTCACGCAGGGTGTTCTGCACGAGGTGCTTGTCCTCGCCGATCCATATGTTCACGCAGTCCTTCTGGATCAAGGATTGACATTCGGGAACGGACTTCAGAGGTTCTCCCTTGAAGTAAGCGCGGAAACAGGCGTAGCCGGAGGACTTTGGGGCATCGTGGAAACCGAGTACCAGCTCTCGGGCGAGAGATTTGATACCTGGCAGAGATGTGAGTCCTCAGTCTTCGCGAAAGATCGGTCACAGTACCGTCTGCGCCAATGATAACATCAGCCTCAATCTCCCGACCGTCTTCGAGAATGATAGACGGTTTATTCTCATCAAATTGTACCACCTGGTTGCAACCGGATGAGGAGTTGTCTTCAGATACCAGCGGTTTCACACACCTTGTGTCCCATATGAATAGGGATGCCGCATTCGCGAACCCTCTGCAAGAAAGCGTCGTGATAGTCGCCCCTGTGACCGATGTAGCCGGCCATATCCATGAGCGGCTGAACTGCCAGGATCTTTCCATCCTGCCAGCGTCGAATCTGCATATTCTCGCTCTTGTTCCCTATCTTGATCAGCTGGTCGTGCAAGCCCCACCGCTGCAGCAGTCGCAGGGCGTTCTCGCCCAAACCAAGAGAGTCTCCCAGACGCAGGAACCTCTTGATCTTCTCGTAGACTACGACCTCGAATCCTGCGTGGTGCATGGCAAGCGCTGCGGCACATCCTCCGAGCCCCGCTCCCACTACGATAACTACAGTGCTGCAGTCAGCATCCCTGCAATAACGAGACGAGTTTCGGATCACCTTTCAGGCGTTCGTTCCTCTCGTTGGCTGCGGCCATGGTTGTTGTGATCCTGGACGTCCTCAAATGTGAGGCTTTGACGGCGGTGAGAGACGATATACAGGTCGAGGACCATTATTTCTGTGGTCGGAAAGTCGGTTTAAGCGCGAGGAGAGCACTTCGTGTCTTCTGATCATGGCATTGAGCTTGAGACTCCCCACGGGGTACCCCCGCATATCGTACCCATCAGGACCACACCGACAGTCGCAGTAGTCACGCGCGCGGGTTACGAAATGCAATCCTCCCTACAAAGTTGAGGACGCAGATTATGTAAGCGAGTCGCGCAGCGGCTCGCAAAGTGGACGCGGAGCCATTGCAGCGGATGCGCCCAGACGGTTGCCCGCCTAACACATTATCTTATTTTTGAATACTGCTAATATGCCGCTAGTGCAGCGGTTAGTGTGATTGGTTATTTCAGATGCAATGATGTGAGCTCGAGGTTCAATCCCACCCATGGACGATATTTTTCACTTGTGATGATTCTAGTTGCCTTCACTCCGTAACGCAACTTGAAATTTTTCTTTTGTTCTCTGTCTCATCATGCAGTCATTGCAAGGCGCCAATATTGATGACATTGTGGCACTTTGAGTCCGGACGAGGGCCAATCTATACACAAAGCCTTCACTTGGTATTATACTTTGGGGTTCAGTTTCAAAAAATTAAAACTACATGTGTACTGATATACAAACCATTCAACTTCTCATGATCATGGGAGGTGGTGTTACCAGTGTACGAATGAATTGCAGTGAGTACACAACCTCCTCACCGCCTTAGGATTCCCATTCCGAAGCGAGTCGCCCAGACTTCAGACGAAGTCCCTCGCGACGCTGCGGGGTTACCGCACAGTGTCTCGACCTTCCATTTATAGCGACTCGCGTCCTTAACTTTGTAGGGAGGATTGCACTTTCTGCGCGGGTTGCAAGCCGGATAGTAGGGCAGGACAAGCACAAACCATTGTACCGATCCCATTATACGGAGACCTTGGACAAGTGCGTTACAACGCTCTGGATGACCGCCCCCTCTCCGACGCAGCGAGGATAAGGGGGAAGACAGTGCTGGACGGTCACTGACACCCGTGCCAAATCCAGCGGCGGTCACAGCCCTCCAACGTAGTCGCATCCATCCTCTACCCAAGTAACTCAACTGCTAATGACGGGTGCCTCCTCATGTTGACGCTTATCCTCGAGATGCTTGACAGGACCGAATTACCAGAGAGGCGTACGCCAAGTCTCAGCGTCGTGTGAACGCTGTACTGGTATGGCTTGGATTCGAAACTCTGGCCCGCATTCACGCTCCTCTTGCTCAACGTCCGCAGATTGCTTGCGATCATTGCAATGACGCCCTTTTCGTCCGAATCTATCGCAAGTACATATGGATAGGCCTCCGAAATATGACTCGGTGGTCCTAACCATGATGATATCTCGGCGACGCGTCACTCGGCATGCATCTTGACTCTAAGTACAGTACGGTGCTGAGCCTGACGCGTTAGTAGCCTTGAAAGCTCACTTGTGATGACAGCTCGCCATCCCTCTCCGAATGACTCTCATTTGGTGCGGATACACATAAATTGCAGCGCCTATGTCATCCAGGAAGAAATATAAAAGAGCCTCTTCATTCCGCCTTCCGACATTTCATTAGACTAGCCATCATTATCTCTTCAGACATGTCAGGTTTCAAGAAATTCGCGGTCGCCGGTGCAGGCAATCTTAGGCGATATATCATCGAAGAGCTGTTGAAACTTAAGCAGAGCGGGGCTGCTGGTTCAGTATCGGTGCTAAGTCGAGTGCGTGCTTGTCTAAAGCGTCCTGGTGATCCCCCGGGTAATACTGTGTAATACTGTGACTTTTGTGCTGACAGTGAATTCTACTCAGAGCAGCGGGGGCGATTGTAAATATCCCAACTTAACGATGCTAGGAGCCAAGTTCATTGATGGTGGACTACACATCGCCTGCCTAGCTGTCTTCAGCACTCTCGGGCACTGAAGTTGTGATCTCGACACTGGGCGGTGTGTCGACCCTCCAAAATGAGCAAACTGTCCTGGCTGAGGCCGCGAAGCACGCGGGGGTGAGGCTTTTCGTGCCCTCCGAGTTTGGCACGCTTACCAAAGACCTCAAGGAAGGCTTATTTCCGTGAAGGCCGCTTTCCCCAAGACGCTGGAGAAACTGGGCCTGCCGTTTGCTAGGGTGACGCTCAAGTTCCGCCCAACCGCCTGATTTATGTTTCTAATGCCCAGGTACTTTGATTGGGATTTACCGAACGGCAAAGTGACCATCCAAGGTGAAGGCAATGCTCCGGTCTCCCTCATGGCGAGATGAGACGCGGGGCATATACGTCGCTTACGTCCTCACGCACCTACCGCCGGACCAACCTTGGTGAAAATACTTCCGCATCGAGGGTGACAGAACGGTACGCCACACTGTCAGTTGTACCATATCCATCGGCAGGCTTACTCACCTGCATTCAGACGCTGAACGAGTTGGCGGACGCGTACCAAGCAAAGAGTGGGAAGAAGTTGGATCTTTCTCATATGTCAAAAGTCGAGCTGAGGGCGGCTTTGAGGAAAGATAGCGAAGACTTGGCGAGTCTCGCGCTTTTCCTGTCGTTGCAGCTGGACGAAGGGTTTTGCATTGCACGGAAGCCCGAGGAGCTGGACAATCACCTCTTTCCCAGTTGGAACCCTACGAAGGCTGTTGACGCGCTTCTAGGACAGTAAAGGTACCGAATGTATTGCGTCGAAGTGGCGATATCTGAATTAATGTCTGTTCGGGCCCGCAGCAGTGATGTCAGGAGGTAGAAGACTATTACTCGGGTATGCCGGGGTGACCGATAGAAAGTTGTGTTATTACTGTCTGAACTTGAAGGTTTGAATGATACAGCCCTAGCGAGCACACGATATGCCGTAGTAAAGCGTTGCGATTGTTTCGTTGGGGGCACGGTTGCCTCCACGCCACATGCTGCTGTGGCCAGTATATTGATCGAGAAAAGAATCCTGTCCTACCTGTCAGTAGAGCAAGCCACATCTGGTAAGAGGAGGCATTATCGTCGCAGAAGCGAAACACCCATGGGGATAGCTGCGCTTGAGCTGCGCACTGAAGTGCTACGAACGCGTGACGTAACGCGTTAATGATCCCCTGTGCCGTGTCGACGCGTTGTATTTCCCGCTTCCGCGGCATTACGGATCGCAGCAGCGTATTTATAGGCCCTGGCCACATCCATATATGATTCTCCCAGGTGTCGAATTCGTTTCATTACTTCCGCAGCCTTGTTGACATCGTTGCGCTGAACTGCTATGGGGCAAACGGCGTCGTATCTCGGCCAATTCTTTCCTGCTAAGCCCAAGTTCACCGCGGCTGATGTACCAGACTTGACTGGGAAAGTCGTGATAGTCACAGGTTCGGTCCAGTGTGTGGTTCCTGGCATATGTTGCTAACGATTATCCTACACGTAAAGGTGGTAACACGGGTATAGGGAAGGAGACAATCAAGGTCAGGAATGGTAGGATATGTGAAGTAGAGCGCAATTCAAGCTAGTACAACAGGTCCTGCTGGCACACAATGCCAAGGTGTATCTGGCTGCTAGGAGCAAGTAAGATCTCACAAAACAACCTTCGACGGCAGGTTCTCATTGTGTTCAGGTCGAAAGCAGAGGCTGCGATTCAAGACCTTAAAGCACAAACGGGAAAAGAGGCATTATTCCTCGAGCTGGACTTATCCAGTCTTGATAGCGTCAAGCGATCAGCCCAGGAATTCCTGAGGTCAGGGTAGGACGTATTTAGCCATAGCAATTGTCTGACTCGCCTCTAGCAAGGAACCGGCACTCCATATATTATTCAACAATGCGTAAGTCGCTTTACTTTGTATCAGCGTCAATTATGACTGATAGACATAAAGGGGTGTGATGTGGCCCCCGATTGATCAGCTTACTGCAGACGGATATGATCTGCAATGGGGGACAAACGTTCTCGGTATGAGAGGATGTCCTGTGGACTCCTGTTTCCAGTCTAACCTCCGAGCGATAGGTCACTTTTACTTCACTGAACTACTCATGTCAGCTCTAATTGCCGGTGCCGAGACTTCGCCGGACAAGAAAGCCCGCGTAGTAACCACTTCTTCCTTCGGCAACTACATGGTGAAGGGCATCGACTTCGCTTCCTTCAGAGACGGACCGGAAAGGAAGAAGTTGGGCCCGCAAGACCTATACAGTCAAAGTAAATTAGTGAGAGGAGGTAATTGCTGATTGGGTTGGGATCCGACCTGACTTTTCGACCAGGGGAATGTTCTTATCGCCCGTGAGGTGGCCAAGCGGTATGGAGATAAGGGGATAGTCTCAACATCCGTCAATCCAGGTCATCAGCACGCATCCATTGCCATACTCTCTGGACTGACTCTTATTTTCAGGGAATATCCGCACTGAGCTGACACGACATGCCACATTTCCAGGGATGAAACTACTTTCTGTGAGTAACGCTTCCTGGGGAACTCAGAATAGTGTTCATCTTGAGCACGCAGGTTCTCGTGTTATACCCTGTTCACTACGGCGCAATCACCCAATTGTATGCCGGAACCTCGCCTCAGACCGTGGATGCCAATGGAAAGGTGAGCTTGTTGTGAATTTCTGCTGTCACCCTTCTCATTATTCCGTACAATAGTTCTTCGTCCCTTGGGCAAGGGAGGCGAAGCCCAATCCGGTGGCTTTAGATTCAGAGCTCGGAGAGCGCCTGTGGAAGTGGTGTGAAGAGCAAGTGAAGGACAGATAGCCGTAATGCTACCCGCCTGGACGCTTTCCGGGACCTCTGTTTCAATCATCTCGCATGTGTTTTCGATGTCTTTCATTATTGGATACATACCCACGAATGAGATCCCACCTTTGCTGAAATCGTGATTTTGGTTAAGGGCGCCGCGAGGCACCGGCACTTTTATCAAGTACTCAACTTCTCAACCATATGGGGATAAGCTGTAGGCTTCAACGAATGTACAAAAACATCCGAAGACAAGATATATAACCTCCAGAGGCACATACACCAAGAAACTAGCTCGCGGAGCCTCGTGGTCCATGATACATAGGTCTACTATGCTTCATGACTTTCACAATGACAAGTGTTTTAAAGAACGTAACGTGTTCGTCCATTGCCGTGCATACAAATACAACTGTCTATGGAATTATGTGTAGTCGTGCGGATAGGAAGCTGACAGACTATGCTAGAGTTTGATCTGTGAAAAGCCTTGCAAACGCGCGTTCAACGGCGCATCATGGGCACTATTGTTTCATAGGACCTGTCTTGCATTTGACCATTGATCTGGATAGGAGGGAGTGGCTTCTCCTTACCAATTTCGATGTCCTTTGGCGCCCTCATGGGAGGTTCCGTGGCAATGGCATCGGACAAGTAGGGTGCTTTGAAAATGGAACGGTCCATGATTGCAGGGATGGTCTTTACAGCCACAAATACCCAGATGACGAGAACCAATCCTAGAACAATTGCGTCAGACGAGACGCAGAGTGCGTTCATGCCAAAGGAAACTTACCTGACCAGAAGGCGCCGAATACGCGGAATGTATAGCTGTCCAGTACGTCGGCCAACTTTACTGTCAGCATTGCGAACACGCCGTTCGGGAAGATAAGTCCCCAGTATGTCATAGCGAACGGAATCTTCCCCTTTTTCGCGACATGTACGATGGAGCAGATCGCGATGATAATCCAACAAATACCCATCGACCAGAGGATGTACGCTCCGCAGAAAGATACCGCGAAGATCATCTGCCCGACGAGTGCGGACTGAGGGAACATGCCGGTGTTGTGGAGTGGGAGGAACTGCGCGAGGTCCTGCCCTGATTGGAGGAGCGAGTATCCACCCTGGCCGAGGGGACCAAGAGTGATGAATGATGATAGGATGAGACTTGTGTCGGGTGGCCCATGAATGATGATGCGCGCGAGGTACACGGTGATCATCATTATGGCTAACGAGAGCCCAATGATGACCATGGTGTACGAAAAGCCGGAGGTGAGGATGGCTATGGTTTCATTGTGCTCCCGTAGAGCCGGTGCTATGTTTCCTCCAGAGGATGAAGCGACAATCAGCGTCACAACAGGAAGGAGCCAGACAGCAGTCATCTTCTCGAATGAGTGGTCCTGCTTGATCATCCTATAGCAGAGTCACGCATCCGCCGTGGCGAGGAATAGGAACAAGCCTACATTGTGAAAACCATGCCAAAAGCGACAGCGTAGGAGACGAGGAGGTCCATCCACCAGAAAGCCCAGATGGCCCATAGGAAGCTCTTACCGCCCCAATGCCACTCCTGATTGAGGATCTATCGCGACGTGTAAAAAGCTGATTGTGCATAGTATAATCGTAAGAATGTCTTACCAAGGCAGCATTAATGAGTGTCGCAGCCCCCATGGGGAAGGCACCCATGAACATACTTTGCGCGGGGTGTCGTAACATAATCCCCCACACCTGGCAGGAAATGAGTGGAAATTCCTGAATAAATAGGTTTTCGGTTCGTACCTCAGGGAACAAGACATAGCGAGCAATGGTGGCGGAGCAGATAATAATGAACAGCACAAAGTTAAGCCAAAAGAAGAGCATGAAGAACACTTTGAGAACTGTGCTCCCCGTGCCGAATGGGAATGAGTTCGCTAGGCCCGATAATACACCTGTCCCCATGATGACGGTGTGCCAAGCCCAGGTAAAATGTCTGGCAGAGAGAACCGAGTTTATTCGTCACTCCTGCGTCATTTTTCGCTCGAAAAAAGACATACCTTATGCATTCCTTCCAACTCTTCAAAGGTGGTCGGGAAGCAGCCATAGTGGAATAGGACGACGGTGTCGACGACATCCAACGGATTAATATGCTATAAAATGGTTGATATGGTGGGCGACGAGTCCTCGCTGGAGATTCTGAGAGACAGAGGGGTCGGGGCGCGGTGCAACATCATGTGTCGAGTTATGTATTGACCTCAGCAACAATTCCGAATTGCAGTCAAGCAGTGACGGGTCACATTCGGATTGAGAAGCTGTCACGTGAGAACTCCTTACAGATCACACAGGCACAGCATTTGCTGCCGCAATTTGTTTTTCACGACTTACACTACCTTCGGGACGTAGAATAGCTCTAACCGATCGTCTGTGGGCATGTTTCTGCAGTGCTCGATGGCCATCCTGTATATTCAACGAGAAAACCCTTCCTCGGGCTCCAGGCTTGCCCCGAGAAATTGACGCCGAATTCCGAATTATCTTGTGATGCTTTCCACGCCTTTCCAGCGACGCGCATAGCATGCTCTTCCTGGCTCCGCTGCGTCCAATGGCTGGTAACTTGTATGAGTGGGTGTCATGCTGTTGCTTATCGTCGGCACCGTAGTATCTATCACATTTTGTATGCTACCGACCTCCCCTCTGACCTGCAGAACAAGCCCTGCCATGTTTTACAGCCATTCCGAATTTGGGCGCTAAATTCGGAAATGAGGATCCATTCCTCCGATATCTTCCGCTTCTCCATTCAAGAATGACTGACAATGCTGCAATCTGCCGCTCGTGACTAGCCTCCGATGCATGTCAGCTATACCAAGTGACGCTGAAGCCAAGTGGCTATTCGGAATTGTGGATGTCTGGGCTGAGGATAGATCGATGGTTGACCCGCTATTCGGAAAGCCTTGAAGGGATATAATGACAACCAACTGCTGCTTCCTCCTGACTTCAGGCGACTTATGCTTTCTCGAGCGCTCAGCAGGACTCCAAGACGTACTCCTCCCGTCAGGACTTCACATCACTACATTTCGAATCGGACGGCTCGGGTCAGTGGGCCCCTTTCTACCTCCTGCACACACAACGGGCTTTTTGTACATCGTGACTCGAGGACCTCTCACTACGTCATTCCCAGGATGTCTACATTGGTATCGCCGCAGGGTGCCTCCGTGTCCGTTCCCCAGAGCTCTGTCAACAGCTCTGCCGGAACACTGGCTGTTCCTAGTCAGACTCACGTCGACCTAGGGGAGAACACGCCCAACGTCTATAGTTTCTTTGAGCGGGTAACCTCCACATGGACCTATGTTGTCGCCGACCCTGCCTCCAATGACGCTGTTGTTATCGACCCGGTTCTGGATTACGATCATTCCTCCGGGAGGATATCCACGGAAACCGCCGATGGTGTCATGGGATTCATCCTTGATAAAAATCTCAACATTCGCCGCATCCTGTGAGTAGACGTCCCATGCAATATATCAAGGACATAAGGGATTGACGGTATTCTAGCGAGACCCATGCCCACGCAGATCATCTCACGGCCGCTCAGTATCTCAAGCAACGTCTCGGGCAAGATGTACCTGTATGCATCGGTTCTCGGATCAAGCAAGTCCAAGAGAGTTTTGCGCGCGTCTACGACATAGACCCGGCTCTTCTTGAAGACACATTCGATGTGTATTTCAAGGACGACGAGCAATTTAAGCTAGGCAACCTCTCATGCAAGGTGCTACACTTGCCCGGTCATACACCAGATCACCTAGGCTATGTCTTCGGCAGAGCGGTCTTTACCGGCGATTCCATTTTCATGGTAAGTCCATCCTATAGCGCGGGCTGTCTGCCGTATACTCAATATGCGGTCAATAGCCTGACGTCGGCTCTGCGCGGGCGGACTTCCCTGGGGGAAATGTAAATGATCTATATAACGTACGTCAAAAATTCTTTAGGAGCTGAGACTGCCCTGACCTCTTTGTAGTCCATGCAGCGCCTCTTATCACTTCCATCGGATTATCTCATATTCGTGGGGCACGACTATCCTCCGGAACGAGAGGTCCAAGACGTTGTCACCGTCGCAGAACAGCGTGAGCGAAACAAGCATGTGAACGCAGGGACGGATGAGGCGACGTTCAAGACTTTCCGGAGTACTCGAGATGCTCAGCTCGGGTCTCCCAAGTTATTGCACCCCTCACTACAGGTTAATATCCGGGCGGGGAGATTGCCCCCGGCCGATAGGGAAGGAAGGGTGTTTTTCAAAATCCCGGTCAAGGCTTCGGTGGCGTTATGAAAGGACATGGGGCGGTCGGGGTTTACCACGATATGAAGAGAGGTAGCTTAGGTGGTGTTCTATGTAATGGCACCGTGATGTGGTTTTGTGGCCTATTTATGTGTGCACTTCAGATGTCTTTCTGCGCGTCGGGCTTGAAGCTTGAGGAGGTAACCAGATGAAAACATAAATTTTAGGCCTATGATACAACGTCCTCACGACATACAACATGGTTCCAGCTTCTCGTCCAATGACAGCCGCGTCGCTCTCACTTACAGTATGGCTTGTTCCTGAGTCCGAGTCGCCTGGCTTGCCTGATATGTCTGGATGGCTGTGCTCCCGTAACATCTCGTCAAATTTCTTCAGGCTCATTCAGTAGCCCCAGTCCAGAGCAGCATTGTAATCACTGCATACACGGCGCCCTACACGCGAAAGAACGGCAAGTCAAGGGCTTTGTATAGCTGCATATTTGAATTCGCGTAGACAACTACGGGACAAAACATTTAACTATAATGGATGGGCAGTAGCGTGTATCATCCTACCCACGTTGGGGAATATAAGATCCCATGCCGTAGCTTTGAAGGGAATCCTGGCTTTCCGTGGAGAATCTAGCGTACCCAGCATCGCGTACACAAGCCACATAGTAGCAATAGCCCATAATATGAAGCTAATGCATACGCAGGTCACGCTGATGATTTCGCCAGTTGACCCCGAATTGAGAACCTCAGAAGCGCCGGAATGGAGAGGCAAAAAGTGTTTGAGAGATTGACCAACGAGTAGAACGGAGCAACCTCGTTGACCCGTCGGACCCAGAGGAATGAAGGTAGAGATTATGGTGCCGCCTAGAGGGAGGCCATGCGGAATAACACATAGAAGGTGTATCGTCATGATCGTGAAAGCTAGCATCAACCCCACTGTGACCAAAGCGATAGAGAAGAGTGTCGTGATCAGATCATGGGAAGGAGGAAACTAGTACAAGAGCTCGGCCAAGATTCCGCAGAAGAAGAGGCAACGATCACAGTCACGACTGGAAGAAGCCACACGGCCGTCATCTTGTCCAGAAAGTGGTCTTGACGCGCTATCCTGCAGCCCTGCGGGCGAGCAGTCGTCAGCCAGCTGCGGTCACCAACCTACATTATATGGAAGAGACCCCCGAACATAACCACAGGAACCGCCACGTCCCGCCACCAGTGCGCCCAGATGGTATATAAGTAGGACTTCCCTCCGAATCCGTATTCGTTATACATGAGAGTGACAGATACGTTGATGAGCGTTGTCCCACCCATGGGGAAGCACCCGAGATACGCATTCTGGACAGAATCGTGCAGCATGAGAGACCAGGACCTCTTGTAAAGGGTATACCGCGTAACGCAGATGATCGTGAGGATGAATAGAGCCAGATTGAGGAAGAAATATATGGAAGTGAGCATCCGCAGCGCTCCCACATCTATGTAGAAAATTTGCAAAGAGCATAGAGACTGCTCCATAACCTACGTAAGAAGAAGAGATATCAGTAGATCCACAGCGCGACTCGGAAGCGGTCAGTAGCCCCCTCGCTCCTCTGAGCAGCTGCAGTGAAGAGCGAGTTCAACAAATCATTACTGCACAGTAATGAAACACTCAACCATGATTGCGGCAACCAGCAAGGCTCCAAACGCCTGACTCGCCATTCGAGTCAGCTCCAACCGGCATGAAGATGTATACGCACAGAATGCATCCATTTACGAACTGTTTCGTTCACCTGCCGCAGCAATCCATGGAGGAAACGAGAATTTCGGTTCCTTATCTTCGTGATAAGTCCTACTTCTACTTATGCGCCTGCGTCCCGCGAACCGTATGTTCTCGGACGGTTCAAAGGATCCGCCACGAGTACCTAATTGGGTAAAGAGTCCAAATCTAGGTCATGTAATGCTTTCGATTAGCGCGCTAGAGATGCTCTGTCCACTCTTTTTATTGACAGCTGGACTAACTAGCGCAGAGCATGCTCACCTTGTGGAACGAACTGATCGTGGACGAGAAACAGAAGAGGATGACCGAGGTGAACTGCCGCGACGTCGACGTTCTGTCCCGATCGCGCAAGTGAAGGTTTCCCACGGCTATAATTGGCGGAAGAAGTTCAAGCTCGGCCGTATAAGAAGCTCCTGGTCGGGACGCGACCGTTACCTCTATTACCGTGTCTATACCCTCTCTTTCTACGCATAATGGGCGTCCTGAACTTCTGGTCGACTGCGTCGTCGAAGGCTGCTCCGTCTGAACCGACGGGGGATAAGAAACAGGATCGCCCCGTCGCGAAGGAAGAACCGAAACCGAGCGAAGACGTTTTGCAAGCTGCAGGTTCAGCTTCAGAACCGGCTCCTGCTGAGGCTGGAAATGTGGCTCTAGTTGCCTCTGCCACAGCGAGGGACATCCCTCTACCTCCTTCTCCACCTCCGCCGGTCTCAGAATCGGTACAAGAGCCTGCTTCTCCAGAACCCCCCGCTCAGCCTTCTCTTGCGCCGAGTGCGTCGGAAGCTCTGGTTCCGCCCGCTTCAGATGCAGCACCATCTCCCGTATCTTCCTCTGTACCTACACCTGAGCTTGTTCAGGATGCCCAACCATCAGTGAAACCTTCGCCCCCCGACAACCGCCGTTTTTCCTTCCGTGCTCTTGGGATTTTCGGTGGCCGCGTCGACCACAGGCAGCAGCTATCTGCAATTGAAGAGCGCCACAAGAAGGACAAGGCAGCAGAAGCATATACTAAGCATACTGTCAAGCAAACGAGCTCCGACAGACGCGCCAAAGAGTCCGCGCTCGTAGTCCGCTCTCTGATTGTAGGGCCCTCCTCGATTACGCCCAGCTCAGCTATGGTCAAAGCCGTCTCCAAACCGCAGATCAAGAAAGTGAAAGCTCAGCTCTTGGAACCAAAGTCGGCTAACAGGGTTATTGCCCAGCTGCGCCAGCTCCCGTTGACGGAGGGACCTCTGGCCAATGGCCCTGCGAAGCCAGATATACGCACTAAGAATCATGGGCCTATTCACGCGGTTTGCTTGCCGTATACCGACACTGAAGCGCAGGAGCGCCATTTCTCTCGCCTTGCGAAGGACCTCACGCCGGAGCCGGACGTGCCGAGTGTGACGAATGCTAACTTTGAGACGGTCACCTCGACGTTCAAGGACCTGCAGGTAGTGGATCTCCTCACCAGAGGAGGTGTTGATATGGGGCTGGCGTCGCCGATCGGTAGTCCTACAGAGGGCATTCTGTCCGGTGCCCTTCCGAGCGCGGAGGCTATGATCAATGGTATCACCCAGATCACGCCTCAGCTCATGAACTTGGGCTTCGCGACGGGGAAGGCTATCATGCCAGATCACACCGGTAAGTAACGTCAGAAATACGACTAATTTCGTGCCCGTCGAATGTTTGCTCCTGCAGGTGTCTATCCTCCTACTGATAGGATGTCTGTTATCACATGTAAGTCGGGGTATATGTGCCGCGTATGTTATGCCATCTAACCTGCACTCTATCCAGACTGGTGGGGCCTCGAAGTAGTCCTGCCGGAACCGTCTATGCACTACCTCAGCGTTCGTCTTATACCGTTGACTCTTCGATCACTATGGTCTAACGGAATACCATGAAGCAGAACGTACCCTCTATATCGCACTCCGTGCTCAACTTCCTCTCCGCCCTGGCGCTGGTCAACAATGGCGTTGCAGAGATTCTGCCTTTCGTCCGATACATCTCGTCGTACATCGACTTCGAGTGGAACTCGATACAGAAGCAGGATCATGGGCAGGGCGTTGTCTGCGCCGCTACCTGGTATGTTGGACGATTATAACATTTTGCTGTGTTTGACTGACTGTATGCGCGTTTCAAATCCAAGGATTATGCCAGCTGCCATGGTATGAGCCGTCTTTTTTTGGCGTCTGCGAGGGATGAAACTAATCCCTTAATAGGTCCCTCGACCTTGGGACTTCGAGTCCCCACCTGCGGATGAGGCGCCTGTAGCTGAAGAGACACCCGAACGGAAGTCAGGCTCGATGCTGAAGCCTGAGGTTCCCAGTACCCCTGCGAAAGGCGACGGCTCGGCTGCCCCAGAGCCAGGGACAGGGACCCCGCCGTCGAAGAGCGAGGAACCGACGGAGATGCCGACGCTCCCTCCGCCTCTGCCTTCGTTCAAGGTTATACCCCCTACACTGTCGAAGAAGACCGGTGATGCCACGGCGCCTATTGTCACACCGCCGGAGAAGCTGGCTGAGGAGCCCGCGGTGCAGATCATGAGCCTCACAGCATAGGCTCTAGGTATCATATCCAGTATGTTTCTCTTGGACTGCACGGTTTTGGCACACATATCATTATTATTATCTGTTCGCGATGACCATACATTGCACAGACGCCACTCGTTGTATTTCGTTTTTAAATCCCATTCACGACTATTCACGACGTCATATGGCAGCATACCCTTCGTGTTGTTCACGGTATACCAGTTTGTCTTGTATCATCAATCATCGCATTTGTCGTAGCAGTGGCTAATAGATAATACATGTACATGTTGATAGATCCACGTTCCTTCCGCTCCTATACCAGGTTGCTGGTTATCCTACATGCTGCGAGTACATAATTGTCTATTGTGTGGTCACAGTGCTGTCGGGTTCTAAAGCGCAGCAGATCGTAAGCGACATCTTCATTGGATGTGGACCGATTACGCTCACCGATGTAGTCGATGGGTCCGTTGTTCTGAAGGTTCTGCAACTGCAACAAGAACGTTGCCGGGATGGTGGCCGAAAAACCCTGCGATGTGATGTTATTAGGCTGTGGCTACTACTTGATCGCATCACCACCGACCTTCATGATAGTATCGTAGCGATCCTTGACTTCTCCGCCTTCGCAGACGCCTCAGAAGGAAGTATACGATGTGATAACACGTGGATGACGTACCAGCAGCGGTGAGTTCGTTGGTGCACTTGTCGATGTCCTCTTGGGTGGCATCCTGCTTGAATACAACAATATACTCTGCCGTTGCATCTGTCAGACCAATGAAGCTCCACAAGTGTATGAAGACGCACTTCCGGTCATATTTCTCGAGTAGAATCTGCGGAGATGGTGGGTGTAGAGACGAAGAATGGTTGCTGCGGCTTAGTGGGCAGCTGTGGCAGAGATAGCCAGACGCCACACGATGACGGCATCGCCCGGAGTGGACGGATGGGCGAAGGTGGCAGTGACCGCGCAGGTACCGACTTCGGCTCTCGGTGCCACAATCCGCGGAGGCTCGGGCGCGTTGCCAATGTTCATTTATTCCTAATCATTTCCTGTTGTTCTCTACACCAGAGAATTCTGCTGTAGTGTGAAGTCAATCGGTCTCGGCGTCGGGTGGAAAGCAGCAGAGACGCCCGTCATTAATCAGCGGGCGGAGGCGGGCGGTCTCGTGAGTCATCACCACTAAAGGCGTCGCGTCCGTGGCGTGGACGACCCATGGTATGTTTCTTGTTTCCCCGCGTCTCCTCGCTGTCCTACATCGTTCAGCAAGTAGAGACATTGTGTCCATCATGCGTGTTACTCGTTCTTCCACTCGAGCCGCGGCTGTGATGCCTAAAGAGGACGTGTCGGAGCCAGTCCAATCATTGGACCCCAAGCCGCGTGCCACGAAACGCAAGGCAGCAGCAGATACCACGACAGCAAGGCAGAAGAAAGCACGGAATACCGCAAAGACGGAAGCACCAGCCGTTCCCGCTCCCAGCAACCCTGTGGTTCCAACAAGCGAGAACGGAGCTCCCCAGGCTTTTGTCCCGGCAGTTCTGACGTTCTCGTTCGAGGATGCGAAGAAACATCTCATTAGCGTGGATCCGCGCTTTGAAGACATTTTCGAAAGGCTGAAGTGCAAGCCGTTCGAGCACCTCGAACGAGTAGACCCATTCCGGTATTACAAAACAGTTACTCTGCGGTCCCGTGAGATGTCGTGTTAATCGCAACGCACAGAACTCTGGCACAATCGATACTGTAAGATCTAGATTATAAGAGGAAGTTTACGTCGCACTGAACTGAACGCGATGGCTGCTGTACAGAGGCCAGCAGATATCTTGGCTAGCAGCTAGGTCGATAACACATCGTTTCAGGAGGCTCTTCGACCCTTCCCTCCCCGAAAAACCGGATCATGCAAAGTGAGGATCCTCGCACACCCGCATTCTGGGTCGAAACACATATGACTCTCGTTCTGCAGGATGAATGACGCTGACAGCTTCTTCCCGACTGCTCAGCAAGTTGCACAGTCAGACGTGGCCACGCTGCGTACGGCAGGCCTGAGCCAGCGGAAAGCTGAGTATGGCGCGTATATGTACTGCCTTACAGTAGAAATTGCATGTATTGATTCAGCCGTATATTCCTACAGTTCAAGATCTAGCCTCTAGGTTCGCAGATGGGCGTTTATCCACTCAAAAGCTATTGGAAGCGGGTGATGAGGAACTGTACGAACTGCTCACTGCGGTCAGAGGTATAGGGCGGGTAAGTGTCTATGGCATGTCCGACGTATGCTACAGCAGCTAATTGTCATCTTCAGTGGACAGGTCAGACCATCACACATAGACACCGCTTGTTCTGACGCGGGGCTGCAGTTGACATGTTCGCGATATTCTCGCTGCGGCGTCCCGACATCCTCCCCGTCGGTAAGCAACCGCCCGTGCAGTCAAGCTAGTGGCGGCCTCGCTAACCGTATTCCAGGCGACCTCGGCGTCCAACGCGGCCTCATCCGCTGGTTCCTCTCCCTCCACAACCCCTCCTACACGATCGACATCTCCCCGCAAAAGCTCCCCAAAGCGCCAGACGAGAAAGAGGAGGAGGAGACCGGCGGGCCCAGCGATGCCCTGACGCCCTCCGCGCCCACGGCCTTCCCGCCCGTGCCAGCGCTCCCCGAGACGCCCAAGAAGAACAGGGGTAGAGGCAAGGCGAAGGCAACCGAATCGGATGACGACGACGACCTCGGGCCGCTGCCGCCCCCGTTCACGCCGTCCATCAATCGGACGCTGAACGCGCGCGTGCCCGAGGAGGTGAGGAGAGTTGAGCCGCTGCCGGAGGGCTTGACAGTTGCGGTATTGAAGAGCCGCCTGGACGGGAAGAAGAAGATAAAGTGAGTAGACTGTTGTGGCATGGGTGGGATGTTGGGCTGATTAGCGCCATGTTAGAGGCGCGATGTTGACTCCGCAGGAAATGGAGGAGTTGACGAAGAGCTGGAGGCCGTATCGAAGTTTGGGTGAGCCGTCTAATGTGAAATATTCTTCTGGCAGAGGCCGTGCTGAACTCAGCTCCTTACAGGTGTGTATTACATGTGGTCTCTGGCCGAAGGAACATCAGCTTGAGTGTCGTACTATTGTTCTCGTTCTGCGGGAGCTAGGTGCACCATATCACCGCTTCAGACTCGCCGAAACGTTTGCTAGGATTGATTCAAAAATATTGAACACCGTGCGCACATAATAATACTTCTTGGTCTCTGAGTGTCCCGGCCTCGTTGGAAACGATATACACAGCAAATTCTGCAGTCGTGTGTCATCGTAAAAACGCATTACAATCGGTCCGGATTATACTTCTACATGAATAACGTAGACAGGCTCTTCTGCGAAAGTCGTGAAAAGTTCGTAAACTCGGGTATTACGTGGTACATCTTTTGAAGGCCAAAAAGGGGTGGAGGGTAGGGAGTAAATGTATATAAGCTACAAGGTTAAGCAAGGAAACGGTGATCATACAAGGGGGGTGCAGAGATACATATGGTTACATTCATTCTTCAAGAAGCAGCCATGTCTGGCAAGTTCATTTAGTACGCAGTCCTGCGTCTCCTGTAGTGGCCAAAGACACCACACGCGGCAAGGACGAAGCCGATGAACAAGGAGACGAGCGCGCCCAGGGTGAGCCAGAGCGCGTTGCCGAACTGCGCGTTGACCCCCGCGTCGCGGAAGCGGTCGCGCGCGATGCCGAAGAGGACCATGTCGAGGACCCACGCGACGAGGGTGGTGAGCATGGCGAGGGCGGCGATGAGGGACATGAAGACGGTGCCTGCGCGGTGGTAGCCGGCGCCGCAGAGACCGAAAAGGAAGGCGATGCCTGCGAGGCCAGCGGCGATGGGGTGTAGGATGAGGGTCTCGGTGAGGTTGTGCAGGATGTGATCATTCAATCGGCTGGGAACGCTGCAAAGGGATACGCAATGAGCGGGTGGCCCCAAAGGAATGAATTCTCAGACACGCACGTAGCCCCGATGATTGCTTGGTCAAAGTAGTAACCGATATGATGGTCCGTTCCCGTGTAGCCGAAGCAACCGAAGCGGGTTGTGTGTCCCGGCGCATATACGGACAGGAATCTAACCGCATTCCATGTTGGTGCTGATACAGAGACCTGGGGAAACGGTGTTAGCTCCGAAAGCAACGATGGCTTCGCTACAAACTCACGAAGATCAGCAACACCATGGCGGCGAAGCAGAAGAACAAGCCGGGGAGAGCAGCGCCTGCAGCCATGATTACTTTCGTGCACTATCAGGTCGCGTTAGTCGTCGTGGGCGGCGGCGACGAGTGAATGAACATACCTAAATCAGCGAGTCGAGGGCGGGTTGCGATGGACGACGGGGACAAACTGCGGATATTGCAGAGCGGGGCGGAGCAGGCTTATAATTGCTGGAATGCATGGCTGTGACGTTGGACGGTGGCTAACCTGTGGATCGCTCGGCAATGGCGTCACACTCCGCTTATGGCAACCCACTGCACCACGCGGGAACCGGACCTCCTCCTCTGTCTGCCCTGTCCTTATCCGCTCCGCAAACACCACGCAGGCCTGGCCAGCACACCACTTTGTGTACCTGTGAGGCAAGCTTAGTCTTGTCATGGCCGGGCAGCTCAGCTGGTGCTGGCTGAGCGAGGAGGACAGCAGGAATAAGCTTGGAATGAGGAACGTAATGCGACGTTCTCTGCTGCCACGAAACTCGAAAGTTGATGCTTTCCTGAAAATGCTAGAGCCACTGCGAACGAGAAGAGCATAATTGTGGACCAATGAAGTGATCAGATACGCAACTTTCTGGTTCCTGATCTGCTGCCATATCCGGACGTGGTAATTATGGGCGCATATGGGTGCCCATGTCTTCAACGAGCATCGAGCGCACCACTACGCCCGTACTTTTTGTAGACATGGGCACCCTGTGCGCTCCCTGCGCAGGGTTACTTACAGGTTGGGAGCAGGACAAAATAGCAAGAAATGGGGCACCAGAGGGAAAATGAAACCACATTGCCATCGCCAGCCACAGTTCCTTCGCATTCGTGGATCTCCCCAGGTCAGGGCCTGGTCAGTTTCTCAGTGGCCAGGGCAAAGGGGAGCGACGATTGATATCAGGACACACTGACTATTTAAGCTGTCTTGCCTGAACTAGGGCGCCAGTCCGCACCCTACATCAAAGCTTCCACGCCTTCCTATAACCCTTCTGGCCATTACCTTGTCGGTCAAAACCATTTGCCCTGCCCAATCTACGATTCTTTGCTCTTTAATCAGTTCGAGGTGCGCTCTCTTCGGTATTAGGGTCGCTCGCATTGGCGCATATGGGCAGGTCACAAGAGCCCCTCAAATTTATAGGGACCAACCTGGACTTACAAACCAGGCCCATCGATAACGATAAGTCTCACTCTTACGTCCCAGACAGGTAATTGTCGCCATCTGCGACACTGCTACACCTTTTATGGGAAACAGCGCAAAGCTCGGCTGGCCACAGCTATGTCCATATACGCCCTCGCTTACAGTCGGTACGTTCTGTAGTCAGTGGCGGTTTCTGATTTAAATGACCAAGGTCCAACCGCTAAAACCAAGCGCGGTGTGGCGAAAGCTCGATCTTCAACAATAAAAGAGGCGTCCTGGGGACGCCCTCGAAGCACTCTTTACCTGTCTCGCATTTCATCTGCGCTCACGAATCCCCCTCGCGGTTGACCCGCGATCTCCCCGACTCGCGAGCGTGAGCCAACCTAATCTACACGACTCCCGGTAAACTTTACGACCTCGCCTTATTCCCGTTCTGCCTTCTGGGGTGTTTAAATCATGAAAGGTATCAAGACCAGAATCCGAAAGGTTTCCAACGACCTTGGGAACAAGATCTCTGGTGCCTTCAAGTACGTATATACTTTCCCCACCTTTATCGGCCGAGATCTGACGTGCTTCATTCCAGGGGACAGCCCAAGGTAGACGATTCCGCCTACCGTACTATACATTCCTTGGACTATGTCAAGAATCTGCCCCGAGTTGGTGGGAGAGGGCCCGACACGACGCTCTACGCCCTTCGGTCTCTGAACATGCGTAAGGAAGAATAGTTATTATTCGTCGAGGCTGCCCTAACAAACCGTCTAGAAGAGGAACAGCGCGCGCATGCCGTCAATCCGTTCCTGTCTCCCGACGACCCGCCTCCCTACCGGGACCATGACTTTGCGAGAGCGCCCCGCCGATCGCGTACGATCTCGACCCCGGGCCGATCTGCCTCTGGCAAAGGGACCCCCCAGTCACGGGCCGCTGCGCTGGGACTGGATACCCGCAGCAAGGACTATTCGATTTCTTCAGCTCTCCGGAGGTTCCCCGAAATCCCGACCAGCGCGCCCGACGACATCAGTGCTCACCGCCGAGCGTTTTCAAACGAGGAGTATATGTCGCCGCCAATGGCCTCCACGGCCGGGGCCCGGGGCAGGAGTCATCACCGGTGCCGCGCGTCCGAGGACAGGAACGGGACCAGCAGGCCCCCTTCCGCTGCCCCGGGGCATGATGCGCGTTCCCGCAACAGGCCCTACGTCGTCCCGACTCAGGACGGCGAGCGCCGGTCTTACCGGACGCGCGAGCCCAGTGCGACCCGCGGGCTTGAGCGGTCGCGCATGAGCAATCATAAGCGGACCCCCTCGGAGACCAGGCAGTTTGCCAACAGTGACGCACACGGGAATGTCGACGTGATCTCGCACAGCTTCCAAGGCCTCTGGTCCTATGACGGGGCTAGCAACGCTGCAGACGAGAATAGATCCCCGACCTCCTTTGGCAAGGAGACTGTGCAGAGCAGAAGGCCTTCATACACTCGCTTCGTGGGCGATTCTGCACATGTGCACCAGCCGCAGGTCATCGCTGCCCAAACGACGCGCCCGGTCTCCCACTATCCTGAGGTCATTGTACCCGGCGAGGAATTATTATCCCCGCCTCCGCTTCCAATCCCGGTTCCATTTGCTTCCCCGGTTCCCGTCAAGCAGTCGTCGCTCGGTCTGTCCAACTTGGAGGCCCCGAAAGCTGCTCCGGCCGTGCACACGCCCTGGCGGGGACGTCGTGATCGGGACAATGTTCCCCCTCCGACAACGAGCTTTGTGCCGCCTCCGACGACGACTTTCGTCCCGTTCCCCCTGCAGCACGCCTCGGCCCACGCAGCCGCTAGACCCACTCCCGAGCGGAAGCGGCGCGAGCATGCGGCCCCCGTACGGTCCGCGAGCCCTGTTCCCACCCCCAGGCCTCTCCCCATCGAGCCCCCTTTCCTCGCGGACCAAGGCGACTCGGACGACGAAGTGGCCATGCACGACAAGACCGCTGAGTGGGTTCGGAAGCACAGTGCCAAAGCCATGTCGCACGCTGACTCGGAGGCTGCGAGGGCGCACGCGCACGACTATGCCCTGAAGGAGGCGCAGAAGCTCGAGGCTTTGAGGGCAGCCCGCAGGGCCGAGAAAGAACGGGCGAAGGCGAAGGCTCAGCAGGGCCAGAATGGCTCTGGGCACACGTATTATCAACCCCCGACTCTGGGGTATGCTCAGGCCCCTGCTGCCGGACACACTTGCAACAGGGCCCACCCTTTGCAAACCCAGAGGACCGAGGGCCGCTACGCCAGAGCGGGCGATAAGGTCATCACGCCCGACGGCCGCGCCTACCGCTATTAAATCTCTCCACCACGTCTGCAATCGCAACACGCTCTTTACCAGGATGAGGTATCTATTCTCCGGGTAACCTTATTGTCTATATATGGCCGCGTTACTTTATTTTTCAGGTATATTGCGTTCCTTGTTCTCTCCTTGTCCCGTCGCTGTATCCCATATCAACGACCCCCACGCTCCTTTGCTGTATCCTTAAGCCTAACGACGCCGCTCTTTGCTTGTATCGCTACCTTTTCCATTCCCTCACCAATCCTGTATCATATCGTCTGTCAGGTCTCTCCTTATGCGCACATTCATGTACCTTAGATACGTCCGTTTAATACCGGCCCAACCCGAGTCATTCATTCAAAGCAGCGTGCGGTATGTCCATTGAACAACGATCTGCATCATATACGCTACAACATGAACCAGTCTGTGCTTCCCGATCACCATATGCGCTTGACCATCGTGAACCTCGTGATCTCCTCCAGCTTCAGCCGCTTCTTCCCCTTCCCGCCACCGTCACCCGCCGCGTCGGGCTCGCGCTCGCCGATCTCGGCCGTCGGCGACGCGTCGTCGCGCGCGTTGTCGAGGTACTTCTTCAGCTCGCTGTTATACTTCTGCTCCGCCGCCGTTTTATGCAAGGTAGGAAAGAACGAGCATGATCAGTACACGATACGCTTCGCGGCCGGGAAGCACGCTACCTTTTCCTCCGCGCCCTCACCGATCGGATCGCGCCCAAAGTCGTTCACCTTATCCTGCTCCTCGCGGCGCGCGGCGCCCGCCTGCCGCTTCGACGCATAGCTCAGGAGGTTGATCCCGATGATAATCTTCACCACCACCGCACTATCCCCCCATCAGCTCAAAGCCCGCACCCCGGAAGAAACCCTGCACGCACCACACCCAGAACAGCAGCCCGAGCACGGCCCACTTGACCACGCGCGCCGTCTCGCCCTGCCACGCGGCAACGGAGGTGCTCTGCAGCTGCGACTGCAGGAGGAAGAAGCACTGCGAGCCGATGATGATGGCGAGGTTCGCGAGCGGGAGCGCGGCGAAGCCGAGGCGGCGCGCGACGAGCGGGGACTGGTCGACGTACGAGTGCTACGGATCGGTGTTCGTCAGCGTTGCGCAGGAGGGGAGGGGAGGGGAGGGGAGGGGAAGAAGAGAGGTACCTTCCGCCCGGGCCGGACCCACCCGCCCTTGAGGTCCCCGCAGAGCACGTCCGTGTAGCGCTCGTACACGGACGGGCGGATGTGGTTGAACTTGGTGATGAACGCGTGCTTGAGCCAGTCGACGAGCGTCTCGGACGCGAGCACGGTGAGGACGGGCTATGCATGGCTGGGTGAGTAGGTGGGGCGAGGGGAGGGGGAAAGGGGGGGGACCCACGTAGGAGATGGTGCCGATGACGGAGCCGCGGACCCAGCGCCAGCCCCAGGGCAGCCAGCGGGAGACGCGTTTCGGGAGGAGGAAGGATTTCGGCATCGGGATGCCTAGGGTGTGTTATAGTGAGGCGAGGTGAAGGGGGAGAGGGGACGTACCCTCCTCGCCGGACCAGTCGACAGCAGAGCCTGAAAGCTCGAGGAGGTTCCGGAAGGCGACGATGATGAGCATGAGGGAGAGGGTGAAGCGCTCGACGATATCTGCGTGGTCAATGTGAACGACATGACGGATGCTGGGTAAGCGACGAACGCACCGGCACAGGTGATCTGGAACAAGTTGTCCTTTTCGAACTTTTTGAACACGGAGCCCTTGATCTCGACGAACTGGTTGGAGACGAGGAGCGTGAGGAGGGAGTAGTCGTACGAGTTGACGGCGACGTTGAGGGAGATGGTTTGGTAGGTGAGCGTGAGGGTGTGGAGGACTGCGGAGGCAAGGGTGAGAGATGCGAGGAGGGGGTTAAAGGTAGGGACGCACCGACGTAGAGGACCGCGAGGAGGAAGAAGGAGAGCGGGCGGAAGGTCTTGGATTTGCGGGAGGAGGGTGCGAGGGTGGGGCGGGAGAAGAGGCAGTCGAGGATGTCCTGGCCTATGGAGGCGAGGAGGCGGTCCGCGATCTGCGTCTGAAAGTCAGTAAAATAAAGCACTGTTGGGACGACGGAGGGCACCTCGAGCGCGTTGAAGATGACGTAGAGCTTGATGGTGTCCTGCCCGCGGATGGAGTGGTAGATCTTGGAGGCGTCGGTGAGGGGCACGAGGATGAGGAGGGAGGCGGCGAGGAGGAGGGCGCGGAGGATGTCGGCCTTCTGGGACGCGGCGAGCTGGGCGCGGGCGGCGGGGAGGAGGGAGCGGGCATGGGCGGCGAGGGCGAGGACGAAGCGGATGGGGAGGATGGTGAAGGTGTAGAGGAAGGAGTCGAGGCAGAGGAGGAAGCCGAAGCCGATGATCTGCGGGGGGTGAGGAGGGGTGGAGGGGCGAGCGCGGGACGCACCTTTTCCATTGCGAGCGGGATGGAGAGGAAGTTGACGACGCGCTCCCATTTCATTTCCTGGTGCTCGTCAAAGTCGTTGGCGAGGAGCTCTTCGCGGAGGTAGTCCCAGAGCGAGAACGGCTCCTCGCGCTGGCCATCGGTGCGGTCTGCGGGAGAGACGAGGTCGACGACGTCGGACGGAAAGCTGGTGCGGTCAGGGGGAGCAGAGAGGGGCGGCGGGGGCGAGGGCGAGAGGGGCGTGGGCGGGAGCGAAGAGTACGTGAGACGCGGGTGGGCGTCGGCGGGGGCGGGGGCGGGGGGCGTCGACGTCGGCGGCGACGAGTACGGCTCCCAGTCCGAGTCGTTGTGCTCGTCGGTCCAGACTTGTTCGTCGGCGTCGGCGCCGTCTGTCGTATTCACGAAGAGGTCGCGCAGCGCAACTCTGCTGGCGCGGTGGCGGATGGCCGGGCTGGACGCGAACCTGCGCGCGCTGGGCTTGCCGTTCGGGTTGTCGCCTGCGGAGACTGTTCTGTACTGGCTTGCTCTGGCTGGCGCGCTTGTCGACGAACGGCGTCCGAGGCGGCGTCGTGGAGGGAGCATAGCGCGCGTGTGGTTAGGGTTCCACTCGCTGTCGTAGAGTGATCAAGGGTGTCCTGGGTCCCATAGCCCTACACGTCTGCTATGCAGTCTACAAGAGAGATGTGCGTGTGCCCAATCCCCTCCGTCCTCAACGCCGCCCTCGCCCTCCGACACGCGTACCCGACGTCCACGCCCAGCTCAATCGTAATCAGCTCCCCGTGCTTCTTCACCTCTCCGCTCTCTTCATCCACGTGGTATGGCCCGTACAACCCTGTCGGATACAGCCAGAACGCCAGCCCGCTTTGTATCTTTCCTGTCTCGTGCGTGTGACCTCTGCCCCGGATATGCCTGTTGACTGCCTCAAAGTCCTCCGCGTTCGAAACCTCGTCGAGTTGGCTCGACGCGAGCAGTGCCGCTAGCAACGCCTGCGACCCGCTGTCTGAGCGCGCTTCTGTGTAGGGGTAATGCGTCGCTTGAGCATCGCTTGCTTCCAGCCAAGATGATTCAGGCATGATCTGCTATTGCATCACTTTCAGCAGACACTCGGCGCGTTTCCCAAAGGGTCAGCTCACCTTTAGATGCACAAAGCGTTCTTATATCCTCCAGCCTGGCGCAACCACCCTTTTTATCCTGTGCTCTCCGGTTCACATCAGCGCTGTCTGATCTGATGCCACGGTAGCGATGCACCTCCCTCCCGCGATTGGCAAGGTCCGTCTGGGATTGAATTGTTCATAGCCTCTGGGTTCCTGGTCTCGATGCCTCCAAGCAACTGTGCCTTGCCTCTGGTCGGTGTTCGTGAGCTCCTGTCCCGCGATGCGATGTGGTTCGCACTTTTTCGTAGTTCGTACTCTCATCGTTTGCCCGAGCTCTCATCCTGTATCGTCGCGTGTCGCACTGGAGACCGCAAGATACTGCTGACTGCTTGACTTTATAATCTGGCGGTCACGTCGGACTCCATTCATAGATACTTGCTAGCCAGTTGGCCTTGAAATTTCCTTCCGTAATCCGTATTTAACTCATGGACCGGAACGCGCCAACGCTCTAGAGTTCTTTCGAACTACATTGTCAGGGGACTTCTTTCGCTCACTATTTCTTGACTAGTGGGTTCGTATCTCTAGACTTGACGTTACCCTCCTCGTCACTCTTCTTTCATATCTTTCTCATCGATACACGTTTCAGACGTTCTGGACAAAGGCTAGGTCCTGCTTATACGTGTAGTGTATATCTATCATGTCTCCGTAGATATTGAGTTCAGTGCAACGAGTCTACAACAGACAATTGCGCAACCTGTTGGGAGATCTGGCGGAGATCTGGACGATCGGGACAAAACCCCCCAGCACGTGCGCGCGACGTCATTCGTGTGGGCTATAATTTCTCGACGCGTCGCGCGCGAGCTTCTGTGCGGGGTATCCTCTTCCCCCCTTTTCTTTCCCTTTCCCCGCCGTCGACGATGTCAAAGGCACAGCGCATGCAAGCCAAGCTCTTCAGGGCGAAGGCCCCCACCGACGCCAACGGGGACACCGACGCCTCGCCGCCCCCGCCGACGCGCAGCGGCTCCGAGCCCTCGCTCACCATCGAGATCCCCAGGCCCATGGCCCACGCGGACCCCCCGCCCAAGCTCCCCAAGGCCGCCCCCGACGGCTCGCCCAAGAGCGGCGAGCAGGTCGACCGCGAGGAGAAGCCGTACAGGACGCGGCTCGCGGAGAAGCTCGGCGCCGAGTATCCCGGCGTGGAGAGGTACAGGCTGCAGCAGGACGGGAAGAAGGAGCGGCATTGGAAGCGGTGGGGCCCGTATTTGAGCGATAGGCAGTGGGTGCGTGTCGATGGGTTCTCAGGGTTTCCTTGGAGAAGCTCATAATGTTTTGGGTGATAGGCTACTGTGCGCGAGGATTACTCGCACAATGGTGATGCGTGGAGTCACTTTCCGCACGAGCACGCTCGGTCGCGGGCGTACAGATGGGGAGAGGACGGTATCGCTGGTATCTCGGACAACCACCAGCGCCTCTGCTTCTCCCTCGCCCTGTGGAACGGCAAGGACCGCATCCTAAAGGAGCGTCTCTTTGGTGTCACCGGCCACCAGGGCAACCACGGTGAGGACGTAAAGGAGCTGTACTACTACCTCGATTCCTCCCCCACGCATTCGTACATGAAGTTCCTGTACAAGTATCCCCAGAAGGAGTACCCGTACGAGGAGCTCGTGAGGGAGAACGTGAGCAGGGACAGGGAGGTCAGTGAGTTTGAGATCCTCGACACTGACGCGTTCGACGAGGACCGCTATTGGGACGTGTTTGTGGAGGTGCGTTGTAGCATACATCCACATATCGCACAGAAAATGTATGCTGACTGTGCATACATCTAGTATGCGAAGGATGAGGACGACCCTGATGGCGTCTACATCCGTATTACCGCGTACAACCGCGGTCCCGATCCCGCCACCCTCCATATTATACCCCAACTCTTCTTCCCGAATACCTGGTCATGGCATACCAACCCACCCCCGAAGCCAATGCTCCGAGCCAAGGACGAGAACGTCATTGTAGCGGTCCACCCTACGCTAGGGAAGCGCTATCTATACTGCCTCTCCTCGCCCCCGCCCGTGGGACCCAGTGGTACCCCTGCAGCGGACGGGGAAGCCGAGGCTGAAGAGCAGGATTCAGTGGACCCCGAACTGCTGTTCACCGAGAACAACACGAACTACTTTAGGCTGTACGGAGGCGTGAACGAGGACAAATATGCCAAGGACGCCTTCCACGACCACATCATCCCCAGCCACCGACCGCAGCTGACGCCGGAGGGCGGGTACTTCAACACGAAGATCCACACCCGGACGCCGTCCGGGAGCTCGGGCGCCAACGGGGTCGACGACGTCGAGGAGGAAGAGCAGGGCCCGCGCACGCCGTTCCCGAGCGACCCGTCGTTCGTCAACCCCGAGAAGAAGGGCACCAAGTCCGGCGCGCACTACGTCTTCGAGAACGTGCCCGGCAAGGGCGGGTGCGCGGTCGTGCGGCTGAAGCTGACGCCGCAGACGCCCGCGAAGGACCCGAGCATCGAGGACGAGGGCCTGTTTGACGATACGATCGAGGAGCGCCGCGAGGAGACGAACGAGTTTTATAATGCGCTGGTGTTGGGTCCGATCAGCGATGATCTGCGCCAGATTATGAGGCAGGCGTTTTCGGGGATGCTGTGGACGAAGCAGTTTTATCAGTTCATACAGAAGGAGTGGATTGAGGGCGATCCTGCGCAGCCGCCGCCCCCGCCGGAGAGGAAGTATGTGAGGAATAGGGAGTGGAGGCATTTGTATATCGCGGATATTTTGTCAATGCCGGATAAGTGAGTGTTGGTTGCCGAATCTCTGGGTGATGCGAGATGCTGATGGCCTATACAGATGGGAGTACCCGTTCTTTGCGGCTTGGGATACTGCGTTTCATTGTATTCCTTTGGCTGTCGTCGACCCTGCGTTTGCAAAGTCTCAGCTTGATCTGCTCACTCGGGAGTGGTACATGAAGCCCGATGGGCAGATGCCTGCCTATGAGTGGAACTTCTCCGACGTCAACCCACCTGTGCACGCCTGGTGAGCACAGCTTGGTTTGTGAGTAGTTTTCGTTCTCATGCTTGCTCCATCAGGGCGACATTCCGCGTCTTCAAGATCGAGCGCAAGCTGTATGGGAAAGAGGATCTGCAGTTCCTGGAGCGAGTGTTCCAGAAGCTCCTCATCAACTTTACGTGGTGGGTGAACCGCAAGGACTGGGGCGGGAACGGTGTCTTTGAGGGTGGTTTCCTCGGGCTGGACAATATCGGGGTGTTCAATCGGTCAGAGCCACTTCCTACCGGCGGTACCCTGCGCCAGGCGGATGGGACTGCTTGGATGGCTTTCTATTGCTTGAACATGTAAGTGCATCATGCGTAACCGTGAAGCTGGTGTCTAACGAGGATCCGGGTAAAGGTTGAACATGGCGCTCGAGTTGGCCAAGCATAACCCAGTTTATGAAGATATTGCTTCCAAGTTCTTCGAGGTAAGACCATCATTCTGTGACTATCCGGCCGTGCTCACATAGTTGTCGTCAGCATTTCATCTTCATCGCAGACGCCATGACGTTCCGCTCTGGCGATAACCAGCTGAGCCTGTGGAATGAGCAAGACGGCCTCTATTACGACGCTATCCAGTTCGATGAGAACAACTCCATGCAGCTCCCTGTGCGCAGCTTGGTCGGGTTGATCCCGCTGTATGCGACGCTCGTGTTGGAGCCGTCGCAGATCAACCGGTTCCCGGGCTTCAAGAAGAGGATGGAGTGGTTCATTGAGAACAGGCCGGAGGCTGAGCGGAACATGGCCAACATTAGAGGTCTGTAGTTCAAGTTATTTTGGGATATTTGGAGGGATGCTGACGGGAGGCGATGGTTTAGTGAAGGGCAGAGGCGAGCGAAGGTTGCTGGCGCTGTGCAGCAAGGAACGCTTGGTCAAGATTTTGGAGAAGATGTTGGATGAGGACGAGTTCTTGAGTGAATACGGTATCCGATCGTGAGTGGGCCTACCTTCTTGGTCGTGGGGGTGTTTGTCTTAGTCCTTCTGCTCAGCTTATCCAAGTTGCACAAAGAGCATCCTTGGGGAATGGATGTCCACGGACAGCGGTACGAGGTCAACTACTGGCCGGGTGACTCGAAGTCGGGCATGTTCGGAGGTAACTCGAACTGGAGGGGACCTATTTGTGAGTGAATGCGGTGACAACTCGCTGGTTGCGACACTAATGCGGACTACAGGGCTGGCTGTCAACTTCCTCCTGATCGAGAGTCTCCAGAGGTTCTACCAATACTACGGCGACGAGCTACAGGTGGAATGCCCGACCGGTAGTGGTGACTACATGAACCTGGTCGGCGTTGCTGAAGAGATCCAGCATCGCATCATCCACATCTTCGGGAGAGATATGGAAGGCCGGCGAGCGACGAACGGCGGCAACCCCAAGCTTGACCGGGACCCTCACTTCCGCGACTACGTCTGGTTCTATGAGGTATGTGACCTGAAATGATTAAGCCTGTTGCCTATCTCATGGTGCTCGCGGCAGTTCTTCCATGCAGATGACGGCCGTGGTCTTGGAGCATCTCATCAGACTGGATGGTGAGTCGCTAGTGATCCGGAAGTGATGCATAGGAGTTTAGTTGATCGTGCTTCGTAGGTCTGGTTTGGTTGCTTACCACATCTTGCAAAGTGGTGCGAACTGTCGCTTGCCCAAGACACCCAAAAGTACGATCATATCATCTTTGCCTAGATTTTACAGCTGACCGTGAGACTACAGCGCCACGGAGTCTTGCGCATCACTACTTTGACGAACACATCGATCCGCAGTCAGCTTATGCAGACGATGAGACCAAGTCACTGTATAGCGCTTACAGTGCAAAAAGCGCAATCGACCTGACGACTTTGGGAGACATATCCCCGGATGCGTTGTAGAATTATACAGGGATAGAAGCGGGGGGTATAAACGATGGAAAATGTGTTAGGGTGTAGAGGCTATTGTTGTAGAGTCGTGTTTCATTTTAGAATATACCGTGTAGCCTAGATAAACGCAATAGGGTTTCATGCAGTCTGTTCCTCGACATTTGCCTTTTCTGGCATTTCTATGCTCCGGCCCTTGGCGGCCCGCTCTACAGCTTCGCACTGATCGTTCCCGAGCGTTCATGCAACGGACGTTATGCTTCCGCTATGCCATAGCACAGTCCATTCCCAGGTCCTTATGTTGCTGACGTCGGCGCGTCGGGCAGTCTCTGTGATCTTGCGAGCAATTCACACAATAACGGACCGCCGTGGCGCTCGTGGACAGCTACGCTGAGTATTGAAGCATTGGTGACCGGTCGTGCACTATAAAAATAACCTGGAGAAGTGTATAAAGACGAGCTCAAATTCGTGGAGAATGCGGGCTCATTTACACAGTTGAAGCTCGTAGTCTTCCGCCGTGACCATGTCGATACTAGTGCTGATCTTGTCGGTCCTCCTGGGTTATGCACTTGCGGCGAACGTGCCTCGCAGCAGTGACTGCGTCGGCACCATAGCGTCGTTGGACGACGTTGCTGCTGCCCAGGAGTGCTCGACCGTGAACATCGAAGGATTCACTGTTCCGGCCGGTGAAGGTTTCACCCTGTCTCTCATAGACGGCGCGACTGTGAACTTGCGTGAGTGACGTTCTCACTCTTCGGGGGATGCCCGCGGTTTAACTGCGCGAGGTAGAGGGAGATGTTTTATTTGGCAATATGAGCTGGACGGGGCCCTTGTTTACTATCAGGTAATATCACACATCAACGTCAGTGTTACATATGATTGACGTACGGACAGCGGAAATGATATTACTTGTGAGGGGTTTTGCTGGATATAACGATTTGCACTCAACTTCTGGTCATAGTCAACGGTAACGGCCACAGGTTCGACGGAGGAGGACCCTTCTATTGGGTTAGTGTAATGAGGTCAAGGGTAATATCAAGGCTCTGACCACCCTCATATTTACAGGATGGTCTGGGTTCGAATGGGGGCATAACCAAGCCGCGTCCCATGCTGAAGTACGTCTCACAATTGCCTCGTGAATAAACAATACTTAGCCCCGATGATCAGGATCAAAATGTCCGGCAGGTTCTCTGTGAGATGCTCGCCCCGCGATTTGCACCGCCGAGCTTTTGTCTCATACGTCTTGTACTTACACACAGGACCTCTACGTTGTCAACTCGCCTGCCCAGACTTTCTCAGTTTCCAACCCGGGTCCTCTGGTCATTTCTTCTGTTACCGTTGACGACTGTACGTATTATTTTCATCCGTACAATAATCACTAGTCCCTGACGTTGTTCTAGCTCAAGGAGATTATCCCAATGCTCAAAGCAACGGTCTGGCGGCAGGTAATTCTATATCTGACAATCTGCGTGTTGTAAACTGATTTGTGTATGCAGGGCATAATACAGACGGATTCGACGTCAGCACTACTGACCTTACGATTGAAAACAGGTCGGTTTTCTACTTCCTTAACTCATTGGTGCACATAGAGGCTGACCGCAACCATAGTACGGTTCACAATCAGGTATGGTAATGCTACAGATACGTCGTTGGCTTCTTCTCTGACGTCGCTTTGAACAAACGTAGGATGATTGCATTGCCATCAACGAAGGCTCCAACATCGTTTTCACCAACAACGTCTGCACGGGTGGCCATGGGATATCTATTGTAAGCTATATTCGCCCGCGGGGGATTCGAAGCATATGAAAGCAATTCTTCATCATACAGGGTTCAATCACCTCGAACCGCACCGTATCCGGCGTAGTAATCTCCAACAACCACATTGCGAACGAGTAAGTCGGCATTGTAGCCAGTGAGCCCGTCTGACCAGTGCAATCAAAGACAGCAGGCGATCCGCATCAAGACAGACGCGGTGGCGACGAATAGCAGCGTGTCCAATATCACCTACAGTGTGCGTCTCTTCCCAGATGGTGCTTGCTCCACCTCAGTTACTCATCCCTCACAGGGCAATACCGCCACAAACTTGACGAAGTTTGGCATACTCATTGATCAGGTGGGTGTCCTGTCCTTTGAACGACAGATGTGGGCGGCCCGGGCTGATCTGCGTCTGATAGAGTTACCCCAGCACCCTCGGCGTTCCTGGTGCTGGGGTGAAGATCTCCGTAAGTTTCTCTCTGCTTGGACCTGAGCCAGACATTCACATGCATCGCGCAGAATATCAATTTCATCGAGGCCGAGTCTATCATCTCCGTGGCCAGTGGGGCTGACCGCGTTGCCGTCAATTGCGCGGTGGGAGGTTGTCTAGGTACTTGGGATTGGTCGAGCTTGACAGTCAGCGGTGGTAAAGCTGGACCTATCAACAACTTTACTGGAATTGAAGGTTTCAGTCAGTAAATAATCAAGGATAATACTAGCGCAATGCATGTACCCATGTAATGACTCGGGCGCACACTGAAAGAATCCTTCACTACATCAAAGCCGAAGTCGAGTACTGTCAATGGCAGTGGATAATCTCGGGGCCGAATGTAGAAGGCATTTCGGCGCGAACCGTAAGGTCACTAAGATCAATTGAAACCGTAACCTGCAGAACCTCGGCCAGGGGGGTCTCAACACTCGGGAGCCGTGCAGGAACGAGCTCGAAGCCACAATGAAAACAAATACCATATGCGGTAACATACCAGACACCGGGCCTTGGGCGGTCCGCTAATAATAGCTCCGAGCTTCTCCCCTCCCATTACAAGCATACGAGACCGAGGCTGGTCTGATAGAGAATACCATTCGAATGATTCCTAGGGTAGCGTGAATCATCCAGTGACTTGCAACATATGGCATGGCCTTTGTCCTGCGGTCGTCGGACTGGCCAGAACGCGTTGCCACCTGGGCCGACGCAGAGGTTACCGGGCTTCTGCAAGCATAACATTTTCCGGTTTGTCTCCGTGCAGCATATAAAATGTCTGCGTAAAGGGCCTGGTTGAGCAGGTCCTCAGCCATGTTGTCCTTCACCGTGCTGTCTTCGATTTTCTTAGCGGGGGCTGCTGCAGCTGCGAGGGTCCCGCGCAGCGCTGACTGCACCGGCACGATATCCTCCTTGGATGATGTCTCCAGCGCGCAAAAGTGCTCCACGGTCAATATCAATGGCTTCACCGTGCCCGGTGGGCAAGGGTTCACCCTGTCCTTGGTTGACGGCGCTACCGTCAACCTTAGTACGTACCGACTGATATGCCTCTTCCGTTCCGTGCTGATTTTGGGACACCAACACAGAAGGAGACGTGCTCTTTGGTAACAAGAGCTGGGCAGGACCCCTGTTCACCATCAGGTTAGTTGTATTCCCACGATCCTGGATGCTCCCGTAGTCTCATTACTTTCATCCGTGCAGTGGTAAAGGTGTAACGTGTGAGTGACACAATACTCCGTTGCCCTCAAGATTTGACTACGGAGCTTGAATATCTTATTCATAGTCAATGGCAATGGCCACAAGTTCGATGGTGGAGGACCATTCTACTGGGTAAAGCAGGATGCATCAGTCGAGATATCGCCTACTGATCCGCATCCAGGACGGTCAAGGTGGCAATGGCGGTGTGACAAAACCGCGCCCGATGCTCAAGTAAAATGATATATTAATTGCTGCAGTTCGTCCACTGACCACAGAGTTATCACAGGATCAAAATGTCGGGTACCTTCACCGTGTGTATTCTCAATCCAATGACTGGCCGTCGCTTGATATTGACTTACGTCTCCTTATCTTATTGTCACATCCTGTAGAACCTGAACGTCGTCAACTCTCCCGCGCATGTGTTCTCTGTATCTAACCCCGCCCCGTTGACCATATCCAAGGTCAACATCGACGACTGTGTGTGAACGCGTCCCATGTCTAGCTCGCATCGACTCATGACCGCCCTGTATTATAGCCCAGGGAGATAAGCCCAATTCCCAGAGCGGTAGCAAAGCAGCTGGTAAGGTGGCTTCCCCTCTGACGCATGGAAGTGACTCAATCCGACTGCGTACCCTAGGTCACAATACTGACGGCTTCGACGTGAGCACCAACGACCTCACCATCGAGAATTGGCGAGTCGTTAATCTCGTCACGTACTGAAGTATACACTGATACGTCTACTCCATCCTTCAGCACCGTCAAGAACCAGGTAAGCATTCTCTTCCTAGTCATCATGTTTAGGGTACTTAGGAACCGTCAGGACGACTGCATTGCGATCAACAAAGGGACCAACATTGTCTTCAAAGACAACACCTGCTCTGGCGGACATGGGATCTCCATCGTATGCGCTTTCCTCACCCAAATCTATCATGGCCTCATTCGATCTTCTTACCGCAGGGTTCTGTCAAGTCTGACGCGACAGTGTCCGGCATAACAGTCACCGGCAATACCATCATTAACAAGCACGTTGCTCTTTGTTCCTACGCTGGTATATGACTGACGAGGGATCTGGGCACGGCAGCGACCAGGCATTACGCATTAAGACGGTCAACGATGCTACCAACAGCAAGGTGACCAATGTTACCTACTCAGTCAGTTAATGTTCGTGTTGGGGATCTGGATGTGCGAGCTTACGCATTCACAGGGCAACACCGGAACCGGGTGCAGGAGGTTCGGTGTCATAATTGATCAGGTGCGCCCAGCATGCAATGTACTTGGGGCTGCTGATGGATAATATCCCATGCAGAGCTACCCAGACACCTTGGGAACTCCTGGAGGTGGTGTCGAAATTTCGGTACGTGGCATTCTACCGAGCTTGTCTCCTTTGAAGTACTCAAGCACAACGCCTTCTATCCTGCAGGACATCAATTTTGTAGGGGCTACCAACTCCATCAGCGTTGCCAGCGACGCAGATCGGGTGGCGGTCAACTGTGCTTCAGGAGGCTGCACAGGTACGCAATGGGCACATTTACTTTTTATGCTGAGTACCATTACTGACTTTCGACGGAAGGCACCTGGGATTGGTCCGCCTTGAAAGTGTCTGGTGGAAAAGCCGGTCCCATAAATGGGTTTAGCGGTATCAAGAACTTTAGCCAGTGATCATGAAGCAGGCGTCGAGGTACCTCATGCACTGGTCATTCACCGAGACGTGTGGGGCACGAATTGCTCGGGAAGAGAGCTTGCCCTGTTCTCCTGCTTGAATGAAGGCCCCAAATACACTGGACACTCTGACATACGATCGGTGTAGGAGCATAAGGGAAATCCGCATTTGATGCATGTCTAATAATAAATGTTACATATGTATGTATGTGACCACACCGAGCCCCTATCGAACATAAGTTGGAGACAAGAAATCCAGGCAAATAATAAGCTAAGGACGAAAGGAGTGAGGTGGATGCACGATGAAAGAGCGGATAGAGTCCTCGTCGGCCCCGATGCGGGGATAGGCACGGCGCGAAGAACAGCGAAGATTAGGCAGAATGCGGCAGTGCTGAGAGGGTCGAGAGTACAGAAGGACGAACAAATGTACACAATAATGATGATCCCAAATGTATCGATACGACAGCGAGAAGAGAGGCAGTGGAGGCAGGCCGATGGTCCCGGGAGAAGATGAAGGATGCGATGGTGTAAGATGCAGCAAAGCGAAGCAACGGAGGCCGAGAGCGATACAGGCAGGAAAGAGTGCAACAAGCTCATGTCACGTAGAGCGTCACCTGGCCGCCAGGTCGGTACGACTCGAAGGCCATTTGCACGTCCTCCGTGGAGCCGAGAGAGACCATGTCGCCATCTTCGTCCTTGTACTTGACACGTAACGGACCGTCATCTCGCCGAGGACCGCAGAGGCGGATCTTCCTTCCTACTCGCTCGACAAGTTCCACGTACTCTGTAGACTTCGGGACTTGGATAACAAAGATGTCTTCATGGAAGTGAACCTTGACCTTCACTTGCGGGCCCGGCGTCTTCCCGTTTGCAAGATGGTCGAAATTCTGCGAGCGCGAAGGTCGAAGAGCACCTCCTAGCGAAGAATCACTCGATCCGTACGGCGTGATCGGAGAAGTCGTCTGTGGAGAGTAGTCTGAGCTGTCACCAGTCGACTGACTGGAGCCACTCCCTCGCTTGCTGAACCCATTCTGTGCTCGAGACTGGTCTGTCCAGGGTGTCGATGTCGGTAGAGGAGGTGGGACCTGCTTCGGTACATATGCCGTCGGCTGGCTGGCACTCCTTGTACGCATCGAAGGTAGACCATTCGGGGGAAGGGCACCAGCACCGTTGGGGGCGTCATATGCGGCCTTCAGCTTCGACGAGCTGAACTGGCTCCGGAGCTTAGGCTTGACGCCTGTACCAAAGCTAGCGTCGGAGGCGTGACTCGCAACACTAGCAGTGGAAGACAAGCGCGTGGTAGGAGGTCGGTTCGCCATCGGTCCCTGCGGCAATCCGGGCATCGGTGGCGGGTGAGGCAGCGACGGGCTCGCCATCCTTGACATAGTTGCATTCACGTCATACCCGTCACGATCCACCGAGCTGGGCACGTTTGACCTACGGCCGTTGACGGGTGTCCCACGCCCTGACGGAGGCCGGCTAACTGCGGGCGGATAGTCTTCGTATTCGTCGTCGGGATCTACGTCAAACCCCTCGTGCCCTGGATAGCCGTAAGGTCCACCGCCATGAACATTAACGTACCCCCCATTGATCTGCTCTTCGCTGCTGTAAGGACTTGACTGGCGGTTTACCCTACCGTTCATGGGTCCCGGGTAGGGCGGTAAGGTGCCGTAGCTAGTCTGCGAAGTCGTAGAGTACGTCTTCTCATGGGCGTAGGACATGTGAGGCGGCCGAGATTGAGGTGCTGGACTGGTGCTGTTGGTCATCTGAGACAAGAATTTGGATGTGTTCCGCTCGGATACCCTCCTAGCAGCAACCTCGTTGATGAGACGGTTGATAGCAGCCTCCCACTGCTTAAGTTGCTCGTCTGTTCGGCACCGCAGAGTGAAGTGTTCCAAGTCGTCTTCTCCCTTCCACCACACCGCAAGAGAGTATCCTATACGGCGCGTCAGCCACTCATCAGCCACTAGACAGATCTCAATACTAACCGGACTTGGTATTCGGAGCAGCCTGGGTCACATTATTCAGGAAAATGCGACCCTTCAGCAAAAGGGGAGTGTTCTTTTTCTTCGGGGGTCCGACGCCACCCGGCAAGGGCGTCGTCGACCCATTAGGCTGCTTCTTCAAGAGCGAGTTGCTCTTATTGACCTTCTTTCCGTTGATCTGGGATTGCGACGCCTCTTTGCAGCAGAGGATAATCTTCTCGAATAAAAACACATGGTATTCCCTGTCGACGTCGGATTTGGTAACCACGAAGATGTCGTCCAGCAACAGGTCGCCAAAGTTGGAGAGATGATGACCTTTCCAATCTTCGACGCGGGATTCGAGATTCTTCACCGTTTGTTTGTTCTCAGCCCTGCGCTGCGCTTCATTGATCCTATCCGTGATTCGTTTCGCGGCAGCGCAACCTTGCTTGAGCTCTTCTAAATGAGGATACTCGCTCGCAGGAGAGGCCTTGATAAGAGACTACGGCAACGGCACTTAGAAGCCTATCGCGCAAAAATACAAATCGTTCACTCACCTCAAGCAACAGCGGATATTTGCAGATTCGCTGCACGGGCTTAATTAGGAAGGCGGGCAACTCGGATTTGACATTGATCAGATGGTTATGGCTCTGGAGAAATTGCTTTGTCAGCATGCCGGATATTGCCGATAGCGCCCCCGCTCGCGACAGCTGGGTTACCAGGCCAACACGACCGCGTGCACGCTAGAAACGCCTAGCGTATGCCCAGCAGAAAGCACTCACCATAAGGTTCTGTTCCTCAGCCAACATAATATCTTGTGCGGTATTGTAGTTCGCGCAGTAGGGCTCGTAGACTGCGAATTCTTCTTCCTATTGTTCCCAAACGAGCGTCGGAGGAATGGAATGAGCAAGGTCCGATGGGATAACAATGGGAGCGCCAAAGTCAGCACAAGAATGCAACCTGGCTCTAGCGCCTCGAGGAGAACTTACACATTCGATGAAATGGACGCCCCAATGCTGATCCTTCCATGACATTTCGGCGGTGCCTTCAAACCGGATGAGGAATTTCCGCTGGAAGTTCAGCAGCTTGTTGAGATTAGGGAATAGCAGGTGTATAGTGTCTTGATCTATGGTATTGCTTTGAGATAGCGAGTTGGAGTAATTCTTGCTCCGCAGGTCAGATAACGTATAGCACAAGCAGAGGAGAAAGCCGGGCGCACCTGCATTACTTCCAAATCCTGCACATATTTGCGCTCGGTCTCGACCATTTCCCGTATGATATTCATCCGCGCCGCCTCCTGTGCGTTTGCGGGTGTAGAAAAATGAGTGGGGTCGGATGTCACTAAGGATTCGGATGATTCGTGAGATGGGAAAACAGAAGGAGGGGACGAGGGCGGAGCCTCCAGGAAGACTTCTTCGGGAAGTCGGTCTACGAGCGTCGTTACGGTCTTGACGGCCTGTATTGCGTTCCAGATACTGCTCGTGGTGTCAATACAACAGAGTACTTACCTTGACAAAGCCGTCGTTGCTATGCCTCTCCCACAAGTCCGTCACGGTGAACTGCTCGCACTCCGGGACCTGCCTGATCTGCATGGCGAACAAAGCAATGGCGCGCTTCTTCGTGCGCTCATTGTTGACGTCGACTGAGCTGGGGTCGGTGTCGACGGCTATGGGGCTGATCGGCGGGGGAAGGAGGTTGAATATGTAGCAGAGCGGGAAGCCGAGTGCGAAGCAGTCCCATAGCTGGGTGACGGGGTCTGTCGACTGACGCGACGAGTCCGGGGGCGACGAAAGCGCAAAGTAGTCAGGAAAAGCGGGAAGGCGCATGAGGCGGGCGCGTAAGGCGGAACATTGCTGGTAAAGAGAGGTGGAGGACGAGGCTGCTTTGTTGAGGAGAGTGTTGTGGGCGACGGGGGTCTCGATCTGGAAGCCAGCGTTGGAGACGATGGACTTTTTGCGTCCAGCGACGGTGGACATGGCGTGGGCGGAAGGAAGGGGTCGGCTCGCCGAGTGCTGTAAGGAAGAAGATGAGTACTGCCCTGTTCGTCTGATACGGACGGCTCCCACGTTTCAAACTCCGCCAACGACCTTGATGCACAAACACGCCACAACACAATCACTGCTTCGCGTAGCCGTAACAGAAGAAGAATGGGCAGCGACCAAAACGTTCTTCCAGTGGGCGTGCTTTCCGTTCAGAGTATGTTGAACGGTGGAATCTCTGACTTTGCCCGTAAAGTTGCAATGTTGTGCAGCAACGGGACTGATCGCAAGACGGACCAGGCTCGGGCAGGGGCGGGGTTACTGCCAAAACAGGCCGTCCCGTTCTCATTCGAACACGGCTCGACCAATCACCAACATGCGCCCGTGGGTCTCGCCTGCGCCTCCTGATGCCGCTCCTTCCCTCTCGATTCTCTTTCCAGGTCAACGAGGCCCCGCTCTGTCTGCAAGTCTTTCTCAACGCCGAGTACTAGTATGCCCGGTGGGAAGTACCGGTATCATAACTGCCTCGCTGACAAGTGCCTTGGGTACCGGGCGGCTGGCTATGAGAGATCCCGTCTTATCAACCCTACGATGGTAGTATATATTTGTGGGTCCTGGAAGCAACTCTCTAAGCGTTGCTCCAAGAACCTATGTTATTGGTGCGTTTCTCGCCTTGAACGTGTTTGGAGGTCTATCTCTATCAACGCTGCTCAATAGAAAGCGGAACTATGATATATCTATGTATCATATCGTATTGGAAGATTGGAACGAGGCGTACCGAAGGTAATATTTCAAGGACGTGTACATCCTCGTACTCATGAGAGCCCGACCACGCGTCATCCTATTCAATGTACAGTCTATCAGTTTACGTCCGTCACGTCATCACCCCGGCAGCGGGATGCTGTCGGAACCTATGATATAGGTACCAATCGATGCTCTTCTCAAATCATCTTGTGGCTTGTGGGTCGATGCCTACAAATGATATTCGGGGTTCATTCCTCCATCGTTTAGGCCTGCGGTCCAATAGCGGTTGTACATCACGGTTCGTTCGGTATTTGCTCTGTCGTGGGGAGATCGCGAGATTGTCATTGTATGACACCTTTGCAGCACCCGAGCCCGACTTCAATTTGCCGAGCGAGCATTTGCCGGGTCGCCGGCACCTCCACTTAGTTGATTGATTGGCCTTCGAAGCACCCTCGCATTGCACTCTATCATGATGACGATGGCCCAGTGACTGCTGCAGATCATCCGGATCTGCTCGTGCGTTGATGGCGCATGTTTACCATCTCATTCGAGGAACACTGAGCAGAACTCATAGTCAGTATCGATGAGCTGCGCTTGTATGATCCGCTCTAATACAAAACCCCTGAAAACAACTATTCCTCTATGCGCTATAAGTGTATCATCAAAGCAATGAACGCGGCGAGAATAGCACTGCGTACATCGAATGGAAGGGCAGCGCTATCCCTATGAATGGAGATGACACTAAACCGATTGTGGTGTACGTACCTGTTGTCCCATCACGTATTTTCGGGCGAGCATGGGAGTCCGCTGTCCTCGGCACATGCGGAATGGTAAGGGCAAGCAGATATACATGCGCAGACCATTCAGCCGAACCGGGTACTCATCTGTGACGAAACACGTACAAGCTTGAGCAAATGTTCCGTCCAAAGTGTTCAGCGGCAGGAAGGCGAACAAGGATCGCGGGGGTTGTGTTTTGTATCGTTCCCGATATATCGCCCCATCCACGGACATGCCATATATCAGCGCTGACACGGATATTGACGGCGAGGGGACCGAAATAGTCCCATACCCGACTTCACACCAAAATAGAGAGCAGACGCGCAGCTTACTACACTTGGTCGGGTCGGCCTTTCAGGGGTCGCGCGCAATCCGGTTCAAACCCATGAAGTAGTGTGAGGAACAGCGAACTATCCCATAGACGGCTTGAAGGCGATGCCTCTCTCATCCGACCAGGTACGGAAGCAGAGCCTTACGAGATGATATGTCCCACAAGACAAACCGGATAGACCTTTGACGTGGTAGAACAGAGATGTCAGTTCGGAAATAACCCTCTGAGCACTAGCCTCATCCCGGTGGAAGCCTGGAGGAGGCTAAGTCCTTCCGCTCTGGATGTGCGCGCCATGATACGCGTACTACCATTGACAGTGCGACCTTCGGGAGGGACAAAATTGACATAAAAGAGGGGGCATTGACCGTCATTGCAGCATACGCACCCCAAGTGGCAGTATCCGTCAGAGACTCAGAGTACAGCAGATGGATTGTTTGACTTGGAGTATATCAAGAGAGGTCCAGAATATAGTTCGAACTCCGCGGGAAAAGAGACGCCGATGTCTGATTCGCTGACGCGCTCGGGACTCCAACCACCACGCCCCCAATACCCATCCTTCTGGCCAAGACCCATGGCACCCACTCGAGGAAATAACCGTCGTGGCCAACGCGCCCGGGACGCTGAACGCGATGCTGCAACCGAGAACCATGGCCCGCTCAGCAGCGAATTGTTCCTGGAGCCCATGATGGGCACGCCCCTGTCTTTGTACATCGAGAAAGACGTTCAGGACAGGGATGAGCTCGTGGAACTGATCGTGGTAAGTTCAGCTTTTCGAGCAACATATGAAGTCGAGGAAGCTACTTCTCTTGCGATGTGTACCTCCCGGTGTAATAGAGCTTCGTGATATTGCATTGCGTGTCTATTCCTGTGCAACCCTGGCTGCCGGCGCGCGAAGTCCTGACAGATACTGATGCATGTTTGACAGGCTAACGGTGGCATTGTCTCTCAGAGTTATAGTGGTGTGCCGTACATCCTTGGTACGTAGGGCAGAGGACCATTGGGATTCCATCTTGACGCTGCATCCGCGTCTCATGCACCCCTTTGCCTGACCCGATCGCATTTGCCAGTTGATCCGCATAAGGAATCGGGTCAGAATCTATATCGTCAATATGCCGGAAAGAAAGGCAAGATGGTACTCGATTCTCGGTGGGTCAGAGAGTGCGTCAAGGCTGGGGCCCTTCAAACCTACCAAACGAACTTTGCGGGATGCAAAGTGACCGGCACCGAGCAGTAAGCACGCCGAAAATGTATTTTCTGCGTCAATCATTCAGTAGCTGTACAGGGTGGGTCAGTCAATGCAACCGCTTGCCTCTACGTCAACGCCGAATACTACTCCCCGACGCACGACGCGACAGCAGGCCCAAGAGGCCCAGGCTCACGAGATGGCCATGCAGACGAACCAAGTCGCCCAAGTGCCACAACCGCCTCCACACATCATGGCACCTCAGCCTGTGCCGGTGGACGGTATGGTCCACCCTCAGACCGCATTCTCTTACCCGTATCCCGTTATGCACCCGCATCCGGGCGCTATGCATCCTGCAACCGCCGCTCCGCCTCAGTCATGGCAAGCGGCCAACGGGATTGCTCCCCAGCAGACTCATATCGCACCGGCTCCTCCAATGATGGCTGGTCAGACACATGAGTACGACCAGAGACGGTGGGACGAGTATCATCGGCATATACAGCCTGCCCCAATGATGGGCGCTCCCCAGCCGACGTATGACTACAGATATAGGGATGACCAGGCACAGGCATGGGTGAACGGCGTCGCCAACACGAACGAATATTACCAGCAGCCAGTAAGGGCATAGTATTGGGTACCTGATCGCCGGATTGACCCTCGGCTTTAGCAATACGAGCAGACTTACGAACAGCCGCAAGCATATATGGAAGATCCAGGTCCATCCACGTCCACTGATGCGATAATGACAGACGATACAGAGAGAACCAGAGGTCGCAAGAAATCCCGCCCTCCAGTGAGTTATTCCAGCAATCGTGTCGCCTTCGTGTCCCTGAGATAGAAGTAGCACGCAATGCCAGCCCCCCCAGCATCTTCGTTGGTGGCGAAGCCTCGCAATCCTCCAGCACGGTCGCCAACTCCCCCTACGCGTGTGATCAAGAGCACGTATGGAGGGAACTTATTCACTGGCGACGACATCGAATATCTCAAGAAGTATATCGACTACTGCCAAGCTCAAGGGCTTGTCTTGAGGTAACCATTCTGCTATTCTGTTCGAGTTCTTCGGCAGCATTCTAACGCTACCATGGCAGTCTCCGAGAGATATGTGAGCGTGTTGCAGTTAAGGTGAGCCTCTAGTTTCTCACACGCATAAGACCGGTATTGACTGGAGAGTGGAATATCATCATGAAGGCACCGCATCATACGTACGTGAAACTCTCAGCCTGCGACACGTGCAGAAATACTAAGGGTCGTCGAGCAGATTTTATTCGTGGCGCCGCTATTGCAACAAGCATCAAATTCGGCTTGGTGGTTATGTCATGGATGTCGACCGGTCCCCTTCACCTGGTCAAGAAGGGGAAGAAGAACCTGTGATGGAAGAGGCTACGCGCCATGGTGTCGGTGCTGCTGCAATCAGGACCGCACGTCAACGAGCTCAAGCCGAAGCTCTTGTCCCGCGAAACCGTTCGCCTACTCCTCCGAGGTCCCTGTACAGGAGCACTACGGGGAAGGGCGTGGCTTTCACAGAAGAGGATGTGAGCTTCCTTGTCCGTTTCTTGGCATACCGCAAGTGAGATCGTGCAACTCTTGTTGGAGTGCTTGTATTCTTATTGAATATTGTCAGAGCTCAAGGCAGGCTTGACATGGTGGCATTCTGGAAGGACGTCGCTGCGAAGGTAAGTCTTCATGTATCCTTTGGACTGACAGACCGCTGACGTACCGACATTTAGGCTCCCCATCATTCGCGAGCATCCTGGATGAAATTCTGGCGACGGCATAAACATGAACTTGAGTACGCGGAGGGCCAGGGTCCCGAGGAGGATCCGTTGCCGGTACCTCCTGAGAAGAAGATGCGGTACAGCAAGGAGGACGACGTGCTGCTCGCCCAGTATTTTGCCAATAAACCTGAAGGAACGTCTGATAAGGTCTTCCAACACTTTGCCAAATTGGTGGGTGCGGATGAACATGGTTCGGTTCGCTCTGAGCTGATTTGTTAACCCCTCAGCACCCTCATCATCCTTGGAAGGGCTGGCAGGAGCATCACCGGATACATAAGGCAAAGATCGATCATATGATCAAACGTATACACAACGGCCAACCTCCTGAGGATGAAGCAGTGTAGTTAATTTCTTCCCCTTCGATTGCCCAGGCATTTCCTCCGCCTTCCATTGTATTCTATCCTCAATACCGCGATAATAATCAAGCTTATAGTACTGTATAATCCGACTTCCAGAATTTCACAAGCAGACGATTCTGATCGCAAGTGTGGCATGCGACTCGGTGTGGCCAAAGTTGTAGATTGACCATTCAATGTCATCATAACAGGGTTCGACGTGAGAAAGCTGGGAATTGACATGGCCGCGGAGTCTCGAGAATACCGAATCCCCTCTTTTCCTGAACTTTAGAAACGCTCGTCGTCGCTTTGCTCTGTAGTCTGCATCGTAACCTCAGTGCAATACTAACATGCCCGAACTCGTCGCACACCGTATCGTTCCTGGCGCGCCCCCGCCACCACCTGTGTCCAAGTCTCAGAAGAAGAAGCGTAAGACTGCTAAGAAACCCGGGGACGCGCCAGCAGAATCTCCTGTAGCTGTGCCCGACGCGACATCCGCTGCCCTCGTCGACAAGGCTCCTACCGAAGCGGATGTGAGAGAGGGATCTGTCGCGCCGGAGCTGGTAGCTAAACCTGAAGACGGTACCCAACCAAATGAACCTTCGAAGCCGGCTCCGTCTGTGGAGCTTGTGCACAAGAGGATAAAACACGTTGGCAAGAAGATTGTGAGTATTTAACATACTCTATATCCGTCTTCGATGCGTGATCAAAGAATGTGGGGAGCCTGGGATTGACGCTACTCCAATCGCGATGTAGGCTCGAATAAATACATACTCTTCCAAACCTCCTGAAGAGCTCAATGAAGACCAGAGGCGTACGTTAAAGACTCTGCCCGGTCTTGAAGCAGTTCAGAAAGAACTGGAGGAGGTTAAAAAGGCTCTTGAGGTGAGTACTCCTGTTACATGTCATTGAACGGAGGTAAGGAACTAGTCATCCAGGCTCTGGAGCTGGAAGAGGCTCAAGAAGAGGCCTTGAGGCGTGCCGAGGCCCGAAGAGCTGAAGAGCAGCGCATAGCCGAGGCCATCGCGTCCACGGAGGTAAATCAGCTTGCTTTATGTTTAGTTGCTGCTCACTTCTGTCGGGCAGAGGGAGTTCATCTCTAGAACCGCTGATATGCTGGCTTTCCTGCGCTTGCCTAACCTGCTATCGTCTGGTCACCCTTCTGCATTGGCTTTGAACCTTGATGATACCGAGGGGACCGCTGTCTACTCTGCCACTGAAGTTCTACTGGGAGAAGATATCGACGGCAAACATCATATCCTCAATGGTCTGTACTCAAGTGAAGGAGAATTCAACGGTGTAGCATGTATGTTTTGCACTTTCACCATGCTGCTATGTCTTACTCACGACCTGTAGTCTCTCGACTACTTGAGATCACCAGGACTTATCTCAATCCTCCAGTCGCCCCATCCACTGTTCCCGATGAGGTGGACGCCAGTTCGGTAGCGCCCGTATCTGAGGTTGGCGTCAATGGACATGTACCGGAGCCTCAGGTTGGTGTTGCGGGCGTGCCTTCATTTGCTCCTACAGGTGGTTTCCATTTCATGCAAGATAGTGAATTGGAGTCGCCGTCCTTTGAACCCGAGGAATCTTCATGGACAGTGGTGCCAGAGCCTGTCGCTGAAACTGCGCCGGAGACCCACGTAGAAGAGGTTGTAGAAACTGTCGAGACTGTCACCGGCAACGGCGACGTCGTGGTGGAAGAGACTGTCACAGTCGCGGTAACCACTGAGGAGCCGGTAAGTCATAAGGTTTGTCGCTTGTGAGCACGGAACTCTGACATATGGTACAGGCTGCGCCTGCGGCTGACGAGGGGGTTAACTGGGCAGACGATGAGGAAAGTGGTCTGCCATCACTAGCCGGCTTACACGCCAAGTTCGGTACGTCAGGCACCGGGACTCCTGCTGAGGCTACTCAGCCCGTGGAGGCTGAGGTCCCCTCAGGCGGGCCTCATGCGAACGGCGTCAATGGCGTACCGCAGCCCCGTGAGGACGGCTTTGTGCCTGCGCGAGGCGGGAGAGGCAGAGGTAGGGGATTCAGGGGCGATCGAGGCGGATTCAGAGGAAGGGGAGGTGACAGGGGCGGCTTCCGCGGTGAGCACCGTGGTCGTGGCGGATTCAGAGGGGGGTTCAGAGGCGAGGGAGGTGAGAGAGGAGGTCCTAGGGGAGGTGAGTATTACAGCCTGGGCATTCATTACCTTGCTGACCACAGCGCAGGGTACCGCGGAAGGGGTGGCGGAGACGGGGAGTGGAGAGGTGGCCGCGGTCGCCCTCGTGGTGACAGAGGAGGTCTGTCTGCACAATTTTACGTCCCGCCGTTCAATTAAGCTCACTGCTGTTTCAGGTTTCCATGAAGCGCGAGGCGCCCCGCCGGCGTAATAACCTGGCGGTAAAAGGGCATCACTTGCCCACAAACAGTGTTACCGTTCTGAGCCTTGCTTTCCGCCCGCTTGGACCTTTTATGCTGTCAAGTTTCCGACTCCTGTACATACGCACAGTCGCAAGTCTCTTGCAATTGAGCCAGCTATCCTTATTTCAATTATCCATCCTGGCCAAGCTGATCGAACCGGGTTTAGACTGCATTTGATGCCCATCACAGCATTCCACGTACATGAGTACGTGGAGCCCGGGGTGTCCAGACACTTTCGATGCTGTTCGGATCAATGAAGTTACTGTATACCGGGGAGACGAAAGGCGTGAGTCTGTTTGCAACAGCCTCGCACTGCGTCGAAAGGAAGGCTGTTCCAGCCGTTTGCAGATTGATGGGCCCACTTTTCATAAATCATTTACAGTCGGACCACGTCGGACAAGCAATTTTAAGTCCCTGAGAGACGGAAATCAGACCATCAGGACTTCCCTACCTTCTTCCGACGTCCCTGGGACGCACTCCGACCCACTCCGACTATACGCGATTTTCTGGATTGGTGGTCCATCGATCTGCAAACGGCTGTCAAGCTTCAAGCTGTGAGCAAACTTCCCATGAACGGCACAAACTTCGGCTGCGCTCTATGTCCGACGAGCCTGGCATATGTGCTCAGATCCCGGTTGCGGTTGTAGTTTCCTGACTGCGTTTCAGTCACTTTTTGTCGGAGGGTGAGGTTATGGTTCGCGCCACAGCCCGACGATAATCGGTTCGGTTGATCGCGTCGCCCACGTGTGCCACGTGGAAGCGCTGACGCCGGCGGGAGAGCTGGGCGCCGCCAAATGCAGAGTTCATCCTTGTTTTACCGACCTTTCTACCAATCGCGACATTCTCGCCGATACCAGCTCCAGGAGCGACCACCCAGGATACCTTGTTCATAAGCTAGATCTCATATCCTATCTTTGTTTTATTCCGTCTATGTCGCGTCTCTCTCGGTCATGACCACGGCAGCAAGTGAACGGCCGTCTCAGGAAGGCTCCTCGTCCCAAGGAACTCTCGATGCTCAGCCAAAGAAAGAGAAGATGCAATGGCTGAGCCCGCAAGTGTCTTCGTACTTTATTGCGGGAGGGTGTGCTGGTGCTGCGTCGCGGACTGTTGTCAGTCCTTTGGAAAGATTGAAGATCATCCAGTGAGCCTCACTGTTCGTTATCCATGATCGCCGTCGAAAATTGACATCATCGGTCCATTTCTCGACATCGTGCAGACAAGTTCAGGCGCAGAATAGTGACAAGCAGTACAAGGGGGTATGGAGGAGTCTGGTACGGATGTGGAAAGAGGAGGGCTTCAGAGGCTTCATGAGGGGTAACGGGATCAACTGCTTGAGGATCGTCCCTTACAGTGCCGTGCAATTCACGACGTATGAACAGATAAAGAAGGTGCGCCGCTTACTGGATCTTCTAGTATAACTTTTCACATGTCCCCAGTTTTTTACGCGGAACGGTACTGCGACGCTGGATACTCCGAAGCGTCTGACGGCTGGAGCTCTGGCCGGCATTACTTCTGTCTGTACGTGACGAGACTGTCTAATTGACCGCATCCGGTTCATGTCTCCCTTTACTCTGATGTGCTACAGGTGCGACATACCCCTTGGACCTCGTTCGTTCCCGCCTGGCCATCGTGACCGCGTCCGTAAACCTGTCCTCTCAAGCTCCACAAGTTTCGAGCGCGGCCGCGACGCCCTCTCTGACGTCGGGTTATCACACGTCGTCGATATCCTCACCGCCGAAACTGAGTATGTGGACCATGACGCTGCAGATTGTACGGGAAGAAGGTGGAATCCGCGCACTCTACCGTGGCATGGTCACGACGGCTGTCGGGGTTGCACCGTACGTGGGGATCAATTTTGCCTCTTACGAGGCCTTGCGGGGAATCATCACGCCTCCCGGCAAGACAAGTGTAGTGCGCAAGCTGACGTGTGGCGCATTGGCAGGTGAGCACTCGTCAAGTCGTGATTCCAAAGTGCAACCGTCGAACGATAGAACCCAGGCTCGATATCGCAGACCCTGACGTACCCTTTCGATGTCGTTCGAAGGAAGATGCAGGTCACGGGGATGCCGTCCGCGACCAAATATAATGGGGCTGTCGACGCGTTTATTACCATCGCCCGGACCGAGGGCCTGAAGGGGCTGTACAGAGGGCTCTGGCCTAATCTGCGTAAGTCAATCATGATATTCTCATGGCAGCATCTGACAGGCCTGCTGGGATCAGTCAAGGTCGCACCGAGCATCGCAACGTCATTTTTCACGTATGAGCTCGTGAAGGAGTTTCTCGGTGCAGCATAGGCGTGCTGGCCAGAACGAAGGGTGGACACGATTCTTGTGTTATAGATGGACATTCAAACCGGACCAGAGTTATACATTAGCACGGAACAGCATAGTACATAGATCATGTCGGATACCGAATCTCAAGGCCATCTGATGCAGTGGGGTATTCTGATTCGAGGCACATGCGACCGTCTCAAGTGAGAAGCCTCCGGCCGGCGTTCGGGTGGCCTCCGTTAGGGAATAATGAAGCCATCTAGCCGAGCGTTGCACTCCTTATCCTGGCCACACCCACAGCTCCCCCTTCGTCGTCGTCCGCAGCGTCCGCGAAACATCGCTCGGCCTTGATGCGTGTACAGTCATAAAAGTATTTCTTGGTGCTTGGTGGGTCGCTGCGTGGTTCCCATCATTTCCCTTGCTGACCGCCTCGCTGTGTCCACATTGCTGCGCTGGCGCTCTCATCTAGCTTCAGCATTGCCCTGCTCGCGGATTCTCTCCTGTCGACAGTGCTTTCTGCGCCGTATATAACGTTGCATATCACGTTCGAGCTGGGTTCGATCTGATTACGCGCCCATCAGCATGGCTCCGGGCCAGCACCAGGCCACCACGAGCGGCGACGTGCCTTCGTCCCTCTCTTCTTCCTCGCTGTCCTCCTCGTTTTCGTCATCCGCAGCGTCCTCGATGCTCATGCATGGCGCTCCGCCTTCGGACTCTAGCCAGTCCGATATCGCGTCCCCTGATATCTCCGCGTCCCCTCCCACTCCCTCCAAGAAGCGCTTCTTCACTGCCCCCTCCGTATTCTCCCCCCAGCCACGCTCCTCGTCCCTGGCCGCTATGGGTCAAGCCTTCAGCAAGGGCCAGCAGTCGCCGTCGCCCGGGCCAACCCAGAGGAGTGGATCACCGGGCGCGCCGCCGTCTGCTGGGCAGAGGCTGAAGCGGGCTTTCGCAGGCCGCCGCAAAAAGTCAGATGAGGCATCCACCGCATCGAGCGATGGCCAAAGGCCCAGCGCGACGGGCAAGGAGCGTGCCGCCGACCTCAGTCCTCCCCAAATCACCTCATCTTCTTCCAACGACAGCCGACTCCAATACCGGACACAGCCACTCCGCCTCCCCAACGGCGCCAAGCAGATGACTTTGCAGTTGGCAACGTCGACTCTACAGGTATTCAGTAACAGAAGGGGCGTTCTTTCAAACAGGTCCTCTGCTTTGCCACCACCGCCTCCACCCAAGCCCCCAGGCATGACTACTCCTCGCAGCCCACCGCCTGTTCAGCCGACAAACCCGCCCGCACCCGCACCTGCCGCCAAGCCCACCCTTTCTCTGCCTGTTAATACTGCTCGCTCCAAACAAGAGAACAGGGGCTCGGTCATGGCGACCAGTCCGAGCATAGCGCCTGCTCTTGATTTCCTAAGAGCATCCGAAGGCGAACCCGTGGAAGAGCGCCGCCCGAGAGAGAGGAGAGATCCCGAGAAGGACAGCGAGAAAGAGATCTGGCGGAAGAGTGATTCCACGATGGCAAGTCACTCCACAATTCGCCCTGGAGCTGGCAGCCGCTCTCCCCGGCCCTTATCAATCGCAGAGTCCTTGCAATCGACGAGCACAGTCGTTGCGGTCAACAAGCGACTCAGCTCTATTATCACTGATGCCGACTACGCTACTCCGGAGGAGGATATTCCAGATGATTCAGAGCCTGCCGTTGCTGCTGCGGAGCCTCCCTTGCGCCAGACCTCCACCCCACCTCCATCATCAAAGACGAGAAATCGTCGGTCGGTTTCCTTAACCCTCGGGTCCCCGTTCCAGCTGCGATCGAAGGCTGCGGGCGAGCCAATGAGGACGCCAGAGTTCGAGATTGAGGCGCCAGCTTTCTCCAGTCGGTCCTTCTCCGACCCTAGACCGCTCGCACCTCACAGGTCTTACCAAGACAACTCGAGCCTCGACACGACTGCAGCCACGGGCTTCATCTCTCCGATGCGCGGTGGTGGTTCGCCCACGCCTGCCAACGGGAATATGCAAGGCCGGCTGGCTGCTTGGAATGCGTCTTCGTCACCATCATCGGGCCATCATCTTGCGCCTCCTCGTGATCAGTATTCGGACAGGCAACGTGTGCCGTCCGAGGGACAGTCGCTGAGGCAGACGGCGATCAGCGTGACTAGTGGGTTCGCTCCCGCCGCCTTCGGTTTCGGCAAACGGGCAGTCGAGAAGATGGGCCGGGCTTGGGGTGGTTTGACGTCTAGTTCGAGCTCGGGACATTCGTCATCCTCCTCGAGCATCGCGCCGTCGTCCTTTTCCGGCGGCCATCCTTTGGGCCGGGTTCATTCGAACCAGTCGACATCCAGCCAGTCTAACGCAAGTGGATCGTTCCCAAGCAAGCACAAGCAGCGTCGGACACCCAATGCTCCTTCGGCGACCTGGAGCATCAGCTCCTCTGCTACGGGTTCGTCCTTATCGGAAGGGGAACAATTCCCTGCCGCGTCTGTTGGCCCTTCCTTGGGCAAGCGGATGCGGGGACCCCTGCGTTTGCTGAACAGCTCGTCTGCTGCTGCGACTGGCTTGGTCTTTGGCAGGGATTTGAAGAGCTGCGTGCAGGAGACAGCCATCAACCCCGCTCGGTTCCGTCGAGACGATGATGAGAGTGTGCATAACGGCGGTCACCGTCGGCAGAGGAGTCGTGGATTGGACATGGAGCTTGTAGGCGCGAAGGCTCTGGAGGATCGGATGTTGCCCGCTCTCGTGGTGCGGTGTGCTCAGCACCTACTACGGTGGGGTATTGAGGAAGAGGGACTTTTCCGGTATGCAGCCCCAACTCTTACTCAGCTTACCGTCAGTTAATTAAACCTTGCCATTACAGTATCAGCGGGCGGTCGTCTCATATAAACAAGCTGAGAGCGGAATTCGACACAGGTACGTCAAACATTGCGCTTCTCAAATCCCATACTGACAATGCCTTCAGGAGCTGACTACGACATCTCTGATTGTTCGCCCGGTGATCTCGACCCGCATGCAGTAGCGTCTATCTTCAAGGCGTATCTTCGCGAGCGTAAGCACACCATAATATCATTTTGTTATATACTCTGACGACATCCGACCTCTAGTCCCTGAACCCATCCTGACACATGCCTTGACGCCGTACTTCGATGCTGCCATGATGGCTGAGAATAACGCCAGGAGTGCTGAGGAGCCATCGGAGCCCCGGATGCAACGAGCTTCGAGAGGACCGACTCTACCTGCTGGTCCTAGAAGCGGCCACCCCGGTCTGCGGAAGCCACCTTCGCTCTCGACGTTAGCTATGCCCAATTTCTCAGGTATCCGACCACCATCGCAGCCCTTGTTGAATGCGCTTTCATCTTTGATATCACGACTGCCGCCGGAGAATCGCGATCTCCTTAGGACGGTTACCGAACTGATCAAGGAGACCGCGAAGAGACATAAAGATACGAAGATGCCGCTGAGCAATCTACTGCTTGTATTCTGTCCAAGCCTCAGCATGAGCCCGTCGTTGTTGCGTGTCCTGTGCGAAGCCGAGGGCATATGGGACGGTCCGTTGAAAAGTGCTGATGATCCCTATATCATTGACATCAAAGCGGACCCGAGTCCCGTCATTGACATTCGCTCCGAAGACGACGATGCAGCAGATAGTGATGGAGAGGACGGACAGGATGGTGAAAGTTCCGCTGCCCAAGAAATGCCGTCTGACAGGGACTCCCTCCCGGGTGAAGATGATGAGGGCGAGTCGGAGAGCGACGACGACGAGGTTGTTCAATTCCCCACAGTTGTGGAGCGGAAGATCATGCGTCCGTCACCCGCGTCTCCAGGTCAGTCTAGTGTGGTACGGACCCCGTCGCCTCTGGCAGCGAGCAGTCCTGCACCATCCCGAGGTGACTCGATATATGCACCGGGTGTCTCGCCTTCCGATTCATCGTCGTACAAAGATGACGCTGCGTCGTACGTCTCAGCTTCCGATGTGCCCTCCAGCGACGCGAGTGAACGTATGTACAATCCTTATTCTCCGCGGGCGCTCACGTCATCTGCCGATTCTTTGGCAACCCCGTCCACCATGTCTGATGATCCCTCCCTTCCGCAAGTCCCTGGTGCCGCTCCGGAGAAGCCGTTACCGTCCTTCGAAGCCTTCTCTTCGCCCAAGATTGCGGATAATTCTAACCTTCCGCTGCCCCCAACGGAGACTAGTAACCCCGTACCCTTCCCTTCGGAGGCGGAGATGACGAAGCGGGACCCTATAGCAGAGCGCTCGCGACCGTTGGCTGTATCGATGGTAAACCAGATGCTCGAGTACGACGAGCATTCCAGGTCGCCGACTGGAACATCGCCTTCACCCCGTATGACGCGCGTGAAGAAGCCGTCTTTACACCTTCTCTTCACGAAGCGCAAGTCTGGTTCCAGTCCCTCACCTGTGTCGTCGCCCTTGCGGCGATCCGGTGTGCAAGCCATATCACCTTACTTACACACAGCGGCGACATCGACGTCTTCCGTCTCGACGCCGATTACTGCTGTCACTGCTCCCCAAGCAAGCACCTTCAGCCTCCCACCAAAGCTTGACTTGTCCATCGAGTCTTCGCCCATCGATCTGAATATTCCAGTAGCGGGAGGGGCCAAAGCTTCTAGTCTCGACCAGGCAAGCGATCTGGCTTCGCCAGGGGAGTCCTCGGAATCAACAGGCACTATTACGCAAAGCATTTTCCCTCTGCAAGAACGCACTATGTCTTCAATATCCTCCTCAACCTATGAATCATCTCGATCTCATGAGACTCCAATCGCCGACATGTACTGTTCAGGTTCGAGTAGCCCTGCGCCGTCCGTTCAAGCTCCCTCAGCACTGGGCAAGTCTGGCTCTGCTTCACAATCACAGGTGTCGCTGACGCCCTCGTCCTACGACAAGCTACACGTTGGCGTGCATGATAGCAATGATGAGCCTGAGGAAGATTGGGCAGGGAGCGTGCTGAAAGCTGCCCAATCTGGTTTGAGTGATCGGGAGGGTACCGCAGCTGGGGCTTCCCGATGAGCCCAGTTCTTGGTGGTATCCGATTCATTCTGGGGTCGTGGGTCTCAGTCGGTGTTGTTGTTCCACTATCCTATCATTCGTCGTTACTTTCTTTTCTTGATCTGTGGACGGTCTGTTAGCATGTGCATCTTTCATCATCACTCACGATTTGGCTCTTGTCACCCAGAACCCTCACCAATTGGAACCCTGCGACACCTCACTATTGCATTTGTCATGACATCTACTAATTTCATGTCTCCAGTTTTTATTGATTCCTCTAGTTAAATTAGTCCTGGCCCGCTTGTTTCCGTAGATAACCATACCCTACTCGAAATTACACGCTGCGGAGATGCAATCAATTGGAACCAACTATTCATACACTTAGGCCTGGCGTGCAGTATATCCGGGTAACCGGAGTGCTGCAACACTCAATGGCAAGTCAATGCCCTGGCCAGAAGATCACTCCTGATAGGTCTACTCCGCGATCTTCCTTTGCATTTGTAGCAATGTCAGCCAGCAGTTTATGGATCCTGAGACCATCCTCAATCGTTGCATGCACCGCTTGGCTACCTTTGGCAAATTCACCCCAGGCGGCTACCAAGTTTCCGATGAGGTCACCACCAGGACTTTGAAAGCCTTCTACCGCGACTGCCCATTGAAGCAGAGGGTGGGCGTGGCAACATGTACGAACGCCTGAGGGAAGCTGTCACCCTTCAACCGTAGTGTACCTTCCTCCCCTTCAATGACCCACGCTAAGTGCGTTTCCCCCGGGGGTGGATGGGAGGCCCGCGCGCCATGTTATGCTGGCCAGGACGCCTGACTTGAGTAGCCAGTGAGCGCGATGTGGTCGGCTGCGCTCGCCGGTCGGGTGCGGGGTGTCGTCGTCGACGACAATGACTGCGGGGTACACGATTGTGGGCGGAGAGCGAGGGGAAGTCATTGAGGAGGCGCGTGAGGACGTCGAAGTGGTGGCCTAGGGCTGCCGTCAATAGGGTGATACCTGACATTGTTTGTTCGCGAATAATGAGTTTGGGAAATCAATGTGCGCCGTTGGTGCATACCGCTGTATGCGTCTGTAGCTCGAGCACTCTTCTTAGTTACAGGTCCCCAGTATGCAAGCTCCTTCGGGGAGAGGGCGGTCTGTGGGTGGTGATGGTATGCTATGAAACGAACAGCTGGCACGATGCAGGAACGCACTATGGTGCAGGACCTGATCTTCCGGAGTCCAGTAGTTCTTTCATCTGTACAATCCGTTAGCCCCTCAGATGAGATGGACAGAGGCCGTTGACGACAGGACTGCATCTTCCTTGCACACTGAACATTCCCCCTACGCCTTAACCCGCGCTGCGTCGGCGATTTCGGCTTCATCGAGGCTGATGCCGTTAGGCCACTCGATGAAGAAGTCCTTCTTCGCGTCAGTCTCAGGCATCAGCGCCTTCTTCATGTAAGGAGCATTGACGGCTACCACCACCATGTCAATCTCGGGGTCGTGGGCGATCTCGCTGGTGTCGCCGAAGAAGGGCTTTACCGACGGGTAGTCAGCCAATTGCATGTATCTCGTCGCGGCATCGTCCGCGGACGGTTCTTTGGTCATAGATAATCTCGGAGAGAACTTGTCCTTTAAATGAGTATGCACTAAGGAGGGTGCTAGGGCAGTCGCCCCCCCAGCCTGTGGCAGATAGACCAACGAAGCCAACTCTGATCGCTTGAGAAGTCATTGGAGGTGGAAGAACCAGGAAATCCAATTCAGAGCTTTGTCATCTTCCGCTCTTTATTTGTAGGAAGAGAGCACTTGAAGACACCAGCGCCTGCGTCCATGTCATCGTGCATGTGGTTGTGTATGCTAGAAAACCGGGATTCGCTTGGTAGGACCTGCCAGGTCTTCAGTGTCAGTCTTCTCATGCCGGGAGAAGCCGTAATCCCGAAGAACTTGGCTCAATAACGACGGCAAGATCGCCTAGTCCAGAGGCTTCCGCCAAAGTCCATGTACTAAGGAATGCCCGGAAGGGGTTGTCAACATATCCGAGACGCTAATGTTTGGGACATCCAGCACAATGGGGAGTATTAGAATATGCTTGTACAGATGACCGAACGATGTGCAAAGCAATTACAGTACAAAGCCCCATTTGCGTGAATATCGATGAAGCCTGTGGCTGAGACGAACCACAGAACACAGCCACAGCCTGAGTCTGAGAACCAATGGGATCGCCAGGCAAGATCTGAGATCTACCGCTTCATCTTGACCGAAGCCTTCAGGTCATCGAAGATCCACGCCGCCAGCTTCAAAATGGCTTGCGGGTACGGTCGCGCATCCACCCCAGATCAAACATTTTCTTACACAGAATCAGACAGAATGGAGCGGGCAAGCGCTCGAAGCCTGGAATTGACTACTCCCTTTACCTGGTCACCGGAAGAGAACTGCTCCCGGAAGGCATAGTACGTCTTCATTTCCATGTGGAAGCCGGGACTTCACTCTGATATTTCACCTCTGGATAGACCTACATAGAGTCACTGAAGCAGGTAGTCCTACCTTTTGTCAACGAGATAATATCTCACTAATGCTCGTGCAGGCCATTGAGGGCGGAGTTACTGTCGTCCAAGTACGGGAAAAGAAAGCAGACACGGGAGAAGTTCGCCTTTTGCTTGCAGTATCGATACCTGAAGCTAAATGCGAGACGAGTCTAGTTCCTCCAAATAGCTCGCGAAAGCAAAGAACTATGTGATCAACACAACATTCCTCTTATCGTCAACGATCGCATCGACATTGCCCTTGCAATCCGCGCGACGGGCGTCCACCTCGGCCAGACCGACATGCCCGTGGCCGTAGCCCGCTCACTCCTCCCGCCGGATACGATCATCGGTGTCTCGTGCAATACCCCAGAGCAGGTTGAGAAAGCGGTGCAAGACGGCGCCGACTACGTAGGCCTCGGAGCGGTGTATGGAACACAGACGAAAGACGTCTCCGGGAAGATCATCGGTCCCCGAAAGGTCGGGCTGAGGCTGGAGAAGCTGGACGGCACCAACGTCAAATCTGTGGTCATCGGGGGCATCAAAACTTCTAATGTCTTGAGGACGCTCCATGTGTCTGTTTCGACTAGCGGGCGCACCGTCGACGGAGTCGCGGTCGTATCCGACATCGTGGCTTCCAAGACGCCTAGAGAGTCGGCGCGCACCCTCGCCAGCCTCGTGAAGGCGTTCAAGCTCGCATCTTCGGCGCCTGCCTTAGCCAGACCGTTTTCTAGGCAATTGAGCGACTCGCTACTGCACGACGCTGCAGCTCTGCTAGACGTCGTCCGGAAACATTCTCCTCTGATCCACCAAGTACGGTCGCTCCCTCCTCTGGCGGCGCCTGCTAACCGGCTCTTCAGATCACTAACACCGTCGTGACTAACCAATCGGCGAATGCGACGCTTGCGTTAGGAGCTTCTCCTATCATGGCAACCTCTCCTTACGAGATGGAGGACCTACAGAAAGTGCGTCACCCTCAGTGGGCCATATTTGTGGTCAGACTTGTGACGAGATTAGGCCACCGGCGCTCTCCTGATCAATTTCGGGACCATCACGGACAAAGAGGGCATGCTGCAAGCCGGTAAATTTGCCAACCTGAACAAGAAGCCCGTAGTGTTCGACCCTGTAGGGGTTGGCGCCACCGCTTATCGGCGGTCAACTGCGAGCGGTATGCTTTGCCTCCCCTTTATGGGCCATTTCAGTGCTAATGTGGCCGTATTGGGTAATAGAACTGCTGAACACCTGGCAAGCTTCGATTATCAAAGGGAACGCTGCCGAGATTGGTGCCCTCGCGGACTCCGTGGAGGTACAGGCTAAAGGCGTAGATTCCGGAGGGAGCTTCAAGGACCCTGCCGCGGTGATCAGGCAGCTTGCCAGGAAAGAGCGTGAGCACCCTTCCACCGTGACCTTTTCTAACGCCTGTAATTACGCTTGATAATTTCTCACGCAGGCTGCGTCGTCGTTCTGTCCGGGGTGGTGGATTACATCACGAACGGTGAGGATGTGGTAGCGCTGCACAATGGCCATCCTCTCCTGGGTCAGATTACTGGGTCAGGATGCATGCTCGGAACTGCGGTCGCTACTTTTGCCGCTGCCGAGAGGCTGCGGACGTTAGAAAGCGAAGGGAAGGGCGCCGACGAGGAGGGCAAGCTGGTAAGTGGGGACATGCTGGTCGCTGCCGTCGGAGGGTGCGTATATGACTGAAACTGCTTTCGAACCTGACTATGATGGCTCAACTCCGCTTATATCCGCAGCGTCCTGGCGCTCACGGTTGCGTCGGAGTTGGCTGCCGCCAGGGAGGACGTCAAGGGCAGCGGGACATTCTTGCCTGCTCTGATTGATGAGTTGGGGAAGCTGACGCCGGAGGTTATCGCCAGCAGAGCTAAAGCGGAGGTATTCTCTCCCTGAGGAATTATGATGTATAGAGAAGATCTAGACGTACATGTGTATGATATGTCTACACTGAGGCGAACTGAAGGGCGACGTTGAAGCGTCTCAGGCTCATATTCCCAGGAGGGGCGCAGTATACATCGACTGCCTACATATATAATACAAATCCGAGCTAGAGATACACCTACGCCTTTCATCCCATACGCAGACTAAGCAACAGGCGGTGCAATCGTCGCAGGATTCGGAACATCCAATATCCTCGAGAAGGGCATCTCGAGCGTGGGTTGCAGCCAGTTCTTCTCATCGTACACCGCATACGGCGGCGACTCGATCATGTGGAACGTATACGCGAACCGGGTGTTCGGGCTTGTGTTACGCTCCGACTTGTGCAAGACGTTACCGTGTATCAGGACCAAGTCGCCTGTGAACGCAAACCCATGAGTGACGTCGGGAGCGTAGGAGAAGCAACAGCCAAACGTACCTGGATTGCATGCTTCCAGGACGTACTTACCCTTGGGTTTGGGCACCTGCGAGGGATCGAGGAGCTGCTCGAAGCCGGTTCCGCCGTTGGGGAGGCGGACGAAGCGTTTCGAGATGGGCGTGGTTAGGTGAGAGCCTGGGAGGAAGGAGAGGGCGCCGTTTTCGGGCGTGCATTTCTCCAGAGCGATCCAGAAACCGAGAGCGGAAGGGGGGTTGGTGTACTGCACGGGGTTAATGTGTGAGGGGCTGACTGGAGTGAAGGGTGCTCACGAGGAAGGTGCTTTTGTGCGCATAATAGTTTATAAGATTAAGCAAAGGGTAAGTTGCCATATTGCTTACGAGTCATTGTGTTCAGGCACTTGGTAGCACGGGGACACGTTAAGTGTATGTAGGTGGAATATGGGAAGGATCCTTACCTTCTCCGCCGATCTCCTGCTGCTTGCATATCACCATGGACTGTAAAGCTGCAGGTATGACCGCAATGAGGTCGAACGGAGGTGAGAACCACCAGCACGCTTACCCACAGGATTGCGGTGGAACTTGAGATCCCGAACGAGTGCCTTCATCTTGGGATTCTCGAGCGTAACACTTCGAAACACGGGGTCGAGTTCATGTAAGGCTGTAGGACGCACATATTTCAGCGCTGCGGCAGATGCAAGAAGCTCACAAGGGCGCCTACCGTGTCCGATCTTGTTTACGGCTTTCTGCTTCGGTCTGGTCAGCTTACCGTTACTGTCGAGGGCGTCTTCCTCCAAGAAGAAGCGAATCTTGTCGCCAGACGTGAGGAAATAGTCGTCGCCAACGTGGTTATCATCCCCGGTCGTGAATTTCGTCTAGAAACACGGGAGGAGTACCAAAGATAAGGATTATCCGTGCAGGAATGTTTCGGGCATACCTTGGGGTGATCCTCGATGCTGAAGTTGTCAAGCAGCTGCTTTGCGCGGGTCAGAAGAGCATCTGTTTGGCCGCTGGTGAGGAAACCGGATATGCGCAGATATCTGTGCGCGGATAGATCAGACTAAGCATGGTCTGAATTTGTTAATCCGCCGCTCGAAAGACTTGCCCGTCGTCGTAGAACTTGAATTCAGATGAGCACAGTCGAGTACAAATACAGAGCAATAGATTCTTACCTTGTCAAGCTGCTCTTTGGAAAGGACTTCGAGATTCGGGCTGCCCATGGCGTTACGCTGTTGTGGAGGCTGCCGCCAATGAGCGCTGAGAGATCTCGGTCCGCAGGGCCCGTTCTGACGAGTCAGCAAAAGAAGCAGCAGATCATTTCCTTTCCTGGGTTTGTCACAACTGGTTCAAGCAGCGAGCTCTGTTGTTCAACCACGTCTGCGATACATTTTTCATCTTTACTACAGCTACATTCCTAATATCTCTTTGGAAACTGGACCCACCATGGTTACTGTCAATGATTTCAGCACCAATATGCACTGCGCACTTGTACCAGAGGAGCGAAAATTCACCGTTCCTCTACGGCACCCGAGCCTTTCTTTCGATGACGGGAATATTGCGATTCTTTGCGGCACCTACTACTTTATTGTGCACCAAGGTCTACTCTGTCGACACTCTGAGGTCCTAGAACACCTGGTGCGGAGACTGCTGAATGAAGAACACGTTGGGGTTATCGAAGGACGCCCAGTCCTCAATCTGGATGACGCCGCGGAGGACCTTGCTTACTTCGTTGAGGCTATCTATGACGGACTGTGGGTATGTCACGAATCATCTAGTATGCATGACTTACTTCAGGCAGCGGGAGACTGAGGTATGACGGAAATGATTTTCTGGCGGTCTCTGGCTTGCTTCGTTTATGCACCAAGTATCACGTCCATAACCTGTATGTATATGATGCGCGCTGCGAAGCTAGGTCCTGCATTATATCTTATCTACCCCCAGGCGACAACAACTGCTACGTGGACTCTCTGTTCTATGGCCCACGACCTTATCCCAGTGGGAGCAGCGAGAAAAGCTAGCCACAGACTCTTCGGGACTCTACGCACCTCGACCTATGATTCCTCACCCCATGTATGTTTGCACAGCCTTCTCGTATGACTTCATTCACCTAGCTATCGCAGAACGGTCATAAACCTCGCCCGGGAAATTGACGCACCTCAGCTCTTGCCTTCGGCGTACTACGATCTTTCACGCTACCTACCTAGCCAGACTATGTCAGACTTCTCACCGTCCGATGACTGTCCGACAGAGCAACTCTCCCACGAAGACCTGGTGAACGCACTCCGCGGAAGGGAATACTCTGCCCGGTTCTTCTCAACTTTTGTCGTCAATGAACTCGAAGGACGACCCGCGTCCCCCTGGTGTATGTACCGCAACGAACAGAAGCCCAGCAGACGGCGACGATGCCAGATGGCGTTCGAGGCGATCACGTTCGAGGTCCTCCGCGACGTCAACGGCGTGGCGTGCAACCGCAACTCGGATCCACTGTATGCTATAGCCGACACATATCTGATGCAGACCAAAGACGACGCTCCTGGACAAGAGAACAAGACTGCTTTCCGCGCGTGTGAAGCCTGCCGGTTGGAGTATAACACTGTCGTCGATCGTGCCCGCACGGATTTCTGGAGGCAGCTTCCCCAGTGGTTTGGAGTGACTGTTGCTAATTGGAATCAGCAAGCACAGCCGTGATCAGCTCTTCTTGGATCTCTGCCTCTTTATCCCTGGCTCTCTTAAGATGTATACCGCGTCCTGTCACGGTCACGTGCATGTATGTAACACTTTCTGGTACAGACTATTCGATCCAGTCCTTGTCGTTACACCATGACAGCAGTCTTGCACGATTTGGCCGAGGACGTCTTCGATGGTAGCATGGAAACGACGCTACAGTACGACTCTGACGACGACGCTTTGATGAACCTGGATGATCTGAGCTATCCAACTACAGTTACCGATACTGAAGGACATATCATCCTGGAAGACGAAAGACGAGAGCTGACCGTCGATGACGACAAAGCAACGGAAGGCGAAGTCAGTTCCGAAGACGATTCCGAGACTGATGTCCGGTAGGAGCGCGTAATGGCGGTGGTGCATACAATGAAGTCTTATACGTATGAAGTGACGAGGCGATTGGCAGAGTCGAGGGCCTCGTTCTGTCCTTCCTTTCACAGCTTTCGACTAGCTTATTATCTGACGACGATGACGACGAAGCAACCCAGACCCGACCGTCGCAGAAGCGACATAGCTCGCGCAAGAAGATCGAGCTGAAGCTGGCGGACAGAAAGAAGGTGATGCAGGATGGGTCTGATTCTTCTCCCTAGCCGCATATATTTTGGGCTGGAAAGAATTTTGTAGTTTGCGTGCGCCTCGAACCATTAGTTTCCCGCAGAAGGGAAGGTCCACGAGTTCCAGGACGTTAGGTCAGTGGGTATATGCATATAGTCCTGTCCAGTGCCCTAAAGCCAGGGCCGCAGCTCAGCTGCTCCGGGTCACGGATTTAACGCATGAAGCTCTCGTAGACGATATCCCCACGACTAAGAGGTGCGTGTATTCCTGAATGTGGTCTGATAGGTATTAACACCTTTCTAGGGACATGTACTACAAAGATGTGCCTTTGTTCAAGTCGCAGACCGTTGTTAACCGCGTAGGGCCTCCCTCTCTCCCTTGCAGAGGATGCGGCCGCGACCCTAATTACTGGACCCTGTAGTTGGTCGACGATATGGCGGCTACGTTCGAGATCGGCAGAGCTGATATGAACGTGGTAAGCTCAGGTCGCTAAGTCATATAACCAAAATTGTCACTTCAGTCCTTAGCGTGCCGCATCGAAAGGCCTTTTCGCGGGAGAGAACTTGGTGATCCACCTGCAGGACGGGGCAGAAATACGGGGCAATGATTCCGAGGTGCGATGAAGTCCTCCGTCGGGGAGGAGGCTGTGAATTCATCTTCTCGGGTAGGGAATGCTCATTCCAGCTGCCGAAGAGATCTCGCACTTTGAGGTAAAGGATCACATCACGTGGGTCCTAATCGTGGAGAAAGAGGTAAGACGCTAGTGCAAGTCCACCTTCCATCAGTGCAAACTATACTAGGCTATTTTCCAAACGCTTTGCCGGTATAAATTCGCGAGTCACGCGTCCCTGCCTGGTGAGGGAGTTATCATCACGGTGAGTAAAGTTACTGTAAGTATTTAACTTGCCTCAATGGTGGCTTCGCTCAGGGCAAGGGATATCCCGACGTTGCGACCCGTCAGTTGGTGAAGACTTTATCTGACAACTTGCCAACACAGTGCGTTTCATAACAGACTTACCTGCTTCGCCTTGCTGAAAAGACCGATTAGCGTGCCAATGCTTGCCTTAGTAGACGGCGATGCCTACGGTCTTGATATACTGTCTGTCTACAAATTTGGCAGCGCAAGTATGCGCCATGAGAACGAGAAGCTGGCCGCGTCGCGCTTGGAGTGGCTCGGCATCTGGTCCAGCGAGTTGCTAGAGTAGGTCCTCGATGCCCGAGCAGGAATGACTCTAACACGCCCCTAGGCTGGGTGTAGACCGGGACGCCCTGATCCCTATCACAACTCACGACGAGAAGAAGGTCAGCCTGTATTCCCCTCCTGAAGCACCGACCTGACTCCTTGTTTCTGTGTAGGCGCTAGCCATACTGCGACGCCCTGAGGAGATTCTGCCCAAGCGATGGAGGTGCGTATTCCTGATTTATTACAAACAGGATGACATCAGCCCGTCGCCGTGGACCAGGCGTGAAATGCTGCATATGTTGCATCTGCGTCGCAAGGCAGAAATCGAGGTCCTCAGCACGTCAGCGACCAAGACCACGATGCCTGCCCTGGTCGCCTATTTGTGTAGGAAGATATCAGAGGCTGTTCTAGTGCTAGCAGATCTGTCGTGAATGTAGGACTCTTCCTCCTGTCCATGATGATGAATGAACGAGATTCCATGCAAACCACATCCATAGTCTGTGCTACAACAACAAACTCTAGGTCCATATTTCACCAAGTCCAAACATCACTCAGGAGATTAAGGTACAATTGAACATATCAGCACGTGCTCCAACGTTCAGACCTCAAGAGCCGTACTGAGGAGGAGGATCTGCTAGCGCCTCCCTGGCGGTCTGCGCTTCCTCCTGGTCATGGACCTCAAGCTTCTTCTGGTACATGCTCAAATCCTCGTACAAGGCCGACGCACGCCTTGTAGACGGACCGGATAGGAGAGAGGTGGTGGCCATCGAATTACTGCGCGTGGTTGTGCCGATTGACGCGAAGGAAGAAGGTGCATAGGATGATGCTCGGTCGTGCGGATTGGGGAGAGGCGGGATGGGCGAGGTCGACCGCTCTTCTAGAATCGAACCGGCTGTTGCTTGGCTGAGCAAAGACCGGTCACCCGCAGAATGGTGTGATTGGGCATGTCCCAGATTCGGCAACGACGTAACGGGGGTGCCGTTATCTCCCAAACCGTACAATTGACTATGACCGGAGACAGCAGTAACTGATTGCTCTTCGGCGGGGCGGCTGGACCTGGTGTGACCGAGATTGGCCATGGAGGTGAATTCAGGTTCGTTGTCTGCCTGGCCGCGCGACGAGCTATGGCCGAGGTTTCGCATAGAAGAAGGGGACCCTGCTGACCTGGGGGACGAAGGTGTGAGACAGGCGGGAATAACGAGATCGCGACGCCCCTCCTTGTCCTTAGGCGGTACTACAGGAAGCAGGAGTCTGTTCCTTTGTTGGTCTTCAAGCATGCGACGAGTCTTCTCCCGTAATTTCTTCTCCCTTTGTCTCCTCCTCCATAACCAGAGGAGTATAAAGAAGAGGACAAGAAAGAGAACTAGAAACACTCCGGTTGAAGTGAAGTTCATGCAGCTGTGCCTGTGAAACTACCGTACCTATGCCAATCACAATACCTGCGATTGCACCTCGGCTCAAGCGAGGGTGCGCTCGTCTGCGACGACGGCATGCTCTGTCGCAGTCGTCGCTGTCGCTGTCACTGTCACTATCAGAGTCATCGTCGCGGCGGCTAGAAAGACAGGTGTAAGCTTCAACTGCTTGCTGCGACAAATGCGAAGGGACGTACTTGAATGGTAATGCAGTCACTCGACGGGGTCGTAAGTTCAGAGTGACGACAAAGAGGGCGATTGACAGTAATGACATCGTACCCTGGGACGTGGCCAGCCGTGGAAAGGGTCACTCTCGGATGGGCGGTGGGATAAATCCTCCAGCAGGAGCCGAAGCCCCCTTACGCAGGAAAAGGAAGCCGCTCGGTGCCATAAGCACCATCTTCGCTAGGTGCTGCGACGAAGACACGCCAAGAAATAGTTTAAGCAAGCAGGGCAGCCGTAAGCACCGCGTCCCCTCTAACACCGGATCGCGGAGGAAGAGAGGTGAATGTGACGCGTCTCGTCACTGACACGCGTGACACGGCTACACGCAGCGTAACGCGTTGCGCGTCTAATCAACAGCACGTGACACGCGTCGGGCGCGTTGATTGATGGCTGGCGGAGTTTGAAATTGGTGGCCAAACCCCCCGAGCGCGTCCTGCTCTCTCTTTCATCCGACCACATCCTTCAAAACATTCGAGGCATCAAGAGCCTAGCAACTACGGTACAGTCCTACTTCGGCGACGACGACGACGACCCTCAAAATGCAAACCGCGATGGAGAGCAGGGCCACGGTCCTGGGTAAGAGAACATGTCGTTCCGACTCCATAAATCTACCAGACGACTCCCTTTTCCCCTCCCTCCCCACACCTGAATCTACCCCCAACTTCAAACGAATGAAGACTACTGCCACCATTCTCGGTGACGATAGCAACAAAGAAAACATCCCTCCGTTCCGATTTGATGCTATCAACATCCCTCAGACGCCCCGCCCACTGCGTCGGACTCGGACCGATGCCACTATTCCTTCATCACCTATCGCTCGTATGTTAACCTTCATCTGTTTTGAGGACGTTAATGACCATTCCATTACTGATTAGCTCTTCGTCGGAGCACATCTTCGTCCGAAGTTGACGGCGCGTCTTCCCTCCAGACCCCACCCCCTACTCCCCAACAGAATCTTCCAATTTACCTACGAGCCCGTGCTCTCCTTCGTACCACTTGCGATGGTGCATCGACTATCGCTGGCCGTGGTGAAGAACGGGAAGTCATCACAAAGTTCATCTCGTCCTTCCTAAATCCTTCTGAAGAGGCGGAATCCTCAATGGCCGCCACTCTTTATATCTCGGGGACTCCTGGCACCGGTAAGACAGCCCTAGTGAACGCCATTGTCAAGGACATCGATGCGGGATGTAAGGTTGTCTATGTCAACTGCATGGCCTGTGAAGGTCTTCCTGCGCTGTTCGCGAAGATGTGCGAAGAGTTCGGCGGGCCAGCCATGGTTGTGCGAGCTTCCCGCACCGCGAAAGGCAAGGTCAAGGACACCAAGGATTCCTTGACATCGTTGCTTTCCAAGGCGACTGATAAATGGTACGTCGTGAGATAAAGCAGAGCGTACCAATATCAATTCCTCTTTGTAGTATCTTTGTGCTGGACGAACTGGACCACGTGGCACCCGCGCAAGCTCTTAGTTCCCTCTTCGATCTCACCCATGCTCACTCCTCCACGTTGCGCGTCATCGGCATTGCCAATACCCACACCTTGACGGCGGCGTCATCCTTGGCGGGTACTGGCTCAAAGAGCGTTACAACATTGCATTTTTCTCCCTACTCTGCCAGTCAGATGTTGCAAATTGTACAAACACGACTTGCTCCCCTCATCGACGACCCAGCCTGCTCAGAGAAGATGAAGAAGTTCTTGCCAGCGCCCGCCCTCACTTTGCTTTCGAAGAAGATCGCTGCCCAGACGGGCGACGTACGGGCGTTGTTCGAGGTCCTTCGAGGTGCTATTGATCAGGCAACCATGTCTCTGCTGAAGAATAAAGACGTGTCTGCCGATAGCAAGGTCGAGGCTGCCGTACCTGCTGTTACGCCGTCGCATGTCCTCGCAGCTCTGAAAACTTATACGCCCTCTACTTCGAAGAGATCTACGACTACGGCTGCTACCTCGTTAAATAACGAGATCATTACCAAAGTCCGCGATCTGGGGATGCAGGCGAGATTGGTCCTGCTCGCCATTCTTCTAGCTTCCAAGAGGTTGGAAGCCAACCTTTCAATATCCAACTCGGCACTGCCGTCCCCTTCAAAGCCTTCGATCAAGCGATCGACCTCGTCACCGTCTTCTCCGTCTGGGACCGCGACAGATATTGATCCAACCGCACTTCACGGGTACTATGTCGCAGTCTTGAAACGCTCGACAAATGATGTATTCAGCCCAGTCTCGAGGAGCGAATTCTCCGACTTGCTGGGATTGCTTGAGACCGTGGGCCTTGTCTCGCTCTCATCGTCTGCGTCAGGGCCTACGACTCCGACCAAGACTGGCCGTCGGTCCGTCGGCCGCTCAGCGTCGTTCTCTGCTGCAACCACCAAGTCTTCTAAGGGCCAGGGCGTGAGGCTCGCCGCCACTGTGAGGGCGGACGAGGTTCTGAGGGGTTTGGGGATCTCAAACGGTGACGTAGGCGCGATCGACCCTCGTCAAGAGGAAGTCAACGCGATATGGTCCAGGGAGCAGACCAAGATAAATCGTGAGCGCAAGCATGCTGCGTCACCCACGAAGGCTGCAGATGTCTTCGACGACGCCAATGAGGATTAGACTACTGTCCTACTCTCACAAGCCCTATATCCCCCATATCATCTATACCCCCTCTGTTCCGGCCGTCTCGAGGAACAATCATGTCGTGCTCCTATATGTCCTCATTGTCTATGCTGCCATTCTTTCCTCTGTCTCCTTCATCCTCAGGTTGCCGATATGGTGTTATGCGTCTTTTATGGTCACTACCTTGCCTTGTGTACAACTACAATTTCATTTGTGACACTAGATTGTACAATACACACACAGCATTAGAATAGTACATAGCAATCCGGAAGTCAATGCACGTGTGGTGACCGATGAGTTTTGTCCAATTGGTGAAGCAGGTGACGGAGACTACCTGTGCCTCGAAGAGCAGCAAGTCTGTCTCCGCTGAGCATGTCCATGTACTCGAGTGGTATGTCGGACATGGCTGCTTCCTTTTCGACAACCCCTCTGAGAACTTTCACCTGGTATCGCCATTCATTAGTCCTTGTGCATGATCATTTTCGAAGGGGCTCACCAATGTAGTCATCCTGGAGTCGAAAGCGTTGTATAGATCCTCCAACATTGGCGCTGCTTCATACTCTTCGCGCCTATTTTCTCGCCTCATCCCAGCTAAGTTGCATAGATCAAGGACATACTCGAGACAGCCTCTCAGCAGGTCTCCGGCTGCTTTCTGTCCTGATCGCAGTAAGCATGCGCTGAGAATGTCGTCCATAACACTAGAGTGATGGTCGGCAAGGGTAAAGACGTCTGAGAAGGATTCATTGCCTGGCGTTGTTGTAGACGAAAGGCGGGAAAGGAGCACGTCGAAGTTGCCCCGGATAGCCGTGTCGAAAACGTATGTCGATATCACCATCACGAACGAGTGGGCCACAAAGCGGAAGTGGAGCAATAGTTTATTGGACGACGCTAGGGTGGGGAACAGAGGATCAGACTTTCGTCTGGTCATACGGTATAGAGAACGGACGCCATTTTCCACTGTCATGCACAACGTTGAGATATCATATGCCGAGGAGCTATCCAAAATACGCACCTCGCATAAGTCGTAGGAGGAAAGCGAACATGCGCTGGTATTTTGAGATGACTTCAGGCGTGATAAGCACATCCAGCGGATGGGGAGGTCGATACTCCATGTACAGGAAATCAAGGGCCCTGTACATAGTCAGATATATATAGTCGCACTGGTAGATGTTCTCACTCAATCGCTGGTAGTTGACGATGAGTTATATGAAGGCAATGCACTGAAAGAGAGATCGCGGACGCACATAGTGGGTTGAGCCATTTTTCTCTGCCGGTACCTGTTGGCAGATCACGTATCGCGAATCCCAACCGGGAATCTGCTTCTTGAAATATTCGAGCGCGTCCAGCCCTCTCGACCACACCACCCTCGTCTTCACTGTCAGCTTCATCGAAATTCGCTTCTAAGGAATCTACAATAACTGTTCTGAGGTAGAAGCTGAGGTCAGTACCTCCCGGAGGCCAAGATTGCCGTTCCATCAGCTCCGGAGCAAGTCCGACAGCCCAGTTCTCATCTTTTCCAGCTTCGGAAGTGCGGCTAGGCCGTACAACCAGCGACCTTGCAGCCTGTTTATCACGATAGCGGTCCTCAGAGTCAGAGAAACAAGCAGCCTCGAGGCGACTCCGGAAGGAGTGGGACGTGAGTAAGAGGTATGATCTGAGGAGGTAGACGTGATTGTGGAAGTTGAAGTAAGACGAGGGGGAAGTCAATATCTCCAGCAGTGCTCCAGACAATAACCGAGTACGTTCGAGAAGAGGCGTCAGAACTAGTTCGCTGAGATGATCCAACGTCGGCGTGATGGAGGGTAGCTCAGAGGGGAACGCGGATATGAATGACTGAACAGAATAATCTGGGGAGACTGGCAAGCGCGCGTCCGATGCCTCCTGTCCGAGGGTCTCGCCTGGAGGGAGATCGAATATGCGGAATTCCTTTATTTCTTCTTTATATTTTGATTCCGAGACCGCTGAGAGCGCCAGCTCTTGAGATGACGTCTCTTCCGCCGTCCTTGGCTTCGAATCGGAAAGCTGTGTGCGGTTCCATGCAGAGATGACTTCTTCTTCCGTCCAAAACCAGCCAAGATCAGAAAAAGGCTCGTAGTAGTGCAAAAGGGGGTGGTCATTCTGGGCAGCCTTGAGCAGTTCTAGAGACTTGCGGGCTCTCGGTATAGTATCCGCTAACTCGGAAGAGAAGAACACAGGAAATGACGCCGCAGGCAAACTGTCACCACGGCGTTCAATTTGAACTTCGTCGGACTCGTCCGAGCTTTCTTCATCTTCCTCGGGCAATTCCAGCGGCTCCTCGGACGACGCAGTGATATCGACGGCTCCAAGGCCCACGGATTTGCTGATAGTCTTGAAATAGCCTTGGGAGATTGTTGTAAGGATGAAGGCGACAGCTGCCCTGACTCTTCTGCCTGCTGCTCTTTCTGTTAACGACTTGATATGGAGATATACATGAGAAAGCAGATTCTCGGTGGAAATTGGCAGCGGTTGATATTGTCTCGGAGAAGTCTGTAGATCCTACAAATGCCCGCGTCAGAACATGCTCCAACCACCAAACAACTATCGGCTACCCGTCTGCAGAGTACAGCGACCGCAGTCATAATTTCTTCTACTTCGGCATATTTTGTTGAAATCTCGATTAAGAGTTGTCGTTCGGAGTTGACGCTGGTATCCAGAGACGGGAGAGTTGCCAGTTCGCTCCGAGCGTACTGAAGGAGAGACGAGATCGCATGAGTGAATGCGTAAAATGTAGATGCTTCTGGATGACTCCTGCAAGGTGGATCAGCGATGTCCAAAGTAGGGATCCCGATGCTTGACGTACTGCGCCTTCAAGGAGTCAACTAGGATATCCAGTCGACGCAGAAGAGCACCAACGGCTGTGAATCTCCGGACAATACTGAGAGCTAGATGTGAGCAAGAAGAAAGATACAGAAAGACGGCGGAAACGAGCCTCGCGCTGATCTTTTCGTCTTTACCATAGACTAGTAGAAGAGACGATTTCCCATGCGCGAACATTGGTTGAAACAGTTCTGAAAGGCCATCCCACTGGTACAACCGGGAAGAAGTACCAAGTACTGTCGCTCGCAATGACTGAAGAAGCTCTCCTTCGGTGACGTATGTTACGTCTGACTTTAAGTCTTTGAAGAGCGGCGGTTGTACACTGGATGGCATGATACAATTATTGTGAATAAAATCAAGGGAGTAAAGTGCTCACAAATGTCTGGCGATGGCGAAGTCTTCGCTCGTTCCTTCCGATAGAAAGGGTGTGCCTAGAGATTTCGGTGAATGGGAGAAACGAAGCGTATCCCAAGATAAAAGGCTCGGCTATAGAATCGTCGTAAGTGACTCTGATAATATTTCATGAGCCTCATGTTTCTTACCGTTCGAGTATGTTCCAACCTTAGAGCATCATCCCACAGCGTACTTTCGGAGGCATGCTGAGGGTCAGCTTGAACTACATTAGGTTCGTTCGGAGCAACGGAATCCGTAATCCCTCGTTCCGCTCTTCGGCCGGAATGTTTGGAACAGTACATTTCCATTCTATCCATCAATGGATTCTGTGGTTTGTCAGGAAGGGGTTTAACAAAGAAGGGAGCAGCCAGGGGAGGCAGGCTGAGCGGGCTGTCTCTAGTATCCTCCTGGTCTCCCAAGGGCGGGAGCCAGGGCATATCTCCTCCTGCCGGGTAGTCATAAGGAGATTCCATCGGGTGTACACTGCAAATTCGCGTGGCCAGGCTGTTGCCACAGGCGCGCCTCAGTAGGCTGAGATGGAGCGCGTCCAGTGAGGAGAAGGCAATTACGTAAGACTGTGGCTCTTCGCGTCTGCACGTGATCTCGACACGTCCAGCGGCGATGGTGCGTGCATCAAGTTCCACGCGTCGGCGTTGAAGCGTGTCTTCTTGATTGCGCCCACCACTATTCTTGTTTCTTGCCTCGACGCAGCAACGGCAGCATCAGCAACGCGAGCCTCGTCGTCGAAGATCCCAATGGCTACCGTTCGTCGCCCTTTGCTATCGCGCCCTTTGCCCGGTGTAGTGGATCCCGGGAGGCTTCTGAAGGGCGGCCTACCAGTCGGGAAGCGGGCGAGGTCGCCGGATGCTGCTTTCGACGCCGGTGCTGTAAAGGACTCTGCTAAGCGAGCCAGAGCTTTGCCACCTGTCCCGGTACAGGACGAAGAGCGCAAGGAGAAGGAGCAGAGGCGGCTGGAACGGGAGAAGCAGAAGCGGGATTTTCAGATCAAGTATACAAAGGCGTTTCCGCAATGGTCCTTCTACTTTGACCTTGATGTTCTTAACCCCGAAGAAGCCGCTACGCAGGAGCGATTAACGGCAAAAATCGAACAACTGGGCGGGGTATGGCTTTCCACTCCGTGAATGAGGAGAAGGGTCTAACTTTCACCTGCAGCGTGTCGAGGACTTCTTCTCGAACGATGTGACGCATCTGGTGACCAACAAACCCATACCTCCGCCTGGCGATCGGGCGAACAAGGAGAATAGCAATCCGAAAGGTACCACCCAGTCTTTGCTCGGCAGTCCTTTTAAACTCAGAGGGTTAGTGTGCTGCTCTTGTCTCTCTGTCATTGCTGAGGCTAATGGAGTCGTCTTGAAGAGAGAAGAATGCGTGTCTCTATGATGCAGTCGTTCTAAAAGCTGTTGACTTTGGCATCAAGATCTGGGATACTGTGAAGTTACAGAGCGTCCTGGAACGATGTCTCGCGCCCCTGGCTTCGTCGACTACAGCGTCGCGTCCGCAACTCTTACAGCCTGCCACTGGGATGAGCAGAACGGGCCGTGACCTCCAGCGCCTGTTGCTGACGGAGCGACTGCGCGGTACCACCACAGAACGGGATCCGACTCAAAAGCGTCACAACTATCAATACTTCTCCAAATCTAGCTATTTCTTGTTGGTTGAGGACATGAAACAGGAGCTTGCAACGATTCATGCCCTAGAGTACACCATCTCCAAGGGCAAAGACGGGGTTGAAAGGGGTGCATGGCCCATTCTCTACTGCCATCCTCGAGCACGCGGTCCATTCGTGGAATATAATGAGAAGGAGCAGAGGCGCTGGGAGAAGGCTCAACTCGCGGAGAAAGAGGACGCCAAAGAGCGAGAGTGCGTCAAGGCGAAGCTCAGAAGGGAACGCAAGAAAGAGCAGATGCAAGTGCAGCCCAGGCAGGGCGACCTCAGGCGTACGGTGTCGATGAATAACCTCCACCGTCGGGTGACGAACCCCGAACTTGGGTTCGACGAGCTGTTGGATTGGAAAGGTGACAATTCTGGATCGGTCAATGCGTCTGGATATCTCGCTTCTACTGGTGCATACATCGCTGCCTCCGGCAACAGCGTGAATATCACTTCGACTGCCGGCACCACCAGCATGGCCAGCGGCCCGTTGCAAACTTTGCAGTTACCTGCAGCACTCCGCGATAGGTTGGAACAGCAGGTCACGACGTCTCGCCGGGTCACCGCCGCCAACAACGGGAACACTGCCGATGCGAATGGCAAGCTTGGCGACATGGGTCCTCCCCTCAGCATCCCCGAGCGTCGTGCTCAGCTGAAGAAGAGTCGAAGCACAAGTACCCTGAGGTTGCCGAAACGAGACGAGAAGTCTAAACCAGGGTATTGTGAGAGTTGCCGAGTCAAGTTTGAAGACTTCAAGGAGGTGGGTCTACGCGCTGTTTTGGCTGTATCATAACTTGACCCATGTCACTTGTATAGCACATCAAGGGCCGAAAACATCAGAAGTTTGCGATGAACGACGATAACTTCTACCAGCTCGATCGCGTCCTGTCCCGAGTGCGTCGGCGCACGCTCCAGGAGGTGGAGGAACAAAGGGCCATGAGGGAGCAGCAGCGCCTCAGGTACGACGAAGACACCTTCATGCCGGGACCTTCGTCGCAAGACGAGGCGATGATTGATCTGGACGCCGACTCCGACGAAGAGGATGCGCAGCAGTACGGACGTTCGTACGAAGTTGAGGACTTCAACGTTTGACTTGGGGCATAGAGCTTGGATTCTGAGATCACCGCATGTAATGTTACCACCACAATCGCATCGTTCATACCTTTCATAGCATAGCATTATAATTGTACAACCTTCACAATGACTGGGCTTCTTTTCGCATCTCAATGATCACTTGTCTTGCATCCACAAACGTACAGTGGAGGAAGTGCATTGCGCCTGGATGAGCTCTCGTATTGCTTTCGAGAAACAATGCATTAGCCGTATGTCACAGGATCGCACTTCGTGCCTCGCCCGAAATATGACGCGTCCGAGGCTGTAGGTCATATACAGGCGAGGCTCACTGTTGACCATATATAACCCCGTGCTTGTAATAATATTAGACACAAGTAATCTCGCAAGGATACAAATTATCAAACCTAATACTATATTCTATGCTCTATGCAGAAGAACCAGCGCGGCTCCACGACAGTGCTCACCGCAGGTGCCTGGCCCCGTCAATCCCGATCCTAACCGAGTTGAGAACGTCAAACCGCTCCCGCCTCCTCTTCTCAATCTCCCCGTCCAACGCGGTTTCCCACCACCTCTCGCCCTCCGGCACGGTCTTCCACCCGCCGCGCAGAAACTCCCGGAGTGCCTTCTGGTTCGACAACTTAGTGAGCTCGCTCACCTGCGCCCAGTACGGCGGCGGGTTCGCGGGGGAGTAGCGCTGCGGCTGGGCGGGCTTCGACGCGTCCTCCTTCGCCACATCGGCATAGGAGGGCGCGCCACCCTCCGAAATGGGCCCGCAGAATCCGTTCATGGCCAGGACGATTGCGGGAGGGATCGTGATCCGCCCGTGCTTGAAGACGATCTGGGACACCGCGACGCAGTGCAGGGTCGCGCCATCCGGTTCTTCGGTGGCCATCTGCGCCTTCGCGAGCTGGCGCACGGTCTCGTTGACGGTGGAGGACGAGTCAGCGCGGTTTGCATCAGGTACCACGGGGTTGGCTGGGGTAGCCGGGATAGAAATGGGCGTGGCTGGGGTATGGAAGGGTGGAACGGATGGGAGGGAGGTAGGCACGGATCCGTTTGTTTCAGCCGGAGGGGTCTGACCCTGACTCTTCCTCCCCTTGCCCTTGTTTTTGGGATGGGTCACAAATCGGACGACAATGTATACCTACGATGATTAAAGAGGTCGGCGCGAGCCACACAAGAGGGTTGATTCTACGTACCCATTTGTTGTCCCAGCTGCCCACGTTCATTCGTAATTCATACTTGGCGAACATAGGGATTTCGCGGATGAAACTATGATGTGTTCCTGCCCGACGGTAGCGGAAATTAATCACCTGGTGTAGAGCTAAACATTGGACTCGTGGGAGTCTGCTTACCCGCTAGTGCTATCCAACCCCCGCAGGGAAAGAGGGAGGGGAACATAGCCAGGGCAGCTTTGAACCGAGCACTGTCCAAGATCTGAGATCCGTTAGATGAGAAGAGCGAGATCCTGATAGTAAGAACCACCTTTGGATAGCATGAGTTGCTAAGGTGGAGGTTGAAATCGCAATCTTCAGGGCCTGACAGAGCAAAGACACGTCAAATGTGAATCCTTAGAAGTTAGGTGCGCATACTCACCGGCCCAGGCATTATACGTTATCGTCATGTCGAACGGGTCGGCGCCTACAGGTGCCAAGGATCCATACCAGTTGTCCATCTCCAGCTTCCTGACCTTGCTCGGCTTCAGAGATAACCTCAACTTGACTCGCATCCAGAGGTAACGGAGGCGCAACGCAAATACTGGCCGGAATACTCGGACTGCATAGGTGCTTGAGATGAACAGCAGACCAGACGAGAAAGAAGCGACGTACAATGCCATGACAAGGGGAAGGCTCGGATATTCACCAGTATCAGAACCCAGAATAGACCTTTCAGAGTCTGGGGTACGAGAGCCTTAAGGATGGCACTCGTGGGGATGAAATGCTCGAGTCTTCTGAGAACGCCCTGGACAGCGCTGCTCGACATGGCTGCGACAATGAGAGAGTCGAGTATGCCGGAGAAAGGGAGGCAAGTGCGCAGTGCAAGCTAGGAAGCATACTAATAGTGATCTACTGAAAGCTCGGACGGTACCGGCGACCTTGATAGCCGAACCCCGATGTCACGACCAACATGATTGGCCTGCTCTATGGCAGTCTATTGGCTGTCGCGAGCCGTTGTGGCTTTCCCCAGCAGCTGTTCAGGCATTGGGGATCGGTATGCATTTCCATGGGGGCTGCTTAGGTATCATCTCAATACTATAGTCGATGGCGAAAGCTTAGAGCAAGTCTTGCCAGTGACCCAAACACAAAGTTACGAATGATAGTACCGGCTCAGCAAGCAGGTTCTGCACCATTGGATTTGGATGCGAGGGGCTGAGCCTTGGCGACGTGGCTCCTGCTATTAGCTCCATTTGCCGCAAGGGTCGCGGCACTGGCTCGGACGTGCATCCCTCTAAGGCAGACGATCTACTGCAACGTTACTATCTTTGCACCGCGGGACAAGCTGCTTAGTCATCACGGCAGTCCCTAGCACCGCGCTTCTCAAGAACGTGAATAAGAACGACGACCAACAAGGTGGATCAGATTCCCTTGGCTGTACCTTTGCGTTCCGTATAAATTGCTATGTCACAAGATTCTGCACCATGGCTGTATTGCCGTCGGGTGTAACAGGACAACACCGCCGCTACAGAGCCGCCGAAGTGGTTGGAGCTGACAAGCAGCCAGTAAGATTCTGAGCTGGCTGTCTCCCTCATTCACGGGAATCTTTCTTCCATGCCACTCTAAATACTGCTACCAAATGTAGTACAAGTAATCTATGACCATGAGCGTCAGCGGCAGAAGCAATACGATGCGGGCGGAGCGCCGCTTTGCTAACTGAAAGTTGTGTCCGTTGTTTCTTCTCCCTAAAATGGAAGTCACTTCTGTCACGTCACCGCGGTCAGTAAGTTCGAGCTGTCGATGCGTCGTCCTCACTTAGGACAGCCTTACACGCCCGGCCCTCACATAATTCGCTTCTACCTCACTCTTCCTGCGACGTAATATTGAAAGAAGGTTCAGCGCAGTTCATTGCAGAGGTTCTGATAAATTTCGGCCAGAAATCGCGACCTTTCGCCTGATTCGTCATCTAGGGTCGCTCGGCTTATCTCACGTCACGACTACTTGCCCTAGCCCAACGTGAGTCGACAAGGTCCATTCATATAACTGTCTATTTGCATTTCTTCCACCGAATGAGTGTTTCTCATTGATCTCAGTATTTACAGACTGGAATCACACCCATCGGATTTTACGCCTATGGCTGAATCGCCGGACGAGACGGACTCCATGGGAGCACCTAGCGACGATGGTCAACTCACAATCCGCATTCCGAATCCGAAGGTCTACATGGCTAGGCAATCACAATGGAAAGGTCGTAGAGGAAAACCTCGGTGTGATCACTGCCGCCTCAACAATCTAAAGGCGAGTGGTATATGTGGCACGGTTGTTGTTCGCTAACCTGACGTTGAATTTATTAGTGTGATAGAGTGCTTCCTGCATGTAACTATTGCGTGTGGCCCAACGGGAAAGACTGCAAGTACACGCCCCTGCCGACACCTGCTCACCGAGGGATCCCTAGATGTGATAGATGCCGCATCAAGAACCTCAAAGTGAGTGGCGGTCATTCTCACATGACCTGGCTAACCGGGACCTCTCGTAACAAAGTGCGACCGGAACCTGCCGGTGTGCAATCACTGCGCGAGCGAGGAAGGCGCAGAATGTAATTATACGCCCAAAAAGAGACATAAGGTTCCCGAAGAGCACATTGCTCTTCAAAAGGAAGGTTCGGCATCTCCTTACGCCACAAAATCTGCGTCTTTCCTTGTGTCCGACGTGCCACCGTCAGATGAATCCGGAGAGGCAGGCGATCCTCTAGCCGAAAAGTCCTCCTTCCCCGCAAGAACCTATCGAGAATACGTCGGCGACGAACCGTCCTCATCGCACATCAAGGCAGATCAAAGAGTCAACCAGCCAGAGCGTCCCCGTGTGGCTCCGGCTCCGGCTCGCAAGGCAGACCGCCCAGTACAGCCGGCGTGGATGAGTAAATCGAACCTGCCACCTCTCGCTCCGAAGACGAGCCTCCACGACCAATCCTCCTCCTCTTCGTCCTGCTTCTTGGACCAGCGCACAATGCTCCTGCCGACCCGCATCGAACCCTGGACCAACCCAGAATTTTCTCCGCTGCCAGACTCAGTCCTCCGACACCTTCGAACGGCGAATGCGATGGAGATGCCCACCCGCCAGAATTTCGAAGAGGCACTGGCGACCTACCTGAAGGACCTGGCTCCAGAGCTGAAGGAGACGGCCGCGCTTCCGCCGGACGTCTACGCCGAGCTTGCCCGCGCCGTATCGAAGGGCGACGTCTCGACATTATCGCCTCGCCGCCTGATGTGGACGGAAATTCACCACATTCGCAGTGGCTCCGATAAACACCACCTTCTCCTACTTCCTCGAGACCCGTATTTCCAGATGGACCGCGCCGACGAAGAGAAACTCCGTCTGGAGTATGTGGCACGCATGGATGGGACGGTGGATTCCGTAGAGCAGGGCCGTAGCCGCCCTTCCAATGGAAAGGAACCGGCAGACGGAGGCTTCCAGTCCTTGGAATGGACTATGGCCTTCGAGCGAGTGCCTGTGCAGACGCAGATATACGATATTCTCGTGTATGCGCATCGCAGCCACGGCTCGTCATCATCCATGCTCTTCGAGGTGCGACGTGTCGGGGTGGTAAGTGGTGATTAAATTCTCTGGTATAAGCGCCCTCTCCTGAAATTTCTTGCCCAGGCAACCATCACCTGGCCGATGGTAGAGATATTCACAAGACTCTGCCCTCTCTGCAACCTCCGTGCTAAGACCGGAGGTGTACCTTTGGGCGAAAGCTCCGGGGTCAAGCGATAGCCAATGCCAATCTCAATAATATGCTCTGTCCTGAAGGCTAATCTCGTTTATTTATGAATCGTCGAACGGTGCTCGCAAGGCGCGTTCAGTTCCATGTAATTATTTGCTTGCAGTGCGTTTCACCCATGCATGTCCTTTCATAGTGCAAGACCGGTGAGGGAGGAAAATGTATGTTACATATGCTCATAACATGAACTAATGCCTACCTATCTATGGCTTGTCTTACTTTCTGTCCCCGGGAGCCACCCACGTGTGGCAGCGTCGAAAACTATCAGGTGACGACAACCTGCGCAAGTCTCCATGCTTTTCCCGGTTTCGTGGACATGGTAGGAGAGGAGTTCCGGCACCACATCGATGGAGCGGTTCGTTACAATATTCAAGGACTAATCGTACATGTGACAGCAAGCTCTACCTAACGCTGGAGGTACATATTGTACAGACTTGCACGAGAAATATGTCAAGACAGTAAAGGTGATACTTTTCACGAACGCAGCTCGAAAGTAGCAAAAGCCAAGTCGTATCCACCAAACTCATAGTTGATCTTGTCCGTCCTCTTGTAGACGCCGGGCTTGAGCGCGACCCCGTCCGCGCCGTTGACACCGTTCTGCACGGCCGCCGGGTTCGTCAGCGCCGCTTTGAACGCCCGCTGCGCAGCCTCGATCGCGCTCAGCCCGTCCTCCTCTTCCGCGGTGCTGTTGTCCTCGCTGGAGATGAAGAGCGTAAGGGTGAGCCGGCCGGGGCGGAAGATGTTCACGACGCGGCGGATGAGCGTCTTCAGGTCGGGGATGCTGCCGGCCTTGTTGGTCGGCGTGGTCGGCAGCGGGACGTTGCACTCGAAGCTGGCGTAGGACCAGCCCTCTTCGGGGGTGACGTGGATGGTGTAGTAGCCCTCGCCCCCTTCGTCTGACTCGGCACCTTCGCCGGCCTGGGAGCCCCATTTTATGAGGGCGTTGGAGGAGTAGCCGCATGGCGTGAAGGAGTAGGCGTCGAGGGTGGTGAGGTGAGCGGGAAAAAGCTCGCTGATGCCGATGCTGGAGGAAAGCGATAGTGCGTTCTCGGAGGGCGAGAGATCTGGCGTGTCGGGCGTGAAGAATGGCTCGCGCGCCTCAGCAGCGAGGTGCGTCATGAGGATCTCGATGGTATAATCAGGCACGGTGAACGTCTCGTCGGGATTTTCGGAGTCGCGGACGACAGTGCTGTCCGCGGCCTCGGTCATCGAGTTCGCGAGGGACGCGTTGGGCGAGTCGTCGCCGGGGCTGGTGATGTAGAGCAGCCAGTGGTCGCCGTTGACCTTGCCGACGGTGTAGCCGGCGCCGTTGGAGAAGATGTCGTCGAGGAAATTGACTTCGTCGCGCCAGTCGCGGTGCGGGCCGTGCTGGCGCTCGGGGAACATGAAGGCTTTGCGGGAGTAGAAGAGGCGGTAGACGCTCGGGAGGTCGGCGTGCTCGCGCGCGACCTCGAGGATGCGGGGGAGGCCTAGGAGGTTGACCGTCGTGCCGCATGTTTTGAGGATGAGGCGATGGGGTGAGACAAAGAGCGAGGATTCACTGGTACGAAGAGTCATTAGCATACTGGGAGGTCTCGACGTCTTAAATACATGGGCAAATTAGCAAGTGTGGGGATCGGCTATCTATAAGGACCTCGCGCAAGGGAGAATGAATGGTATCACATTTGTCGGCTCGCAGTGATTGCTCAGTCTGCACACGACCGTCGGCAGGCCTACGGCCTTGATCGCGAACAGGTCGAAACACGGATTGCCTATACTCACCTCAAGAGATAGGCATCGATTTCCTCTCCATAGGTAACACTGAGCACCTGGCACTTTACGATAGCGAGTACCTCATCCCAGACCTGCCGAGATACTTTCCTCAGACCGTGCTTGCCATCAGGTGCTGCGTCCGCGCCAGGGACATGGGCTGGCGATGGCGCGAACCATATCTCGAGCAGCTTTTCTGGGCCCTCAAAGGGCGGGTTTGTGTGGTGTTGATCAGTCATTATCCGTCAACGTTGAGGACGCTAGGGGAAGGGGGAGTTGAGGTTGCCGCAGAGGGCTTTCCTAGGATGCATGAAACGGTGCTTGCACGCTGTTGAAGACGGAGCCGACGCCTTGCTCGACGACGAGGACGAAGGCAAAGGCAGGATAATTATTGGATGCATACTGACCGCTAATCTTGCGCAGGATCGATCGTAGTAAAAATTCGATTGATAGTGTTTCCGGCTGTTCCCGCGCCGACGCCACCCGTCCTCGTCATCGTGCCCGACGCTGCCGCCTGCGTGCGCATCGTCGCCGCCGCTACTCAAAAGCCTGCGAGGCAGCCTCGAGCCTCTTTACGCCGTTCGCGACATGATTCCGCGACGTATAATCCCTCGGCTGCCGCTGCTGCGAGCGCTGGTCCCGCGCGCCGTGTCCTCGCCCCTTCTGCCCTTGACTTCGCGTCTTCGCACCCAACCGCTGCGCGCATCCGTTCTCCCCTCGTCGTCGCGCTCCTTCCACAGCTCCCCCTCTCGCCTCAGCAGCCCCGAGCCAGCTGCACACGACCCCTCCACCGGCATCCCGCCCAATGCCAGCCTTTCGCAGCGCCTAAAGTACCTCATCAAGTACTACGGCTGGTACGCGCTCGGCGTCTACCTCGTCCTCTCCGTCCTCGACTTTAGCATCTCCTTCGCCGCCATCAACATCGTCGGCGCCGAGCATGTCTCCCGGGCTGCCGCCGCGGTCAAGGAGTACGTGGCCAGCATGATCCATTCGACACCCCCGGAACCGGGCAGGGAGGAGATCGAGAGCACGTCGCAGCACGCTGCTGCTGGCGGGCAGGAGGGGCTCTACGCCATGCTCGTGCTCGCGTACACCATCCACAAGACCGTGTTCCTCCCCGTCCGGGTCGGTCTGACGGCGGGCTTCACGCCCAAGTTGGTCAACTGGCTGGGGCAGCGAGGGTGGGTCGGCATTCGGGGCACAAGGCGCGCCGCACAGCATATGAGAGAGCGGTCAAAAGACATGAGGGAGCGCATCAACAACAACAAGCCATGATATACAGGTCGCCCCTCTGTCTTCGTCCCCTCTGTCACACTTTATCTCTGCAGGTCAGCGCGCTCTACTTCCGGACCTTTATTTATCTGACAAGTGTCAAGCTTGCATGAATCCTCGACCCTCACTCGTATTATAATCTGTATCATCGCTTAGACGAACATTACATGGATTAATGCATACTTTGCTACCAATGATGGTCAATCCAGAACACGACCAGGACGTATTCATACACCGGCCCAGAAATCGCTGTCTGCAGCCAAAGTCTGCCGGACCTGTGTCGCCATCTTTTCCTTCATACTGCGTCGCCTGTCTCGCCGCTCTTTCTTGTATTCCTTGATCAGGTCGCGGGTTTCCTTGATGTTCTCTTTGATGCGCTGCACTTCGGCTGTCATGTCCGTATCGAGCTTGTCCAGGAGGTTCAGGAGGCTGATGATCTGTTTTGATGTTGCCAGTGGATATTCGGGTTTTGCGGGGCTACCTGGGGGAAGGTCTTGGTGCTGATTCTGACACGGTGGCGTCCGAGGCAGCGGCTTGTTCTTGTCGGCGGTCCTGGGCTTGGAAGAGGCGAAAGAGAGACTAGGAAGCGGTGTAGAGATACTCTTCAAGAGCGTCGCCAGCGCTTCGTCGCAGTATTGGTTCTTGTCCGCGTCAGCAAGCAGAGGCGAGAGGCACAAGTCCAGCGAGATCTGAGGCAGCTGAGCCATATTAGATGATTGTTTTGTATAGCCAGCTATACGAGATTAGTGAAGTCTAGCGTAGTTGATGTCGTAGTCGATGGTAAAGGCGAGCCGGGAACTGCCGACAGCACTCTACACCATGCAATCACTGGCACGGGCGACGACGGCTGCTGCGCTTGCTCGGCCAGGCCCTTCCTCCACCGTCGTACTCGGACGCAGATATCTTGCTGCAGACTCGCATGCTCACCACGATGAGCACCACGACAATACACAATACCGCCCCGAAGGTGCGTGCAGTAAAGGAGATGCACGGGCAGTTGACTCATTCCTCGCCAGGGTTCACATCCGCTGGCTGGCGCTACCTCATCGTCGGCGCTGCCGCGGTCGTAGCATTCTACAAATGGGCCCCTGCTCCTGGTGAAGAGGCCTATCTTACGCGGTACATCAAGTACTACATGACGCCGGCGGAGTCCTGGGAGGCCGTGAACACAAAACACCTGCTGCTCTCCGCGGAGGCGCAGGCGGGCTCGCTGCTGATTGCGGGCGCGAAGCGGCCCCTTGTGCACCGGTACCGATACCCTCAGTGAGTGCGAGCGCTGGCTGCAAAGACTTGCATAAATAACTGGGGCGACACAGGATGCTCGACCACGGCTCGCCGCATCTGCAGCCGATCGGGACGCAGGTAGACCTGAGCAACGTGGTGGTGAAGGGGGACCGGGAGTAGACTAGACTATTTGTGTATGCAGATTGAACAGAGCTGTTGACGGATGTGTACGGCAGGCATGTTCGAGTTGATTTTGATGGGCGCATAAAAGCGACGCGTGCGCGGTTCGAACACGCGACGAACGAACGACGCAACGACCTCGACGCGTTGAAACGACAGCCGACGACGGCGACGACCGCATTCTGCTCTCTCTCGCCGTCCTCCACGACATCCGCCGTCCGCTCCTTGTACTATACCCTTCCCGGGGTGTCGTTGCCCGCTCAGTCCTTCCTATTCCGCATGTCAGCGCCCCCGCCATGAAGCCATCCACCCCCTCGCTTTCCTCGCGCATTATACCCCTTCTCGCTGCTGCTCTCGTCTTTCCCAATGTTGTCCTCGCTGCACTGCCCCAGGTCGACTTTGACCGCATGGGCTCCGTCGGCCTCGGCGGTGCGTTCGCTGGTCTCGATTTGTTTGACAATTCCACCGTCTCGTTCGACCCCTCCACTTCCTCCCTGCTCTCGCGCTCTTCCAACGGTTCTCTATCTTCTTTGGGCTCTACGAACGCCGGCGGGCGTATATCCGCCGGCTGCGCTATCAGCAATGTCATCTACGTCGGTGGTGCATTTTCTTCCATAGGCGGCGTGTCAGCCTCCAACGTTGCCTCTTACGACACTTCGTCGGATTCTTTCTCTGCTCTGGGCTCGGCCGGACCCAACGGGGAGGTCCTGGCTCTCTACTGTGATACCTCGAGCAAGAAGGTCTGGGCGGGCGGCCACTTCAGCTCGCCTGGCTCCTCTGTAGCCGTCTGGGACACTGACTCAAAGTCCTGGGCGGCAGCGCCGTTCGGCGGGCTCTCTGGGGCTTCAGCCACGGTCAACTCCATAACGACCAACTCCGCCGGCGCCAGTCTATTTTTCGCCGGTTCGTTCATCACGTCCTTCCAAGGGAACGGCTCGGTCGTGAACGGCACCAACAACCCCAATGTGCCCTACTCGCAAGGCGCGACACCTTATTCCTCGTCGCTGGTCCCTGTCCCACTGCAGAACGCGCAGGTTGAAGGGTCACCGTCGACCTCGGATTCGCAGTTCAGCAATATCCAGAACATCCTATGTCCGAGCGGCCCTGATGGACCCGGGGAGACTTGGTTTGCAGCTGACGGGAACACGGCGGTTATCACCGTACGCACCTACACGTCGCTCAGCGCAAGTGGTGTTCGCCTTGGCAACACGTTCCTCGACGGTCGAGGTACGACTGGCTTCAGGTAAGTTACCGTCCATCTCCCAGTCTGTGTCAAACAGCTGATTTGAGTCTAGTGTGACCACTATTCCGGACAACACTGTTCAGACGCTCCATTACGTGAACCCACAGAACGGCCAGAACCAGACCTGCTCGGGTACTTGTCCCCTCCTCACCGACTCGTCTATCCTGTACCAGGACTTCCTCTTCGATGGTCCCCTCAACATCACGGGCGTGCAGATCAGCTTGTCCGAATGGCAAGGAGCGGGTCCAGGCTTGCACATGTTGCAGCTCCTGTCCTCTGGCGCGTTTGCGTCGGCCGTTGGCGGCCAAAACGGCGCCTCGTGTTTCGCGCCCAATCCCTCAAACACGTCTTCAACGGGTACGTGGACTGAGAAAGACGCGAACACCCAAATCGCAGGTACCGTGCAGGCCGTCCTCGTCTCCGACGTCGCGGTAGGCACGTCCCCATCGAGTGGTCCCAGCTTCACCTGGATGCCGTATGTGTCCGCATCTGGAGACTACGATGTGAACTTGCTCGTACCCGGCTGCAGTACCTTCCAGGACTGCGCGCTGAGGACGTCGGTGCAAGTGACCGTGTTCCCCGGAGGAGGGATGCAGCCCTGGGTGACGACCGTGTCGCAGCAGAACACCGACGACGCAACTGCTCTGATCTACAGCGGCCCGATTTACCCTACCTCACCTGACTTTGTGACCACCATTACCATGACCTTGGCCGAAAATACCGCCGGGCAAGGACAAAATGGGCAGTACGAACTTGTCGCGGACAGGGTACAGCTCCTGCTGCGGTCTGCTAACACTACCGGCTCATCATCTTCGTCGGGCAACGGTACCGCAGGTGCCTCGGGGACTCGTAGTGGTTTCGGCTTCTTCGAATGGCCGCTTAGCAGCAATTCCAATGTTAACGCTACGACTAACCTCGCCAACTCCACGGAGACCGCTCTCGATACCATCGGGTTCGACCTGCTGAACGGCCTAGGTGGGACATCTAGTTTGACCAGCTCGTCCGTCGCCGTTGCAGCCGTCGCTCACCACCCGTCCGGGACCGTGTTCATCGGTGGCAACTTCACCTTGAACTCCGGGGCCACTCACATTGCCGCGTACAACAACGGTGCCCTCTCTGCCTTGTCGAACAACGGGCTGAATGGCGCTGTTACGTCACTCGTGGTCGACGGGGACACTCTGTACGTCGGTGGATCGTTTACCGACACGACCACTGGCTCGACGCAGGGGAAACTCCGCGGCGTTGCGATGTACGACGTACAGAGTAAGCAGTGGAGTGCCATGCAAGCCGGAGTCAACGGCGCAGTGGCTAGTCTCGCGTACTCTGATGGTCAGGTACAGCTCGCAGGTAACTTCACCGAGATCCTTTCCAGCTCCGGTTCATCATCTGGCACCAGTGCAGCGGGTATCGCTGTTTGGGATGTTAGTCGAAGCTCATGGATCAACAGTGGTGGGTTCCTCGTCGGGAGTATGACGTTCATCGGGAACGGTACAGCCCCGAGCAAGGGTCAGAACCAGTCGCAAATCATGGCTGGGAATGTGGCCGCTTCGCTGAAGTACGGAGCTCCCGGTTTCGTCATGTTGCAGACTGGCGGAAGTGACGGTGTTCCTGAGGTGGAGCCCTTGAGCCTGCCGTTGGGCAGTGATGTCCCATCTGGTTCGGCGGCGGCGACCACTTCCCGCCGGAGATCGCATATTTCTGCGGTGACAGCTGGATGGATATCGAATGTGCGCTTCCCCAAGCTTTTCTCGAGACAGTCGTCGGGCGCATCGACTCTCCCTGCTCCGCCGTCAGCTTCAGCTCCTGCTGTCCTTACTGGCGCGTTCTGGAAGAACGCCTCGTCGGGCCATGAACTGGTTATCATCGGTGGCAATTTTTCTTCCACGTCTGGTTCATCTGAAGCCCGCGGCGTTGCGATCTACGATCCTACCTCAAGCACGCTCACTGCCCTACAAGGCCCTCAGGTTAACGGGACAGTCCGCGCACTCTATGTCCAAGATAACTCATTGTATGTCGGTGGCCAGTTTATCCTGAGCGGCCAGAGTGTCAGCGGCTTCGCCGTCTATGATCTCGAACAGCAGCAGTGGAAGAGTTCTCAGCCGCCATCCCTGCAGCTGTCCTCTGGAACACCTGTCGTCCGCTCGATCAGTGCATCGACTTCATCCTCGTCGTTGATCATCGTCGCAGGTTCGTTCTCCACAGCGGGTTCGCTGACGTGCCATGGTATCTGCTCTTGGGATACATCGACAAATGCGTGGGCTGGTCTTGGGAACGGCATTACCGGCGAAGTCGCTTCCGTAGCTTACGCTGGGGTAAGTGCTTGCCGCAGAATTTGATAGCGCGACTGACTCATGTATCTTTCAGAACAACCAGGAGACCCTGGTTGCCGGTGGTGTCATTACGCTGTCCGACAACACCGCCGCTAATGTGGCACAGTATACCTTCTCTAATACGAGTTGGGCTGCTGTCGGTAACGGCGAAGATATCCCCGGACCAGTTACTGCAGTGGAAGTCAACGATGGAAACTCGAGCAGTATCTTTGCTGCGGGCAGGTGAGCTTGTCCGTATCTCGTGGTCGCATGGTGTTCTGACACTTCCCGAGATCTTCTGATGGGTCATCCTCATTCCTATCTTTCTGGAATGGTGCCAAGTGGTCCAACGTTGGTCAGTATTCCATCTCTCTCCAAGGCGTCGTACGCTAACATACCTTTCGGGCAGGGAGCACCTTGGAGTCGAGGTCGAACGTCTCCCAGTTGACAATGGTCCCACTCCAGAACACGCACTCATCAAATGGGATAATCGAGCCCGATCGTATGCTGCTGGTTTCAGGGTATCTTGCTGATTCATCTTTCGGCAATGCTTCCTCGGCCTTGTTCGATGGACAGAACTTCATTCCCTATATCATGACGACCACCACATCCGGTGACCCTGGCATGGTCTCACAACTCTTCCATTCTCTCACAACCTTCAGTTTCACGCAGAAACGTGAGTAATACTGCCCTCCCTTATTCTGCCTTTGAACTGAAATTTCGTAGATTTCTTGGCCGTCGGCATCGTCATCCTTATTTCGATCGCCATCGCGGCTGGAGTCGTTTTCTTGTTGGTTCTGATCGGCATCCTTTGGACCATCTTCTCAAGGAGAGATGATACGGTGGCGAAGTTCGATGCAGCAGAGGATGATGATGATTCTTCTGCGCACCATAGGCCTTCTTCGCTGTTGGCTCACATCAACGCAGCCACCCGCAACACCATCATTGGTTCCACAAGTCCATTTGGGGTATACAATGCTGAAAAGGAGGAAGAAGCTGTTGGCGCGGGTAGGATTACATCTCCCGAACCAGACCCACAGTTCATGCGTGCCGAAACTCCGTCTGACGCTGTCATTGGCGGAACAACCGGTGAGGAGGCGTACCGACCAGCACATGCCAGGTATTCCTTTGAAGGAATTGGAGAGGGAGAGCTTCCAGTGCGAGCGGGTCAAGAACTCGATGTGTTAGATGATCGCGATGCTTCGTAAGTCGACCCCGCCCAGTGAAACACGTATCTTGCTCATACAGCTCGATAGGTGGTGGTACGCAAGAGATCCACGGACTGGACAAGAGGGTGTAGTGCCTGCTGCGTATTTATACTAATCTCGCTTTGTTATTCTCGCATGCATTTTGTCGTATATCATATGGAAGATTGACCTTGGGGTCTCTCGCTTTTGCAAACCGCACCGCGAGGCAGGACCTAGTAGAGGGTTGCACCGTCTGACTGTATGCTTTCCCCATGCCGCTTGGACTTAGCATGGTCCAAAGTATAATACTACTCTGATAATACAGTCCAATGATGATATGCAGATATCAATGCAGTGTGTACAAGATTTGGACGGGGGAATACATAGTCACTCAGAGAACATTCAAGAGCTATGGCGAGACGTGCACTATTGAAGCAGAGGATCCCTGAAGTGCTTCTGGTTGTTGTTCCGATATCCAACCTTCGTCTTGAAGTCTTCCCGCCGTCTCTGGTCCCGGAATTCTCGAACATGACGCCCTGCTTCCCTCGCTTCACCAGGGTTTCTGGCTTTGACAACAGAGTAACCCTGGCCATAAGCTCCGAAACCGCCTTTGCTGGGTACAAGAGCGGAATTCTTCTCTGCCAAAAGCCGTCGCACAAGGGCAGCTCCAGAGTTTGGATCGACATTTTTGCCTCCCCGAGGTATGAAAGATTGAGCGTAGTATCGCTTGAGGCTTCGGTGACCTATCCTTGCACCCGAAGGAAGGACAAGTTCGAGGTGGGAATCACCATAGGTGACCTGGCTGTTTGGCAGTTCATCCAAGTCTGATTCCTCGGAGTCAGACTCTTCGACGACTTCGTCGACGGATTCTGCGTCCACATCATCTCCGTCGAGGTCCTCCCACTCCTCGTCGCCCTGCTTCTTCTTCTTCTTGGCGTCAGGGTACGAGCTCGTGAAGTCGTAGTAATCCGATATCTCCAAGCGGTCGTCTTCCGTCTCGTATGCGATCTTGCAATGGCTTTTGTCCACCATGTGCTTGCGAACGGCATCCAATGTCCTGAATTCCCTTCCCTTGCCATTGCAGTATAGACAGACGTTACCCACTGCAACTTTCTCGCCGAGATAGGTGAGCAGACCGTCTAGGTCGGTGAGGTACTCGGCGTCCGGGATGAAGAACGAGTGCGCAGCGGCCATGTGGGTGAGGTTATCAGAGATGGCGGACGATACTACAGGGCAGAAAAGGCAGTGGATAGGTGAGAGCCGTGCGCGGGCTGCAGCAATTTTGGCGTCAATGGTCTGCTCGACAGCTTCCTCGGATGCATCCTCGTCGACGGTTAAGCGGGCAACTTCCTTGGCTACAGCCTGCACAAGGTCCTTCGCATCGCCCGGAAGCTCGGGAACGCGATCCTCTGATTCTGACCCATCATCTTCTGATTTAGGCGCAGAGGCCGCCTTGACCTCATTCTCCTTGTGCTTTTTTGAGTTCAAGTGGGTGCGGTATGCATTCTCTGATATATAGGATTTCCTAAACAGCGATACAAGTCAGGATCATGACTCTATGAAGCACAGACTCCGCACGTACTTGCACACTTCGCATGTAGATCCCTTCGACGATGCTGCTACAGCAGTCTCTGTCCTTCTTTCCAGAACCTTTTGATTGAAAAGCACTGCACTAACAGGCGGAAGGCCCGCAACACGACGCTTCATATTGTACCTGTGGTGATCGGAGCGATAATGCAACCCTGCAAAAAGCCCTCTATCAGCGCGCAAGGCAAGGCACATGGAATGAAAAGTACTGACTCTGTTCCTCGGCGGAGGGAAATGCAATTGAACATGAGAGACAGGTAAACAGATTGTCCTGGTTAGTGCTGGGTACTTGGACGAGGGTCGCCATAGTGGTGGTCAGGATGGAGGGGTGTAAGCGGTCTGGAGGAGTAGTGGCTGAGGAATAATCCTGCGCTTACTGACCTAAGCGTGATGTGACCGTCACCGAGCGTATCGCCTTTCTATCCAATTATCGCTGTTCGTTGCGGCCATTTTGGTCGGCCTGAGTTGAGGCGAGTGAGACCAAGCAAAGGCAGTTCGTGTCATAAAGTGTCACAACAATGGGGATATATGACTCGAATACTACGCATAAATACAGAGCAATACAGAACGTCAGCGTCGACCCATCAAAACTCATGCCTTCGTGTCCCCCTGGTGAGCAGTCAGCATACGAATACAACCCTTGTACGACAAAGCACAATACGCACCACGAAAGGAATGCCGAATCTCTCAGCTCGTTTCTTTCTCTTCTCCAGCTCTTCCGGGTCCACATCTTCAGCAGGCGCTGGCCGCTTCTGCCCTGTCGTCTTAGTCGATGCGCCGTTATTTTGCACCGCTGTACCGAAGCGGGCAGCACGGGCTTGCAGCTTTTCAGGATCCTGGATAGAGCAGGTTCAATGAGGGCAGGATAGAGGTAACGGCGCACAGAGGCGACTCACGTCTGGTGGCGCGTCCGTCTTAGCAGCGGACGTTTTGTTCCCCCTCTTACTAACTGGAGGTGCTGGCTTTTCGGCGGGGTTTTCCTCTACTGGCAGGCCAAAGCGGGCTGCTCGTGCTTTTCGCTTCTCAGCCTCTTCATCTTCAGGAGCTTTGGCTTGTGCATCCGACTTGCTCTGTTCCGTCGAAGCATTTGCATCTGGCTTAGCCTACCACCAACCGTGAAATAAGAAGCCAAGAGAGTAACTCTGTGGATACCGAACTCACGGCAGTCGCGGGAGCTGAGGAAGACTGGGGCTGGCTTGTGGAAGCTGCAGCGGGTGCTGCTTTTGAGGCTGGCTTGGAAGACGGGGCGGGGGCACTGAGCTGAGCTGCAGAGGCCGTGGAGCTAGAGCAGGAGATGAAAGACGCGTCTCCAGATGCTGGACGTGGAACGTACGCTTTCGCGGTTGTCTGTGGCTCAACGCGGCGCGTCAAGACATGAGACAAGGAGTCTGGTAAAGGACGTACAGAGCTTGAAGCAGGGGCAGGCGACGCGGTAACCGGCTTGGAAGACGCGCCTGTGCGCTTCTCGAACTCTGCGACAGCGGCGGGGTTCGCTTGAATGGCAGCTATGAGATCGGCCTTGTTAGCTTTTGAAGGCAGTGGCACGGACGCTTTCTGGAGGATGTCCTTGAGGTCTACGACCTTGAGCGCTTTCCTGCCGTCGACCCCGTCAGCGCCATCGGCCAGAAAGACAAAGAAACGCGTACAGTTTCGAGTCCATGTCGACGGGAGTGAGCAGGAGAAGGCGGTCCAATTAAGGAAGCAGGGCATATGGGGCGGAGTTGGTATTTACGTAAGCAGGAGGTTCACTGTTGGTTGGCTGGCTTGTTTGGAGGCGACTCAGCCAATCATGGACGACGTCGATCAGCTGTTCCCCGTAACTTATCACCTTCCGCAACATTACAGTCAGTACAGACCCCCCTGCTCGTCGTGCCCGACAGCGCTGACGAGTCTTCCTTTGTTGCAGCCCAACATCAGCAGCAGCCGCCCCTCTACCCGCCCTTTTACCCACAGCAGCGCGCCCCCTTATCTTATCCAGAGAACTCCGGCCACCCCTCGCGCAATGGCTCGCCGGGTCCATCGACTGCGACGGCCACGCCGCATCCAGATTCGCCCAACAACGATGTCTATCTTAGGCAGCAGGTAGCGGCCCACCAGGCGCAGGAGCAGCCTGCCGATATCTCCCAGGACGACACCCCTCTGGACGAGGAGCCACTGTATGTCAACGCGAAGCAGTACTATCGTATCCTTAAGCGCCGTGTAGCGCGCGCCAGACTGGAAGAGGTACATCGGCTATCTAAGCAAAGAAAGGTACATTTTTTCTGTCGAATATATGCGCCCTGGAAGACTGAACAACGCACCATCACCTAGCCGTATCTCCATGAATCGCGTCACAAACATGCGATGCGACGTCCGCGTGGTCCAGGTGGTCGCTTCCTGACCGCCGGCGAAATCGCAGCTCAAAAAGCCCAGGAGCAGAACTCAAAGGAATCATCTGCTGATGGCGACCAAGATCACGACGAGGACGCTGAAGAGGACGAAGACGCCGACAACACTTCTATGAACGTCGACAAGGCGCCACCGGAGCGTGGATCGCTGAATGATGTCCGCGATGAGCGACCGCAACAGCAACAGCAACAGCAGCAACAGCCGCCTAAGCAGGCGGCCTCCGCGACCATGCCCATTCGCCGCCAGCACTCTCACCAGCACCCCCACCCGCAATCCCATCCTTACATGCGGCCTGTCCCAAATAACTTTGACCCTTCCACTGCCACCAACCGTCCTGGTCAAATAAATCTTATGAATGTCACTTACCAACCGATGTCCCACGGCCCGAATACTCCTGCCATGGCTACGACTTTCACCGAGCCCCGTCCTGTTGGCAGCCACGGACAAGACCTCACACAGATACCCCGTTCGCCCAACATTACCCGGTCTCAGGCGGACGCTGGGCTGACTCTCAACACGATGCCTTCCCCGGAGAAGGAAGACGATCAAATGGGCGACATGGATTCCATCGCTCTTCGCTCTCCTTATCCTACTACCAGCACACCCAGCTCTCGCATGCATCACGTCCCGCACCCGCATGCGCATGCTCGCCATCACCACTCCCGCATCAATATACAGGAGGGTCTGTACGGTGCTGGCGGAAACATGTGATTGTGACAAGTCGCTTCTGTACAGCAGATATTGTCTTTTTCCCTTCAAGGTTGCAACGGATTATTTATCGGTTATTGCCTGTGGGTTTGTCGTACTGCTCCTGATCACTTGGTTATTTCAGTGTACTACCACCCCGACTAGACTCCCTTCCCGGCTCGAGCTGTTCAGTTTACCCCTCGTTTGCCTTGTACAGTGATTATATATGTGCGTACGTCAATAAATACAAGAGCTATGGTTCTACATCCATGGGTTCATAATCCATTGGGGAGTCTGTGTAGGTATCATCCATGTGAGGTGAATCATTCGAAGGTGAAGCAGGGTTGTCAGCATCCTCATCATCTACTTCCGTGATTTGAGGGGAGTCGAAAGATGGCGGTGGTCTGAACAGAACCAGCGCCATGTTCTTCTCCGGTTCTCGGGATGGCAGCCCCAGCTCTGAATGGAAGAATGGGTCCCGGGATTTGATACGGTCGAGGTAGCTTTGAGACACTTCGATGCCCTTATCTGAGGGTTCGACCTCCTCCTCGGACTCCTCAGCGAACTCGTCGAGGTCGGTGATGACGACACCTTGAGGGGAAGGACCTATAAGTTGGTGGCCTGTGGCGGCGGCTAGTTTATGGTCACACTTACGATCTTTTTCTGGCTCGTACCAGGATGAACCCTTCATTTTGACATCCTGCACTTCAGGAGATGTGGGTTCCTCTACAGAGGTGGGCTGGACAGCATTTGAGGAAGAGGACTCTATGAATGGGTTCACTAGGGAAGGGGTGTACAGAGCATTAGAGGGCGTCACAGCGGGGACAGACGTGTAGTCAGGATGGGACACTGGTGGTTGCGAAGGAGGCCATTGCTGACCGGGTAGAGGATGTATACTCAGCCCGGCAAGGCCATTCTCGATTGTGTCCCATCGTCGTCGCTTTACGGCTGGGGGTGAGTATACCGCATCGTCGTCCATGTCCGCTTTGCGCTTGAGGTTCGGCATATGGAACCAGGGATGTCGAAGAGGATATGCCCAAGTGGTCATTTCAGGATTCGTCAGAAGAGGCAGACCGTAAATACTGTGACGCCTGGGATTATTGAGAGCAGTTTACTGGTAGACGCTGCAGTAATATACCGCCCGCCACAACTCCAACGAGCCGCCGGCGGACGCGGACCAACGCGAGCCTTCGCGAACGCCGCGCGAATATTCGAGACGAGTCACATGACTCTATAGCTCTCTTGAAAACGAGAAGAGTTCAACTTTCGTATACACAACCTGAGCTGACAGACTCATGCCATAGAACATGGGGAGATGTACAATGAAAGCATAACGACGTAATGGCAGAGTAGACAACATAATGCCTGTGTAAATATCCGGGACTGATGCACCCTCTAACCCCTCTTCTTGGACACACCAACGGTCTTACCTCTCCGACCTGAAGAATGTGATGTAAAAACGCTGGCCCTTATTTGATACAATGAAACTCACCAGTCGTCTTGGTGTGCTGCCCACGCACCCGCAGGCCCCAGAAGTGCCGCAGACCACGGTGGGCCCGGATCTTCTTTAACCGCTCAAGGTCATCACGGATCTTCGAGTCAATACCGTTGGACAGGATCTGGGAGTTCTTGCCATCGACGATATCCCTCTGCCTGTTGAGGAACCATGTCGGGATCTTGAACTGGGTGGGGTTTTGCATGATGGTAACGAGACGCTCCAGCTCGTCAGAGTTCAGCTCTCCGGCCCTGCCAACATACCATGAGACCGGACCGACCACCACAACTTCGAAGCAAAGCGTACATACCGCTTGTTGAGGTCGACATCGGCCTTCTTGCAGACGATATTGGAGTAGCGACGACCGACACCCTTGATCTCTGTCAGGGCGTACATGATCTTGCGTTTACCGTCGACATTGGTGTTCAAAAGACGCAGGATGTGCTAAATCGACAAGGTCAATGGCCATTCTGCTCTGTTGCAAGGCTACAGACGCACTTGGAATTGTTGGTGGGCTTCCGGAACGACGAGCGACATGGTGACTGAGTTCGACCTGAAGAGTACCGGAACGTAGATTTGTCAGACCAGTCCACCAAAGTCATCCATCCGCGCAGGCCCGCATCCATCCCATAACTCCCGTGATACCGGACTTCCAGCACTTCCCCAGCATCCTACGCATCCCCAGGCCTTTGCAGAACGGTGAATTGAGGTACTCACCCCTTGGGTAGTCTTGAACTGGGCCTTTTTGCGATCCGGACAGCGCTGGTGGTCTGTCCAATACGCGCTTCACAATCCGCGACGCGAAGGAAGATCTCCCACGCCCACGGGACAAGCTTCTCCAGTCACGTGCCATGCCGCGTTATTGGCTACGACTCCGAGAGGTCCTGAGAGATACTGCCACTACTCACACCGAGAGAGTCGTACTAGTGATGCGCGCTCGCGCAGAGTTGCTCGCGAAGCGTAACGTGGTGTGGCGCGACACGTTGTCCTGTTATGTGGCACAGCTGGTGCACCATACACACCAACCTTGCATGCATACGGCTCAACTTACTGTATTTCGTGGCATGTTTTGTGATAGGTAGGGCAAGTAAATAGGTATCATTGATTCTGGAACCTTTCCAGGCTCAATCCAAGGATATTTAAAGCTCTGTATCAACTTATAGCTGGCCCTTGGTCTTTGTGGGTCCCTCAGCCACCGGGAGTAGAATTTGTACATGTTTGTCGCGGACTTCTGCCCTAGTGAAGAATTGCTCACTTCGCTCGCAATTATAGGGTTGGAATCTACGGTAAAAGACTGCGAGCATCTACATATATACAAGAATGGATTAATCTTTCTTGGACTCCTCGAAGTATTTCTGCGCCGCTTTCACAGCATCCTCAAGTCTGGATGCGTCACTCCCGACGCCTTGAGCACTATCCTCCTTGCCTCCAGCCTGCGCGCGAAATCAGTTGCCGTAATCAAGGTGCTGATGAACCACAATACCTTTCCACCTATTACTTCGGAAACGGCAGTAGCCCATTTCCGACCGTCGATGCCCCTGGACTTGGCAGCTTCAGAGACGAAGTTCGCATGCACCACCCGAGTGCCTTCTGCGTCTCGACTGAAGACGTAGACAGCTTTATTCAGCTTCCTGGCATTGGCTACGACGTTCTGCAGGATCTTCAAGTCGTCGGATGAGGACATATCATCGGTATAAGAAAGGGACATATCTTACTTTGGCATTGCCGTCGACATCCAGCACTCCGACGTACACTTCGGAGCTCTCGTTATCCTTGAAATACTGAGTGACAACATCGACAGCCTGAGGACCCAGTATTAGTTGAGATATATGGGAAAGCAGAGACTCGACTTACAGCTTTGTTCGCCGCGGCTTCCCTCTCTTTTATCTGCTTGTCAAATGCTTTCCTTATTGCCGCCAAGCGATCTCGCAGCTCAGCTTTCAACACAGCGGATATGTCTACTTGGCCGAGCTCCTATAGAGGACGAGTTCAGCCATGGTCACGAAGGACTATCGAGAGAAACATACGACGCTGTACGCTTTTAATTCGGCATCTTTCTGTTTGCCCGTCATCCGGTCAATGTCATCAAGCCGCGTTCGTAGCGCAGCAGCGACTTGGGTGACTTCGAGGGCTTCGTGGCCAGTTACAGCCGTTATTCGCCGGATGCCTTTTGCAATCCCTGACTCCTCAATGATAACGAAATCCTTTATCTCGCCCGTCCTCGCGACGTGGCTAGTCGCGCATGAGCGTCCATATCACCGAGTGAATAAAACATTACTTACGTGCCGCCACAGAATTCCACACTGGTGCTCCGCCATTTCGGGTTCTCGACATCCTTCATGATCTCGTTGACATCATACTCCAGGGCTACCACGCGTACCGGATCAGGGTAGGATTCTCCGAACACAGCCCTGAGGCCAGGAATCTTCTGCGCCACCTTCAGGTCCATATCTTTGCTATAGACACCCACGTTCTTCTTGATCCAATCCTTGCTCATTGATTCTATTTTGGCAAGGTCCTGCGAAGAGATCTGTGCCTTGTGCGAGAAATCAAACCGCAGTTTCGTGGGTGCAACCAGGGAGCCTTTCTGATCGATATGATCGCCGAGGACTTCACGAAGGCAGAAGTTGAGGATATGCGTCGCGGTGTGATTATTCCTTATTGGCCACCGTCTAAGCTGCAATGATAATCGGTAAACGCCGATACAGGTAAGCAACATGCCCTACCTCATCGTACGAACATATAACCTCCGCTCCAGTCTGGATGGCTCCATACTTGAGATGACCAGCATGGAGGACGTAACCGTTGAAGACTTGCACATCCTCGACCTCGAAATCGGCGGCACCATCAATCACGATATTCCCTTGGTCGTATTCTTGACCACCAGATTCCGCATAGAAATTTGTCCTGTCCAGGATCAACCCAAACGTCGCGTCTTCAGGGATGTCGGCGGTTGACTCTACAAACGACTTGTTGTAATATATCGCCTTGACATTGGCGGATATAGTTCCAAGAGCTTTGGACGACAGAATTAGACGGGATGCATCTCACAACAGGCTTATAACTCACAATACTTGGCAGAGTCATCCGTCTTGGGCACCGACGAGTTCTTCTCAAGCGCAGCGATATCGTGGACGTCGAGCTTGAGGACATCCTTGGTCCCCTTTTTGGCGGAAGCCTTGCTGGCCTCCTTGGATGCAGCCTGGGCCTCTTCGAACTCTTTGTCGTTGATCCCCAGCCCAAGCTCTGCAGCCATTAGACGAGTCAAATCTTCGGGGAAACCGTAGGTATCGTACAAACGCCAGACATCCTTGCCATTGAGCTCCTTGAGCCCTTGTTGCCGGGCGCGGGAAGCGTATTGTTCGAACAACTTTTCGCCCCGGTCTAGTGTGCGTGAGAAGGATTCTTCCTCTTCATCCAAGATACGTTTTGTCTCTTCAGTATTTTTGGTGATCTCGGGGAAGACATCACCCTGCAAGGTGCGATGAGTCTGGGGGTAACACAGGAGATGCTCACAAGAGTCGACGGACTATACGTACCATGGTTTCCACCACAACAGGTATTAACGAGGAAAAGAAGGACCCGATAGTAACGCCGAGCTTTTTCCTCGCGTAGCGCGATCCTCGCCGTAGAATGCGCCGCAAGACATAGCCGCGGCCTACGTTACTTGGTACCCCACCATCACTGAGAGCGAAAGTCAAGGTCCGGACGTGGTCAGCGACTACACGATAAGCAGTGTCAATTCCGTCGACATCTTCGTCACCAAACTTCCCGGCGTATGGCCGGACGCCAGTGAGCTCCTGGATCTTGGCGAAGATGGGGAGGAAGACATCCGTGTCGTAGTTCGAGCGCTTGTCCTGGATAACGGAGACGAGGCGTTCGAAGCCCATTCCGGTATCGACGTGTTTGGAAGGAAGACTTTTCAATGTGCCGTCGGTTTCTCGGTTGAACTGGATGAAGACATTATTCCAAATTTCCAGCACGTCGGGATCGTCCTGATTGACGAGATGTGCGGCGTTGCGACCGCCTATCCTGTCGTAGTGTATCTCACTGAGGAGGAATATCAGAGTCAGATTCAGACTCGTAGACCTTCCACCGACCTGCATGGTCCACAGGGTCCAGTAGCACCCATTTCTTCGAGAGATCATCAGGCCTATGACCGTAGTTGAGAGTAAGCAACGTACCCCAGAAGTTGTCCTTTGCATTTCCGGGAAGAATGTGATCTTCCGGGACACCCTGCTCCAGCCAGTACTGTTTGGCTTCAAGGTCGGGTTCCAGGTTATTCCGGGGGTCCCCTTCAAAGTACGTGACATACAGGCGATCCTTGGGCAAGCCGTACACGACGGTTAAGACCTCCCATGAGAATTGTATTGCTTCTTTCTAGTGAATAGACCGTCGGAACAGGATACGGTAGAGTGAAGCGCGACATACCTTGAAGTAATCCCCGAAAGACCAGTTGCCCAACATTTCGAAGAAGGTATGGTGGTAGGAGTCTTTCCCGACATCCTCTAGGTCTGATACAGGGGTTTAGTTGGCATTCGTGTGTGCTCGGAGTGGATGGTACCGTTATGTTTTCCTCCGGCTCTGATACACTTCTGCGAGTTAAAGGCACGCTTCCACTTTGCCATCTCCGAGTGAGGATCGACGGTGCCGAGGAATATGTTCTTGAACTAGACCGGTGTCAGCACATTGCGGGTATAGTGTAAGGTAAAGCAAGGCGTACCTGGTTCATCCCAGCATTTGCAAAGAGCAGGGTGGGGTCTTCGTAGGGAATTGTGCTGGACGAGGGCACAAAGGTGTGGTCCTTTGAGCGGAAGTAGTTGAAGAACTCTTCGCGGACTTTGCGGGCGGTCCAGGGCCCCTGGTACGAGTTTGCAGCCATCGTGGACAGGCGACGGACGGAGGGCCGATGCAGTCTGAATCTCGAAAGCATCGACTCGAGTCAGGATCTATCCCATCTACAGCCACCGGCTTGTCGCGTCACGTGCGTCGAGTATTAGACCGACTAGTACTTTTAGCTAGTATTTCCGACTATTGCTTTTAGCTAGTATTAGTCCGACTATTCCTCCGCCAAAGCCATGCCGCGAATATTCAGGCAAGTCGCCCTGGCTCTCGCTCGTCCCCCGACGCTGTCGCAGGCGTCGAGCACCGTCTCGTCGCTCCTGCAGTCGCAGCGTCTTTCTACCCCGCGACCGACCGTACTGGCTCCCAGCATCGCCTTCCAGTCCCACTCCCTCCTCGCACCCACTTTCACTGGACTCCCCTCTGCTCTCCTACGGTTAAATCAGGTCCGCTGGGGTTCCCGCGGCACAGAGTATCAGCCCTCTCAGCGCGTCCGGAAACGAAGACACGGCTTCTTGGCCAGGAAGAAAAGCCAGCACGGTCCCAAGATCCTCGCTCGGCGTAGAGCAAAGGGCAGAAAGTTCTTGTCTCATTAGCAGCTTCACGTATGTTTCGCAGTAAATGTGTTCGGCCGTGTAACCGCTGACCGTTATTATTAGCGCTGTCTCCTTGTCGTCGAAATAGAGCCCTCGAGCATGTACCACATCCTCTAATAGGGTGTTAAACCCCCCATAGACACACCCGTGGTTTAAGCTCGCCCCCTGTATTCCGGAAGCCTTGCCCGCTTTTCGGAGCACTAAACTCGGAATTTCGATCCGAGTGTCGCAGCAGCATAGCGTAATGTACAGTGGCTGATTTGCAATATTATGGTACATTGCGCAATGGAAAGCAAAACGTGGTCACAGACTTTCAACGATCATAGATGGCAATGGCTCCCAATGAATAAACGGGGATACCGAGGGATAACAGCAATGGCCATGAATATATACAAGTGAGATACTCCGCCAGACCCTGCTGGGACAGCTCAAAATGACTGATCACCCGCGTCCTTAGCAGGGATCGCAAGTGCGGGAATGGGCGTCATGATGTCGATCGACGAATCGAGTGATAAATCGTAAGGTTCTAAGCCCGCTTGTGGTGACCCAGGCGTGAAGATGAATCCGCGCTCGATGGCAGAAACAAGTTTGGAGATAGGAGTGCGTGCTGGCGTAGGAAGCTCGTCCTGCAGAAAAGCGACCCGAGAGCGAAGCGCTTGATTCTTTGCGGTCGTAATAGGCTGAGTAGCCGTCGCAGGGTCAAGCGCCAGAGGCGCGGCTTCGTCGTGGAGCTCTTCGCTGGCTTCTGCATTATCGTTCATTGATTCCAGTTCTTCAGCTGCCTCCCTTGGCTCTGCAGGTGCGGTTGAATCCTCCGGTGGTAGAATCGCTTCAGCCACATCTGGCGACGGAGGTAGTGGGACGAGACTGGGTGTAGGGGATGCCAATGGGCTGGAAGGGAGGGGGATCTTTTCAGGCTCGGGTGTTTGTTTCTTACTGCCTGGTCTAGCGCCTGCACCGACGTTCTCTTTCTTGTTCATCGAACTCTGCTTCGCTCCTGATGCTTTTGCCGGACCGCTCTTGGAGGCAGCTCGCTGTCCCCAGACGGGTTTTGCGGCTTCCTTCTTTGTTTCCTTTGCTCTAGCCTCATTGCCTCTTTGCGACGAGGGTGCGTTGTCCATACGCGATGTGCTTCGTAGGGGCGCGTCCTTGGTCCCCTTGACTTCAGAGCGAACTTCCCGGGTGGTAGTAGTCCCGGTCTCAGACTTGGAGAGGGCTGCGGCTCGAGTTTTTGTCGCCGGCGGCTGGCTAGGCAAAGCAGCCTTGCTTTTCGTACGCTTCAGAGTGGTAGCCTTCGGAAGGGGATTCGTGGCCGAGCCGTCTGCGCTCATTGCCGAGTTGGTGTTTACCGAAGTCAACTCCCTAAAAGCAGACTTCAGCGGGCGCTTCTCTTCTCGCCCCTCAGGCTTCGATGTCTCCAAATACGATACAGGGACCCTTTTCGGGCCCTTCGTTGAGCGTGCCAAGTCTGTAGACTCAGACTTCACTTCCGGCTCGTTGCCAGTCAAAGGCCTCAAAGGCCCGTCTCTGCCGCTTTCTGTGGTTGCTGCTCGCTGATGCAGCGGGGGTCGCAGAGGTGCCGACATTGTCGACAGGACTTGGGTTCCAGGGAGGGCTGGACGGCGCACCAGACCTGTAGGAACAGGGCCCGTCGAATTACCCTGGACGTGCTTAAAAGGCGCTTGTGACGACTCGGCCGTGCTGTGGAGTGCCGCATCGTGGCTTCTGGTCGATAAAGACGACACGGGGCGTTGAGCTGGTCGCGAAGGGATGTGTTCTGGTGGAGGCATATCTGCCCGTCGTCGGTCGTTACTGCTCGCGGGCCTACTGTGATTCGGGTGCCGCGAAGACTGCGCTCGGTCGGACGAGGGCTGTGTAGTGTCCCCTGACCGTAATGTCTGCCTATGGCGCTCCGGTACAGCTTGCGGGGCAGAGGCTGACCGGAAATGCGCTAAATCGACAGGTGCTTTCGCGATATCTTGGGGTTTCGATTGGAGGGTCCGCTTGGTACTCTGGACCTCCGCACCTTGCGAATGACATGACTGTGCCGAGTCTGGGCGGGACGGGGGGCGTGAATGGGGAGCGTGGCTGGCTTTGATATCTAGGTACTTTCTCATAGTGGGAGTCATGGGAGATACAAAACTGCGAGAGGTCAGAATGACGCGGTGGATGAAAGGAGCGGCTACTTACCTATCAACTCGATGTCCAAATAAGACTTTGTACGTTTCAAACACCTTCCTGCTGGCCTTCCTGACATCTGCACTCGGATCTGTCGCCGTCGACTTGATAGCCAGCTCTACTTCTCTCGCTCGGGCATCTTTCTCGAGATCTCGAGGGTTGAAGTGATTGAGACAAGCGAGAATGCACTCTACAGAAGCCAACCTTAACGAAACCGACTTTTCTTTCAGCGAGCCGACAAGATATGTCAGAATCGCAGGCAGCTGAGTGTGTTCAATGATGAGTAAGAGACAGGATCGAGCTCGGTTGACGAAAAGTTTATTGGGCCGGGTGCATAGTGTGAGGAGCGCTGGAAAGAGCAAGTGGAGAAGGGGTTCGAACAGATGACCTAGCCCAGATGCCACAACGCCAACCATATCAGCCGCGCACCCAGATAGACGGGATCGCTCGGAGTTTAGGGAGTTGATGATTGAGCGGACATGGTCACGCAAGAAGGCAATGAGTTCACGGGGATAATCGCATCCACCTCCTTTACAGAGAGCAGTCAATCGAAAGAAGGCCTTGTAGATTGCGTCCCAGGATTCCTCTGTTTCCACCAAGCACAGTTGTGGGCGGAGACCATCCAGTTCTCTGTCCAGAGTTGTCTTCGAAGCGCACTATACAAATTGTGTCAAAAGTAGCGCATGCTACAGAGTGTTAAGACAAACCTCGATGATGGAAGGTACCGAAGGGGGCATAGTCCAGGCAGCGAAAAGAAACCAGCTGTTGCAGTCAAGTTACGCGACGCGCCTTGTCAGTGTCACACCCATTGAACATGAGTCACGTGCATGGAGCACGGGGACACCGTGGGAGAGGACCCCTGATACTATCATTGAGGGTTTCTGCAAATCTTGCACAACCCCTTCACCCCCTTATATCTCATTCTACACTAACCAGGGGGCATCAGCTGGAGGATTCCGTGAAATCAACTTCCCCGACCGCCACTCATCGGCAGTCATGGGGTCCTGCTTGCATAATCCCGTATGATTGGACGAAAAGCTGATCTCGCAGCGACTGCGATAACAACGTGCAGCGACCCGAAAATTAGACAGATGTGCCCAGTAATTCTAGAATATAATGCAGAGCCTCGTACTTGGGTGCTATATATAACTGGAGTGTACATAACCTCGAATACTGGTAGTATTTACTGCAATGCCATGATATTCACGCTCCTTGCAGCCAGATATCGAGCAATCATCCATCTTATCTTCACTTGGTACAACATCGCTGTCGTCGCGAGACTGCCCTCCCGACCGATTGAATCACCAGCGGTTACGCAAGCGGGACCCCATGACCGCCGATGAGTGGCGGTCGGGGAAGTTGATTTCACGGAATCCTCCATGCGATGCCCCTTGACACTAACCAAAACATATCGAGTAGGTCCAGACAAGTACAGGCATCGACGGCTCTTTTACACGCCTCCAGCCTCGTCTCTCGTGGTGATGCACAACCGTAGCTACTGGACGGTTGGGTGAGAACCTCAACATCAGCGAGGTTCGGACGCGGCACAAGGAGATCCGCACACCCACCAAAGACAGCTCAGATGCACCGCGGCAGCCTTGCGCCACTCACCCCACACTTGCCATCGGAGCTGTAGTTGAATGTGCTTCCAATTCATTAATATTGATGTTGGCCAGGTGCCGTGACGAGACTTGTTCGAAGGCACGAATGTAAGTCTGATATGCGAGATATGTTGGATTTAGGGAGTCGGGATCAAGCTTGCAAGCTTGCGCCGTGTTGCGCATGGTCAGGGGGGACCACCGCAGAGTGGGCCCGACTGATAAGGTGATAAGAAAATTCATATATATTCATTGTATCTACTTGATGTACTGTACGCGATTGCCCTTCGGGCAACCGACCGCCTGGGGCAAACACGCTTGTCTTCCGTTTGCTTGGAATATTTCATCTCGAGAGACTTCCAGCGCCTGGCCAGGCGAACGATCTCAGGACTGATGCCTTTGGCGAGGAAGAACGATGCACTGCCGGTTCGAAAAGAATGCCCGAATGCAGTGCCCCAGCCCCAGCTGAGAAAAATACTGTTTATACGCTTCAGTGCGGCATCACGAGCCATTGGGTGGATGTTGCCTTTCCTGTCATGCCATGAGAAGAGTGGGTTGCTGTCCGAGGCAATGATAAGCCTCCACTATCATCTGACCTCCGAAATCGTGGAATCGATGCTTCCTCCATGCTCTACCGAGTCTATTCAACGCGCCTCTTACACACCGCTAGGATGCGACTGGCTTATGCAATGGTTCAATTTAGATCCGGGCCTTCTCGTGTCCTCGAGGCAAGTGAGAGGTCCTACGAGGATTTAGCTCTGAGGTCAGGCACTCCGGAGCAGATAAAGAAGTAACTTCGGCACGATTTATCTCCGGCAGCCGTGGAAACCTGCCTAATTGTGAGTCGTCCTCACCCCCAGCTTCCCGTACTTCCTCCCCTTCGTCTCCATCACGTCTCCGTCAAATTACTGGGTTTGCATGTGACCGGCATGCTATGCAACGTGATGGGAAGGCTGAGGATCAGCACAAGCATATCAGGACAACCTCCAGGGAGTAGGATGAGCATATGGAGGGACTAGGGAGCCGTATGGTGCATGGTATAGCAGCAGACGGATGCTGAGCGGTCAAGGGAGTTGCGGTGAGTATTTGTTATTTATCTCCGGGCGGTTGCAGGGTCATTGCTGTAGTATAAAATGTATGATGTAAAGGAAAGTAAAAACAAGTTTGATCTTCACCATCTCAGCGACCCTTGAAGTTCAATCACGTCGGAATTAGCATTTACAATCGATCCTAGCTTTGCCAACAGGCCTGACTCGTCACTTGGGTTATCTCTGCCGTTGAAATATTAGCTCTCGTGAGTATTACATAGCAAAATAAATCCAACCAAGTCTCTCGACCAATTTCTATCTCCGTGAGCACAATCCTACACTAGGTGTCAGTGCTTGTGACCTTTGTTTATCTTCGAGTCCTCGGAGATAAATACTCCGGAGCCTCAATTCGTGTTTGTTTTGGGCGTCAAGACTTTGTTTTATTTTTCTAGGTCTTCCTACGGACTACCCTATGTCATCTTACTCCTCCCCCTCCCCTTGAACTTAAATATTACCCTTCAATCATCTTAGACCGCCTCCACCCATACCGCTGGGTATGCTAGGTTATTTCCCATTTGGTCTTAGGTGTTGTTTTGTGTCAGTGCATATCAGCGGGCACAACATTAGCAAGGTTTTGGAGAGCACTGAGGGGACAGTGAAAACCCTGTTCATTTAGGAATACTTCTTGAATTTTGCTGGGTCTCGCGGTCTTTGCTGAGGGCAGATCTAGGCGGGCATACGGCTGCCCATTGAGGTCCGTTGAAAACACCACATCAGCGCACTTGAGGTGCAGATGCCCGTCAAAAGATGCTCGCGACTTCACAGTGACTTCACGGAACCGCATCATGCCCCAGAAGGCACATACCGCTATCCCCCAGATGCAGGCGTCAAAAGGGTCGGTCAGGTCAAGCATCTGCTTGAGTGCTGTCAGCATCACGATTGTCATGGGCGGCCGAGGAGGTTTTGTGCGCTTTGATCGTTGTATGTTCTCGAGTTCGCAAAGTGACCACTGCAGGCGCTCGTGGTCTTGTGCAGAGAGCAGTGGCGGCCATCCTTGAGCGATGTGCCAGGCACGCACTGTCGCTAGGTATTTATTTACTGCTTTAACAGATACAGGTTCAAATACAGTTCCATCGGCAAAGATTGGTTCCAATGGGTCTGGGTCAGATACCGCCCATAGCATGAAGGAGTGCAGTACTTCATAAGGAGCGGGCAGGTGACATCACCTCTGGAATCAAAAAGATGTTGCAGAACAAGTGGTACTTGCGGAGCCCGAACCCATAGCTCACGGCGTCCCATAGGGATGCGCATGATGCTGTGTCAGCTAAGAGTCATAGTATTGGGTTGTCTATCGTTGAGGGAGGTGCGGGATGTACTCCACGCCACAAGAAGATCCGTTTGTCGGCTTGACATTCTGGGCGCAGGATGGATGGTACGAGCTGGAGGTTGCAAGTGGTCTCCACCACTGGGCTTAACTGCGTGTTCACAGCTGGTAAGAGTCAGAATGCGCGGGCAGGCGCTACAGTGAGCGAAGTTTGCCATGGAATGCGTCGGGGAGCTTGAGCTGGAAGTGCACAGTTGCCTGGGGGAAGGCCTTCAGGAATGAAACTATGTCACCTCGGGACAGGGCATCTGTAATGTTCGTGCGCCAGCCGATGCTGTAGTATTATTACATTATTCACCCAATACTACCGTGTACCCTATTACGTCAAACAGGCGACACGTGCGGTGTTTATGCATTATTCTCCAAATACCTTATACAGTCACCAGCAGCCCAGCTGGACTTGAATACGACAGCCCCGGCATCTCCGGCATGGAGATCCAAATCAGGATTTGATACTGAGCTGTTGCCAATAATAGGTGGGTGGCCATACCTCGCCCTGTAGGGCCCAGAAAATACGGAAAATACTGAAAAATCATATGATATTTCTGGGGCCAGGCCCAATGGTACCGGACCTATACATAGCATGGGAATGTGTTTAGAGGGCCACACAACAGCTACTAGCAGTGGATATAAAATCAGGAAAAATGCGCAAAAATCTGGGAAAAACATGGAACCTGCTGTGGCTGACAGCACACATGTGGCATCACTAAAATACATCAGCACATGCCAAATATGGCAGCAATTGATATGGGATACCTCCAGGATCTACATTTCAGCCTCTTTCCATATCTGGGGTTTATTTGTCCTTACTGTCGATGTTGTTACTAATGTAGTGGTTTAAATAGTGCATAGGAATAGGGAGTGCTTGTCCTAATCATGTGTATGGGCTGCGCATTGCTGTACAAAAATTATTTTCACCGCCAGCTCTGGGAGAGTTTTTCGCATTTTCCCACACTATTGCTATGCCACATTGCTGGGCATTTGGGGATCTTACTCAGCCCATATAAGGCTACATGTTTGCATAAGACTCCAAGAGATTCTGAGCAACAGGTGGCTAACTACTGCTTTTGGGCATCACTCCTCCTATGGACACCCCATGACTACCACTTGTGTTACTATGGGTTATAACACACCTCCCTTAGTGTATATCTGCATGTACCATCATGTGTATCATTTTTGTGCCCACCCAGACCACCCTTGGTGACTTGGCACCAGTCATCCTCAAAAACACCTCTATCACACCACCCCGGGACAGCCAATGCACCTACAGCAGTGGAAACACTCACAACAACATCCTATCACATGAATCATACATTCCTGAGCTTACCCCAACCACCCCAGCAGGCATTAAGCATCCCTGGACCACAAAGACACCCACCCCGAGACAGTGTCCACAGCCAGACAGTACCCATTGGGCCTGGCCCCATAAATATAGTATGATTTTTCAGTATTTGTCCGTATTTTCTGGGCCCTACAGGGTCAGGTATGGCCACCACCTATTATTGGCAACAGCTCAGTATCAAATCCTGATTTGGATCTCCATACCGGAGATGCCGGGCTGTCGTATTCAAGTCCAGC